TTTTTCACAGCAGCCATTTTTCACAGCAGCCATTCTGACGGTGAAATAATTGGGTAAACACAGGCATTAACTATGACACTTATTAAGGTTCTGTTCCATTCAGGTCAAACAGAGTCAGCGTGCTGCTATTGTGCCTGTTGGCTCACTGGAAAGGCTCTGCTAATCTAAATGGAACAGAACCTTAATCAGTATTATTTCTATCACCTGTGTTTACTCTACTATTTAATGTCAAAATGGCTGCTGTCTATTGTGACTGCCATTGTTAGCATTTTAGCATGCTGATGTTAGCGTTTATCTGAAAACACCACAGCCTGACAGAGCTGCTAGCACGACTGAAGACTCTTAAGGCCCCTTTTTCCAACAAATGACTTCTGGTTCTTGAATCGGTTCTGTTCAAGATTGTTGGTGCTATCTAGCGAACCAGCCTGTGTTTCCACCAGTTTTGAGTGGAACCATAGTAATCGGATGCATCCTCAACAGAGGGCGCTGCACAATGCACACTGACCTGCAGAATATGACACCGACCCACTTTGGTGCCCAAAGAAAACCTGCTATTTTTTGTTTTTGCTAGAAACCAACTTTTCAGGTTCTGAACCAATTTATTTTTGGTTGAAATGTTTCGAATGGTTCAAACTAGGTGCTTGAACCCAGAACTGAGCCGGTTCCCTGTTGGTGTAAAAGGCCTGTATGTCTTGTTTGTTCTACTTACTTACTTACTTACTTACTATGTATATGTTGAACTTTAATAATGAAGATTTATGTCTGCCTTAACAGTACGTTTTGAATTATGAATTCAGTCTCCTGTTTTGAGTAAATACAAAACCTTTCTTTTGACTTTTGAGATTTATTAGTTTAGTTCTTAATTTAGACAGAAATGACAGGATTGAAAACTATTTTCTAAAGAGAAAACAAGAGCTTTTTTAAACAAGATAGTCTTTAGAAATATCTCAGTCAGCTGTCCTTGTTTGAAACTTATTCATGTGGATGTAAACCTTCTACCTTTGGTTTACATCCAAAAGGGTGTTACTGCTACCAGTCTATCTTTATGGCCGTTGTAAAGTAATTAATTCTCAACCACACTCCACCCCAGTCAGTAATAAACAATTCAAGACAGGGGCAAAATGGGAATACAGGGAAAATATGTGAGCAGTGGACATAAACAACACAAACCTGAACGACAGTCCTTTGAGTCTCTAGTCATCAAGTGGGAAACCCCTACACTGGAGTTTTAAAAGTCAGATTTTCACTGTAAAGCCTAAATCAAAACCAGATGTGGGAATGTTTTCAACCAGAGATTATTCTCTCTGTCCAGAGTCTGTTCACCATTGGTCTGAACACTCCTGGTGGAAACAGCTCAGGGTGTTCATGCCTCTAAAAAAGAAAAAAAAGAAAAAGAAAAGAGCTCCAGACATGGAACCATCTTCGCTGTGGTATGCAAGGCATGTAAGGATGACACAGAAATACATAAATATGTTGCAGTAGGAAGAAGTGGTAAGAACATTGTGATAATAAAAAATTAGAAACAATAAATATTATCACCAAAATGTACTTTCATTGTATCAAAAGTGTTAATTATATAATAGACTATATAAAATAATATTATATACTGTAACAGCTAAATCATAATATTGTATTCTTGTTATTATATTCTTGTTCTTATTATTCTATTATTCTTGCAGTAAGCAGCATTTTAATATTTAGAAAAAGTACGTATTAAAACTCCTACTTAAATGAAAGTACAGAAGTATTATCATCAAAATGTATTTAAAGTATCAAAACTGAATGTACTCATTCTTTGAGAAAATGTCCCTGTGACTGATATATTATCATTTGATACATGATTAGATTATTACTGATGCATCAGTGTCTGAGCAGTATTTTACTATATGGTCATGGTGAAGCTAATCTAACTACTTTACATTGTTAAAGTAGTCTAGTGGTTCCCAACTTAAGGGATGGGGCCCCCTTTAAAGGTTCACAAGATAAATCTGAGGGGTCATGAGATGATTAATGCGGTAAAAAATTATTCTGCTATTCAGATTTATATTCACTTTTTGGGAGTTTATGTCTAATCTTTGTTTTTTTTTAAACTGGACTGCACTAGATGATTTGTTACACAGAACCATCTGGGAAGATTAAAGCCTGGTAAGATTTATTCTTGTGTGTTTTTGTGATTTTCATTTCCAGATGCCTCACAAGGTTGAATTTTACTTATTTTGGCTACAAACTGTCATGTAATTGAAACCATCTGAGAGGTTTAGAGGGGAAATGTCTTTTTGGTGGAATTGTTAACAAATGACATCTGAAATATAAAAAGAGGTCCAAACAATGCGTTGTATTTAAATTATTATTTGTGTTTTATATAAAATCTGAATCTGAAAAGTAGTACCTATAGCTGCCAGGTAAATGTAGTGGAGTACAACTATAAAGTAGCATAAATGTACAATTATTGTATTTTACTTATGTAAATGTAGCCACTCATGTGACAGACAAGCTTACAGAAATGAACAAACCATGTCTAGTATGGCTGTTTGTTATAATAATAATAAGCTGATTAACAGTGAGAGGAAGGAAAAGTTCAGTACATTCAGAGTTTAGGTCAGAAGATGCTTTAGAAACTATTAGCTGTGGCTTACTTTGAAGCCTTTTGCATCAAAGCTGTATCCATCATGGAGTTTGACCTTGATAAGACCCCCCGAGTAAATGGCTCCGCTGAGCCGCAAACAGGCAGCAGCTTACACAAACTAAACATTCGCAAACGAATGGAGAGCAACATCAGCGTCCTCTGAGCTGCATAGCTGAGGTTATTAACTGATGTAATGAAATGAGAGCACGCCCTCCAGTGAGCCAAACACTCATTACATTTGTGATATATGGCTTTGTTGATTTTCCTATGTGCCTGTGTGTGTACTCTGAAGTAAACAACACTAACAGGCCATATCTCTTGTTTTTTTTTTCTTCTTGGCCTCTGTGAGATTTCACAGTCCCTCAGTCTACTTGAATTTGTTAAAAAATTGTTTTTTTTTTGCAGACACAGTTTGAAAAATGATATATCCAATGCTCCCTAGTTCCTCCTCTAAAGTCGTCTGGCCTCACACCAGACCACAGAAAGAATGAAAAATTACACAAGCTCCAGAAAGTCATAAAAAACATTTAGGAAGCACAAGAGGAGGTCCCATTTCCTCTTCAAGTCTTTGTTGTGAACAAAGTTGGTGGTCCACTAACTCAAAGTTAAACTCAGTTACTTTGAGCTTGCATTATCTTTTTCACTGTTTCCGAGAAGGATCATCACTTTTTTCACCCTCTTATCGAGTAAAACTGAGTTACTCCACTTCCAAGTTTTAATCACATGCTTCAGGCTGCAGAGCTGGAGCCATAAACCCACAGTGTAGTTGTTCTCTGTTGGTGCCAGAGGAGAACAGAGGAGGCTCAGATTTCTTGTCTTGATTTTTCTCTGACTTTCCACAGATGCTTTCAGGTGCTGTAGAAAATGTCGGAAATATCACAACACTATGCACATGTTTAAACAAACTACGCACTGTAAAGGAAAAGTGGAATTATCTTTTGCCCAGGTCAACAAAATGTGACATGTAAGGGTTTTTTCTCTATTGAAGCATTACAGTAGTATAATGGCAGCATATATTCTCCCTTTGTGTTCAGCTATTACAGCACAAATTATGATTATTCTATGTTATTTGACTGTATTAAATTGGATTCAGCTGTTTCATTGTCAGTTTCTGTGTGCAGTAAGTAAACTGAAAAGCCTTTGGGAAAGTTTGTAATTGACTGAAGTAGTAAAGGCCTGATGTTATAAAAAAGATGAACATATTAACAGTACAATCAGGCGGCTATCAGAAACCTCTGGTAAATAGCTGCAAGCTGTAACATTCATTGTATGTTCATTTCTGTGACACTACATCCTCCATCGCTAACCAGTGACTTTCTAATATTCTGTCATCCTGCATAATGTAATGTTAATTAATCCAACAAAACAACACCAATAATTATGATCTCAAAATTACCATAGAGTCGAATTACCACTTTTCTGACCTAATGTCAATTAAAAAAATAACATTATAAACTTAACAAATTGGATTGCATTACACACTAAAGCAAACAGTAAATTATTGTCAAGGTCAAATTAGGGTTGCTTTTTTTTCATGTAAATCAAATTAACGTTTTTTAAAGCAACACAAGATCTGAGATTTGCCTCAAATGGCTTTACAGTATTAACACTATATGACACACAATCATTAGACACTTCAATATGGAAAAACTATATTCCCCCCCCCCCCACACACACACACAACCTTTAATGAGAAAGAAAAAGGTGAATGAAACTTGATTACTTGGACAGATAGCCTACAAAAAATATCCCATTAAACAGATCCTATGTCACAATAAAGACACTATAATGACTAGGCTGACCATTTGCAAAAACATTACCACTGTTACAATACAAAGCAAAAGATAAATCACAAAATAATTATTAGCATACAAACACATATCACTTACCTACAACAAAGCATATAACTGATAGTAGGATGCAGTAAATGATATATAAACAGTGGTGTAGTGCAGGGTATACCTGGGTAAGCAGATATAGTTTTATAGACTGTCATGAGTGCATAATTATCTAGTTACCTCACCCGTCAGTAAGACACAATCTGCCTCTCTTCTGTGGCTAATGTTGATTACTTAATGAAACTTACTGCCTGAAGTCAAGCAGCAGAAGTTAAGTGACAATGTGCAAATAATACTGACCCATTTTTGGATGTTCTAAATATACAAGAGTTGTTTTATGTGTCAGTGTTTATAACAGGGCGTTTATCATTTACCGGATGGGCCAGAAAAATAAAAATTGGGGCATAAACTAAGAGTATACCCACTTATCAAAGGACCACTACACCACTGGGCTTAAACCAGGGACACGAGGGCTAAACGTGTAAAAATACTGTCGTGAACTTGTGGAATACGAGGGGCACGTGAACGCCTCATTTGACTGACAATCCCGCAGCCTAATCCAGAGAGTGAGGATGCATAGCAGCACTGATATGTGTCGAATCAACATCGGCTAACTACTTCTTTCGGCTGTGATTGACAAAAGCCAACACTTTGTTCATTCAGCCCCTCGGAGACGCGTTCGTGAAGCTGACGCCGTCGGGGTTTTAACGGTGTAAATTCCGTCCAGACCGGGGGCTCCGCAGACGTTACGTTGGGACAATGGAATCTATCCCGGAAAGTATCCGCCCTCAGAGGCTGCAGCCAGGGATTGGATTCGGTTCAGGACCGACGGGGACCCTCCGCTCTTCTCTCCGGCCCGGGGTTACGGTCCCCATCGCGCCGCTGTTGCCCTCCCCGGTCTCTCTGGCCGCTTCGTCCGGGCCTCCTCCGCCACCGCCCCCGCTGCAGCTCCACAGCCTGTACGGCGGTATCGGAGCGGGGCTGGGGCCGGGGGCTACCGGCCACTGTAACCCGGGGAACCCGGCGGTGCTGAAGGAGGCGGTGGAGGCTGTGGTCCGCAGCTTCGCCAAACACACGCAAGGTTATGGCAGAGGTAAAAACGTCCAGCGGTGGTAAAGATGTTTAATCCGGGTCGTAGCGGTCAGTTTACACTTGAGGGAGTTTTTGAGGAGCAGAAAGCCACTTTTAGCTGCGCCATTTGTTTTGAAGTGGATTAGCAACGGGAAAAACATATGCCACATTCCTGTAATGTCCATGTGGGGCTGCTCAGTGTCAAACACACCGAATTCATTTAGTGTTTTACCATTATTGTGGTCATTTTCATCAGATTTAATATCACCATAATGTTTCTATTTTCTTCCAAAAGTTTTTTCCTTTGATATTATAGCTATAGTAACCATGGCTTCAATCCCTTCATTATAGGATTAACTACCACAGCTCCAGAGGATTACATTCGCAAACAATAGGCTGTTTTGCCTAATAAATAAGGCAATTTATATTCATCTGCTTTTATATTGGACACGGTACAATACTGGCCCTGTAGTGTAAACTGTGAAAGTTATGAATAAGGTTGAATAACAAAAGGAAAAGACATGAGCAAAGATTTAAAGGGTAAAATCAGGTTATACACCTTTTTTTATTTTTTTACTGAGCTAAATAAAGTTCATACATCTTTTCAGAGATGACCAAAAGTGTTGTGTGTGTTATCCAGACGATACCTCTCAGTAAGTAATACCAGATGGATCATAACTTTTTAATAGATATAAGCACATGAATTACGGATATATAAAAATGTAATGTATTTGGCTCATGATGATCTCCTGGTGGTCCTCCCATCTTTTTTCTCTTTATATTTATCACTACAGCACACTGACAAGAGATATGCCTAACACTAACTGCACTAAATTGCACTAAAATGTTGCCACTTGGAGGTAATACATGTGTTCCTGTTGGTGCTAATAGGATTTATTTTCCAAAAGATTGTCCCTCCTTGCTCTGACTAATGCCTCTTCCCTCCCTTTATCCCATTTAGGATACTTAACACCGTCAACACTGGCAGGACCATAAAGACTGTTTTATCAGGGCGCTACTTTTGCCTTAATGTTGCTCCAATATTGTGATTTACTCTAATGAAGAAAGGGGTTATCAAATTGCCACCGAAAAACAACACATTACATCAAAACAATGATATTTTGGTATTTGGCAATAATTATTTCCTCTACACTGTATTATAATTTGGGTTTTCTACATTTTCTATGTGGTATAGTTCTAATTAAGCCATTAGCAGGGAATTAAATCGCTTTTATTTGCAATGAAAACACCATTACGACAAGCCATGTAATTCTGTCAGTGATCATTTATTTAATAGTTATTCTATTTTTACTTTTTCCTGTGACGCATTTGTCAGATATGTCATGACTGATGCCATGGCCAATGCCGCATTGTGGGTTTCAGTCTGAGCACGCACCATTGTCACATGTTATCCTCCACTATCTCTCAATACTTCCTGTCTCTCTTTGCTTTATCTTACAGGACATGCTTAAAAATGGATAAAATAACAGACCAAAATGGGTTATCTTATCACTGTCCTGACCCTTTAGAGGCTCAAAATGAACTTTGTCTCTGATTTATGGAAAATACTCTACATTTCATTCAAATGTAATATGTATATTGTACATCCCATGGCTCGTCTTACATCTACAGCTTAAGTAAAATGATGATACTTATGATAAAGAATATGTTCTGTAATGTTTAAAACACTAAGGATTCATATATTTGTTGTAAAAGTAGAGCAACGCTGCTGTTTTCAATAGAACACCAGTTATTACTTTATTATTGGCGAACAACAAGAGAGCTGTTTCTAATGAACTTTTTTTTTTCACACACAGTAAGAGCAGCAACAAAATGATTTGGATTGCAGTTTAGGGACTTATATGTCTGATGTCAGAATATATCTCAGCTCGTTTACAGAGGCCTCAATAGCCACAAAGCTGCAGCCCTAAAACGTTCTGATCGGGCTCCAGACTCGAAACGAGAGCAAGAGGCAGACTGCCTGTGTTCAAACAGTGAGAGCACAGCAGGAAAGAGATGAGAGGTAACAGAAGTTAAACAGCCCTGGATAATGTTGGCTGCACTCACATCTCCCTGCAGGCTCAGACCCAAATAATAATTTCTGACTCAGACGCAAATTTACTGCTTTTCTTTGTTGTTGTTGTTTCCTTTTTGGAGAGCAGGAATATAACTCTCTCACACAGGCGCATAAAGTGTGCAGTTGAGGGTGTGTTTCTTTAAGCAGCTCCTCGGAGGTGATGCAGAATTTCCTCTGAGCCGCCACCTAAATAATTTCAGGAAAATACCCCTGGCATCCTTGAGATGACCTTCCCCCCACCCTTTCCACCTTTGTGTTTAGAGAGGATGTTGTAGAGCACAGCCGGTAACTAATGCAACAAAAAAAACAAAACATTCTGGTTTCTTGAAACCTGAATATTCTTATGTAAGTAGGATTAGTTATAAAAGACAGGGTTAATGTACCACATTGTGAGTCAGTTTATCTCTGTCTGTGTCCTCCAGTAAACGTGGTGGAAGCTTTACAGGAGTTTTGGCAGATGAAGCTGACCAGAGGGGCGGACTTGCGGAATGGAGCTCTAGTTGTTTATGAAATGGTCCCATCCAACAGCCCTCCATATGTCTGCTATGTTAGTCTTCCCGGAGGCAGCTGCTTCGGAAGTTTCCAGGTACAGAATCTGCATTTTCTTAGCGTGATAACAGGAGTTTTTTCTTTGATTTCAAAACAGTGATAACAGGACATTAATAAACATGCTGTGTTTTGCACAATTCATATAAAAAAAGGGTCATTCTAGTGCCTTGTTACAAGCTTATAAAACTCCAACATGCTTGCAACCACAACATACCAAATATGGATGCAAACTCAAGACCACTAAAGGGTCTTTAGCTTTTTGACTGTATATCTGTGTTTCTGATTGTATCTGACCACTAATGCATGTCTGCTTTACTGTTTGACAGTTCTGTCCCACCAAAGCCGAGGCAAGGCGCAGCGCTGCCAAGATTGCCCTGATGAACTCTGTTTTCAATGAACACCCCTCCCGTCGCATCACAGACGACTTCATTGAGAAGAGCGTCAGTGAGGCCCTGGCCTCCTTCAATGTAAGTTCTAATAAATTAGAGAAGGTTGTGAGTTGTCAGTGAATAGGAAGCAGTAAGTCACAGTATATCTGCAGTATATATCACCACATTGAATAAAAACGTAAAAGGACACACGTAAGATGCATATGCATCAACTTAATATGTATTTAATGCAGTTGGCAACACGCACATAGATTTTTGCACTATAGTAGTTTTATGTAAAACTTGAGTACATTCTTCAAGGAGACATATGTCAGATATTATGTCAGTTTCCCTGACCAAAAAATGTTTCATAGTGCACATTGTTGCACATGTTTTAGTTTTGTTTAGAAAAGAAAACAGAAAAATATAATTAAAAAATATATTAAAATATGTATAATTAATACCAAATACAGTTCATTAAGTAAAATTAAATAAATAGATAAATAAAAATATGTCTGTGTGTTTCATATGTATAATATATAAGAGACTAATTTGTCACATTCAGTGATGTTTTTATTATCTGTCCCTCCATTTGAGACATATTGACATTGTCCCAACGTTGTTATTTTGTGCGTCATGTTATACATTTTTTCACATTTTAATAATTATTTTCTCATCATTATATTTACCCCAGAAATCCAGTATTTGTCAAGCTGTTTGGGTGAACGAAGCACACTGACACCAACTAGTTGTTGTTGTTTGCAGGGAAACAGAGAAGAGGCTGACAATCCCAACACAGGAATTGGCGCATTTCGTTTCATGCTTGAGTCCAACAAAGGAAAATCCATGCTGGAGTTTCAGGTGCGTAAAATTCAGGAATGTCTGGGTCGTGTTAAGTAGCATTTTACGCTCCTCAGACGCACCAGGATAGTGTGAAAATAGCATTGGCAGATTTGAGCCCAGATTAAAATCTGTTGAGCTTGAAAATGTATGAAACAAAGATTGCGATCGCATACATGTTTTTAAGAGCTGCAGCTCAACATCCAGTAGTTTGAGCCCACAGTGACCTGTTAATCTTTTACCATCTTAACCCCATGCCCAATTGAAAATAGGAAATCTGAAGGAAGCAAGCAGAGTTTGCACTCCTGAATTCCTACACATTGAGTGTTCTGCAGTAAATCTGATGCCTTATTGCTGCTGGCTTGGCTGTGTTTGTGTTTCAGGAGCTGATGACTGTGTTCCAGCTGCTGCACTGGAATGGGAGTCTCAAAGCCATGAGAGAACGACAGTGTTCCCGACAGGTACTATCATTCATCTCACAGATGGGTTCAATTATCCAACTACAGTAGTAGTTTTCATCACTCTTCATCAAGTTTCCTAAACAAAGTGTTAAATCTTTCCCTACTTGGCAAGACTGGTCCAGACAGATTCAATTTTTTTTCTTCGCACCACAAATTGGAGCGTTGTTAGAGAGCAGCGGGGAGCTGGAAAATAAGATCACTGCAGAAGAAAATTCCAACACAGGCTAGCTAAAAAAATGGATTTGTAAAAGAATCTCTAGTTGCACAGCATTGGTTTTACAGCTGACATGGAAGGCATCGTGAAGTACCTTCAAATTAGGGCATCGCCATTTTTGACTTCTGCTTCCCCCGATACCGAGTCTGATACCACAAGTCATGGTTTCTGCAGATATTCAGTACTGGTCCAATACCAGCACTCTCTTTTCATTCATTCAGTTACATTCATCATTTTTATGTAAGGTAACCTGATACCAGGGAGTTAGCAGCTCACTGTGACCAAATTAATGTAACTGAAACACAGACTTTTAGAATGACGCTGACAAGGAAACGTTCAATTTCAATGTGCCTGGCAGATACCAAATGTTCACTGTCTTTGGCAATATCACTGTGTCCCTACTTCAAACTGGAAATAAGATGCGTTATATCTTTTACCTGAGGATTTATTGAAGATTTATTAAGGTCTTACTAGATTTTGAGTTGCCAAGACCACTTAGCTTCCCCTCTTTGTTTTTACTAAACTTTGCAGGAAGTGCTGGCTCACTACTCCCACCGGGCTCTGGATGATGACATGCGCACTCAGATGGCTGCCGACTGGGTGAACCGAGAACAGAGCGTAGCCGCCACCATTGCGCAGGAGATGGCGTCGACAGAGCGAGAACTGGAGGATGCCAGGCTGGCGGGCAGAGAACTGCGTTTTTACAAAGAGAAGAAAGACATCCTGATGTTAGCTGTGGGCCAACTCAACGCAGCCAACACTGCCACCCTGCCCTCGCACTAAAACTACCGTCCATTGTGGAAATATGCCTTCACACTCCGTAGGATTCCTGGTAACAGTATTGATCTCTTCATAGATATTAAGGTGATATTGTGCAAACGTTTAGGTTTTGTATCTTGTGTTTTGTTACGAGGACCAGGTAATCAGGCCTTGACTTACAATATGCACGTCCGTCCATAAAACAAACACTTGCCGCTATAGCCGTTACCTCTTTGTGCCTAGGTATTACAGGATAACAGTGCTTTTTAAAAAAAAAACAAAAAAAAAACCTGTAAACGTGCTTGGCATACCAGCTGACTGACATGGTTTTTTCATGATTTCATAAGCAAAGCCTGCCTTTCATCAGTGAATGTACGGGACATAAGTTAATATGACCCATCAAACCAAACACATCTGATCAAGGTATGGATCGCTGAAGTTTGTTTTCTTTCATGTTTTGGGTGTGTTTACTTGCATAAAGTATTTAGGACTTGGCAAGTGAAGGTGGTAAAACGTTTGTATGATGACCATGAATGAAATATCGCCAGAAACAGAAACAGCGAGGGGACACAAGATCCCACCTAGCCTAACACTTCCGTAATGGGAACACCACCTCGTTCTGCCTGAGAATATTGTGTAAATATGTGGAAATTGCATCCTCAAGTAATAACAGAATTCAAGTAAGCATTGAAACTAATACTTATTGGCTCATGTAATCATTTGAGGGTACTTTGCAAAAATGTCAGCGGGTTACTGATTACTCTGACAGCAGCTCAGGTTTTTGAAAAATCCGATAGTGAACCATCACTATGTTTTCTTTTTTTGTATGTGTAAAGGTTTTTTCTCAATTATATTAGTGTTCATTGTATGCCTGATGACCATGACACTAGCTGAATGTATATTTTCAGTGTGCTATCAACTAAAGCGTCGACAAAGCGATGCCGCTTAACATTTAGACTATTGAATTACTCTCGTGATACAGATTGTGTTTGTCATGTGCTTCATCTAGCAGAAACATCGAAAAAGCCACACAGTGGTGATCGGAGGTAAAAATGTGAAGGCCAAAACAAAAAAAAGAAAAGAGTTGAGGTTTTTAACAAGCTGATTCATCGTGTGTGAGTCACTGCAGGCAATACGAAACAGTACCAGCATTTGTGGTTGTATTTTTGCCATACTGGAAGCAGAACTTGTTTGTTAGCAGTGCTAGTGTATGTCCATGGGCTAAAAACGATGTATGTAACTCGCACTTATCACCTTTTTCAAATATTCTTATGTTGAAGGACCTGATTTCATTTATAGTGTAAATGTGATATCTTTATTTTTCTCTATCTAAAATGTATTGAATACATTATAAGGATGAAGGCATTTCAATGAGTAGCCTTTTAAAGACCCCATGTAATGGAAGTGAGAGTTTAATGTGGCTTTGGTTGGAAGGAAATGTGGGCAGTGAGTTATGCAAGTTAAACAGCAGGAGGGTCCATTTCGCTGCTGAATGCTGGATGATCAACAGCAGAAACTGATTACACTAAATTTGAGGAGGCGGCAAATAGAAAACAAAGAAGCAGAGATCGAGTAAGATTAAAGCCAGAACCAGTTGTATTGTTTTATCACTCGGATCATTGTGCCTTTTATGAAATTGGTAGCATGCAATAGTTTGACATGTTAAAAAAAAACACAAACCTTTCATTTGTTTTAATGAGGTCTTGAAGGGAAGTTCTACTCTGCTTAAAGAAGTTTTTGCTCAATTCATGTAAAGGTAATACATGCTATATTGCTGTTACAGTACCTTAAGGGAATAGTTTGACTTTTTTTTTTTTTATTTGCTTTCTGGCAGAGAGTTAGACAAGAAGATCAGTCTCACTCTTCTGTCTGTCTATAAGGCTATAGCCAGCAGCCAGTTAGCTTAGCTTAGCATAAAGACAAGAAACAGCCAACCTGGATCAGAACAACGGTAATAAAATCCCCCGACCAGCACTCCTAAAGCTCACAAGTTAACATGCTATTATCTGATTAGTTCAATCTGTACAAAAACCACACAATTCGCCTTTTGTGTGGCGGACTAAGCTATTTCTTGGTAGCTGGTAATATCTTCCTGGAGTTTCCACAGGTTGCCTGGCAACCGCTCAGAACCAAGAAGTAGTCCACAGACCCGTTGCTCGCGGTAACTTCATATTTACTCTACAGACCAGAGATTGTTATTCATCTTTTCAATCAATCTAACTCTCCACCAAAAAGTGAATAAGTGTATTTCCTAAAATGTCGAACTATTGCTTGAATATGTTACATGATGTTTGATTATGAAGGATTTATTCAATCTTACTACCTTTGGTATACATTTATACTCATGATATATTGTTTGTTTGGTACTCAGCTTGCAAAATATGTGTGCAGCACAAGTAAGAAAATGTTTCTATGTAATTTTGTGTTCTTTGCAAACACCCTGCAGCTTTCTCCAGTAGATACTGAAAAGTTTAAATAGACCTTTGAATCTTTGAACACTTTGACCTCACAATTCTGCAGCGCTCACGTTTCTTTTCCCCACGTTTCTTCCCCTCTTCTCCCAGAATCTCATCTGCAGATACATTTTCTGTACTAATCAGTGATTGTATGGACTCATGAACCAATTTCCAGTCCGACTCAAGAACAAACTATACTCGTCCACTCGTGCTAAAGCTAAAAAGGAAATAAAAGAGAAAAACTTGATGAGTATTTGAATGAGCTGGTTACAGCAATGAGGCTGGACATCTTGAATTGTATGTTTTTGCATTTCTTCTTTCTTCTAATTTAGATGCTTACTATGTGTCTGACCACAAGCCATTAATCTCAGAGCTCATTTCTTACAGATGCCTTTGACCTTTCTTTGTGAGCATTATCAGTGAAGGCTTTTTCAACTTTTTCTTTCTTTTTTTTGCTATCCGTTTAAGACTTGGACTTTTCATCTTTTGGCTTTGATGCATGATGTGCTGATTAAGTTTTGTTTTTATATGTTTCATATTCTATACAGTATTGTTTTATAAAGTGTTTCCCAAGGCCCTTATTGTATGTATTTTCTATGAGCATTTTGTATTCCATGTTTATACTTTTAGTAGATTTATATGATGTAATAAATGGGCTCATACAGATGTTAATTAAAAATTTATTTGTCATGTCATTTATTTCACTGCTTAAGACAAGGGTGAACAACTCAACCTATACAACTTGGACCAAATAAATAGATAATCATGTGTAACGGTTGATGCTGAGGAGGCCAGCTGTGTTAATGGTTCCTTTAAAAACATTTTTACTTGTTTGGGACAAATAATCACTGTGGAGCACGGAAAAAAGTAATGCAACAGATGTAGTAATACAGTTTGGGGTCGAGCTGAAGTTAATTTTCAGACCCTGTCCCTGATTAAACTTTGAAATTGAGCTAAACTAAACAACTAAAAAAATAAATAAATACAACAGTTTAAAAACCTTGTAAACCCTTTTGAACTATATCATTTTTATTTATTTATTTTCAGTTAGAAATTACAAAGTATCCGATTTCATTTAAGATCTACCTTTACACCCCTAAAGGGCTACCAAAACTCACTTCTTATTATTTATTAATTAATCTTTTATTTTAATTTATTTTATTTTATTTGACGACTTCCGCCTCCGGCACACAGACAGGAAGAGGCGGGGCCTCTGTTCAGGACGCTTGCCCTGCGTTGTTCATTCAACATGGCAGCGGGACCAATTTCTGAAAGAAACCAAGGTAAACGCAACATTACACGAACTATTTCAGCCTTAGTTGCAGTGATTTATAAAACTGCGTGTGCTTTACACGTCTAACTGCTCACCTTTGTGTTTATGAGCGCCGTCTGGTTGGCTCATAGTTTGAGGTAAACAACCGGTCGATCACATGGAAGTGTTCAGTTGTTAGCTTCACTTGCAGCTACTTTAGCCATTCAATTAAATTCTCTTTGCTGTGAGTTATTTTGACCTCTTTGCTACATGAGAACTTGTGTGTATCTTGTGGGGGTTTGATTCATTTGAAATGTGGCTGCTGTTGTTCGCTTATTAGACGCGGAGGTACGTCCTGTTGGCTAACAGCTAACGTTAGCTTAGCAAGCTACCAGAGAGCAGTCTGGCACAACTCGTCGGTCGTGTTGACTAAACCAATGATCCCTCTTTGTTTCTATTTGTGCAAGTTTTTCGGGTGCTTTAACACAGCTTTTGATAAGCTAGAGAGACCGTGTGGTCTGTAGAAAATATGATTATCATGGTTATAATGAATAGGTAGTTTAACTAACTAAATATCTAGCTTTATTATTGGTAACTTTATGGCCTTTTTAGAAAAGCAAAATCACATTAAAATGTCTTATGGTGACTGTTTTTGTATTATTGTATTGATGATTTATAAAATTGGTGCCATATCCTCCAGCTTTAATCGTAATAGGGGGTTTTAACTATCCTTACCGAAAGGTTAAAACGTTGTCCTTACACTCATAATCAGCTAGTTCGTAGTAAAGCAACATATAACATTTGGGAACCCTGTAATAAGAAGTTATTTGGTATTTTTACATGATAAATTAGCGACAGCCAGACATTATGCACCTTCATTGCCTTGTATTTTGACTTAACCTAAATCCATGTAAAATTTGTACCAATTTGGACATCTATGATTTCCATATCAAGTTAATTTCTAATTCTTTCTTGTTTATTTTTTTCAGACGCCACTGTGTATGTCGGTGGCTTGGATGAGAAGGTGTCAGAGCCGTTACTATGGGAGCTTTTCCTGCAGGCTGGTCCTGTGGTCAATACACACATGCCCAAAGACAGGGTCACTGGCCAACATCAAGGTGAGGATTGGCTAATAATGCCTAAAATTGTGATAATCAAGGTAGCAACATGTCTGTCATGGGAGAATAAATAACAATCAGTGAGCTCATTTTTTTTAACTCCTTCTCAGGTTATGGCTTTGTGGAGTTCCTTAGTGAAGAGGATGCTGACTACGCCATCAAAATCATGAATATGATAAAGCTCTATGGCAAACCAATTCGAGTTAATAAGGCCTCTGCGCACAACAAAAACCTGGACGTGGGTGCTAACATCTTCATCGGTAATCTGGACCCGGAGATCGACGAGAAACTGCTCTACGACACATTCAGTGCCTTTGGCGTGATCCTCCAGACGCCAAAGATCATGCGAGACCCAGACACAGGCAACTCCAAGGGTTATGCTTTCATCAATTTCGCAAGCTTCGACGCATCAGACGCTGCCATTGAGGCCATGAATGGCCAGTACCTCTGTAACAGGCCCATCACAGTGTCCTACGCCTTCAAGAAGGATTCCAAAGGAGAGCGACACGGTTCGGCTGCAGAGCGACTCCTGGCTGCACAAAACCCTCTTTCCCAGGCAGACCGGCCACATCAGCTGTTTGCAGACGCTCCGCCCCCACCGAGTGCCCCGACACCGGTCCTAACTGCAATGGGATCTGGGATGCCCATGCCAGGTATGACCAAAAATACTGTGTGTAGATGTTAAAACATGTAGGATGTTCTGTGGCTCTCTTCTTTTCAGTAGTGTATTATTTCACCTCTGTTGCAGTGTAACATTTGAACCACTATTCATCCGCAGACGTGGAAAGATAGCAGTAATGGTAACCTAATAGATGATGATTTCAGGTCATATGTTTACAGAGAACGCAGTTTGGCACAGTGTATATCTGTATGCTCTGACACGAGTCATCCATACCTGATTCACTATAAAATGTGAAAATTGTAGTTTCAACTCACCACTGCGATGTGAAAATCCTCCACATTACGGAAGTAACTATACACTCAACTCATGATTCAATAGAAATCATGATACGATTTTCTCCAAATTTAAAAAACAAACAAAATGAGAGAAATTATGACTGAAAATTATTCCTTTATGTACAAATATGTTTTCTCTTAAGTTTTTAGGTTATAAACAATGCATGTTTCCTTTAGTGGAGTGAAATTGATATCTTTGGACCTTCATACTAATATCAAGATTAACTTTTCATATCACCGATTTGAATCCCCACATCTTCAACTGTCTCATATATCTTATATTCCTACTCCACATATAAAAAGGTCACACTTTCTTGTCATATACAGCTGCCTCTGATTAAAGGCTATAGATTGAGTAGCTGAATGTAGTGGTGAGTGCTACGAGGGTAGATAATCAGTTTTATTACTGGTAAGGGGATTAAGTAGAATCCTGCAATAATGTAAGTGTGCTGCTCTGACTGATGCAGCCTTTATCAGCAAGTGATAACATGATCAATTTAATTTAAGCTTGGGCGATGTCTTTAACTAAAAGTGAACGTGACAGCTGACAAATGATCTTATTATGAGATACTAATGAAGTTTAAAATTATAACAGTGGCTAAGATGACAAGAATATTTAACAGGCAGCCTGGTTTTGTGTACACGTAGACAATGAAACGATAGCTTGTTAATACAACTTGTTTGTGTGCAGGCATGCCACCCCCTGGTTTCCCTCCCGTTCCTCCTCCTGGATCGATGCCACCATCAATGCCCCCTTCAATGAACATGCCTCCAAATGCAGGAGCACCAGGCCAACAGGGTGGCGGCGGTGGGCCACCACCTGGACCACCACCCTTCCCTCCTGGCAGCATGCATCCAGGTACTGGTTTGTTGAAGATTAAAATGTTTCCATTGTAGCTGCAAGTGGGAAGTTATGCAAAAATATACTGACAATAGAACATTTGAGAAAATATCTCTATTTTATGTCACTTTACAATGTTTATTATATAGTGTTTTTATATATTTTGAGAGCAATGTCTAAGTTGGCATATCTATTTTTAAGTTCTGTTTTTATTGTGCTGCAGTTTGCACAATAAAACATGTTTACATTCTGCACACACATAAAATGTTTCTATTTTTTATGTACTCCAGACAGTATAATAAGCCACTATTAACCTATATAAAGACCCAATCATGCATACCGTGATACACCATAACTTTATTATTCACACCCCATTGTCTGGCAGTGTTGACCATAAATGACTGTTGTGATGCAGTGGGTTCTGTTGGTTTGAATGTACATTTTCATTGAAATTCTTTGGTTTTCTTAGAAACATTGTCAGACACCGCAGTACACAAGCTGCTTGCTCGATCGAGTGCCTGCATACTAAACTGTTTGTGTTTCACAGGTATGCCTCAGATGCCCATGCCCCCCCCTGCTCCTCCTGGCATGGTGCCTCCACCTCCTGCTCCCCCGGGATCAAATCAATCCCGGGCACCACCACCCCCTGGCATGCCCCCACCCCCGCCTATGGGAATGCCACCCAGAGCACCGTATGGACATATGGGTAAGCTCCGTGGCAATCTCCCTGGGTCTTTGTGGTCAAATAAATGTCTCTTCACCTGATAAATACTAAAATGCTGAAATTTATAATGCGTAATTATTAAAAGTAATGGTTTTGGACTTAATTTCTCCCTCACAGGTCCCCCTGTGCCTCCAGGTATGAGAGGGCCTCCTCCCATGCCTCCACCGGGCTACGGTGCTCCTCGTCCTCCTCCTTTTGGCTTCCAGAGAGGACCTCCAATGCCTCCAAGGCCCCCCGGTGTCCCGCCCCGCGTTCCTATGAGAGCACCAATGCCACCGTAATCCAAGGAACAAGCTCTCGTTTAGCTTCTTTTTTTTAATAAATCATCTTAAGATCTACTCAAGTTTGTAATAGTGAGAATAATTTAACCACCTGTTTGTTTTGTGGCCATTGTACAGATGAAACCTTTGACAAATAAATTTTTTTAGTACAATTTTTGCAATGTTTATTTCCCTTTCTCAGTCACAAATGTCACTTTATGATCATTTTTAGTTTTGTACCTCAAAGGGTCACGTTTCCCAACTTTCTAATTTAAGTATTCTCTACAATTTGCTTTACTTTATATGCTTTAATAAAAGATGATTCAGCTGCAACATAATAGGACATAGTTAAATGGAGCCATCAGTAATATTGTTTTTTCCATCTGTGTTTTTTTAATTAAGTAATCAAGCTCTGAAGACTAGATTTCTGCAGATTTAGTGCGAGTTTTATTCAGCTTTACAGTCAGAACTAGATCGGATACAACATTAAAATGGTGCTTGGGCGTTAATAGAGTAGTAATCCGACATTATAACATATTCTGAAATGAGCTGTTCTGCATCAGTACTTTATATATTTTAAGAATATATTTTAATGCCTGCTACACTAACATCAATGCCAGACTGTTTCTTGTATTTTTACACCATATCTTTTACTACTACAGGACTTATTAGGATGACGGCAGGGACTGTGGGTTTGTTTTCTCCTGTCTATGTGACACAGTGGCCCCCTAAAATGGAGCGGTACAAACAATTGTCAAAAATTCAGACTATTTCCTCCCTTTCATGATGTAATATAACACCATAACCTGCTCTTTTCCCACACAGTCTGCAATACAGTGTGTAAAAATGCTATTTCTTCTGTTTAGAAACCACTGGTAAAGTTTCAGAGTACCTCATCCTTACATTTTCTACCTAATATCCCTGAGCTGAGACCCTCTCTTGCACACTTACACTACCACACAGCCTTAATGCAAGCCTTAATACAAAACAGCTAAAATAATATCGCTTATTTCCAAAGAGATTTTTTTTTATCTGAATGGCACGGGTGATTATGACATCACACTGTCCGCGAGGAGAGCTCACGTTTCTTCATAGCGGGTCTTGATGCAGCAGAAGGGATCAAGAATATGGCAAGTGGTTGGCATGACAACAGGAGTCAGGTGCACTTGCACGTGTGTTGTCTGTGCACATAATTTGATAATCGTGTGTACAATCTTTTTGTAAAACAAAACCAAAACGCAAATGTGTGTGTGTGTGTGTGTGTGGGGGGGGTGCGTGCGAGGATCTCCACATACAGTGCGTGTTTAATATGAACTCAGTTTTACGCACAGAGCTGTAATTAGCCTTGAGATCGGGTAAAGACGCATAAACCGCAGTGTAAAAGGCGCACCAGCCCGTGCCAAAAGCTGGAGAAAAACGAGCGCAGATTGTGTGCAGATATGCGCCAAAACCCCCTCCAGATATGAAGGCGTTAAAGTGCTCGTGCGCTCGTGAGTTTTTTTTTTTTTTTTTTTTTCTTGCGTGGGGGGAGGGGACCCCTGCACATCACTGAGTGTGCGTGGATGGTGTGGGCTTCTCTCTCCTCCTCCGGACCGCGCAGCATCATCACCACTCCACTCGGTTTACAGCAACAGCCTCGTACGCACCATCATCCTCATCCTCCTCCTCATCCTCCTCATCACCACCATCTCCAGCGGGGCTGAAGAAGAGGTAGAAGAGGGACCGCGTCGCAGGGATAAAAAAAAAGGTGAATAATAATTAACTGTATGCGGTTGATGGCGTCTTGTAAGCGGTATGTTTTTTATTTTGTATTTTAGGGCATTAAGACATCATGAGGAAGAAACGATGGGGCGTGTTCTCCAACCGTTTGCTTCACACAGCAATTAAAATCGATTTTGTGAATCGGGCCTATCTATAATCTAATCCAAGTCGTGACGAGCTGCTGCCTCTGTGATTTCTAAGAATGAGCTCAGATGTCAGGATGCAGGCGAGCAGACAATCCTGCTGCTATTTGTGACACATTTATATTTTAATCCGGCCGTATATTTGTGAGCTGTGGAAATTGGCCTGTTAGCGACTAGGCCTTTTTTTCTTTTCTTCTTAACATCTGTGAAGATGGTTATAGCTGGACTGGAGGCTTACATCTGCTTTTATTTAATTTTTTTTGGTCAATTGCTGGAATCTAGCAACTGTGCAAGAAACTGAAACACCACAGCACAAATATTATAACATTGTAGGCCTGCAGGAAGATAATGTCGTTAATGTTATCTTCAGGTGTCCCGATTTTTCATCACGACACTTCACGACTGATCTCCCACTGCTATCATAATCTAGCGTGCCTGTGATGATGTGATGGCTATCTGCCCTGCTTGGCCTTGCCAGGAAGTGGTGAGCTGATTGATTTTTGAATGGGGGGAGGAAAAAAAAAGACAAACAAAATAAATGATAAAAGGGTTTGCTCCAACCAGGGGAGCAATAATATCCCCCCCCCCCTCATCCTCTTGCCTGCTCTTTTCCACTGAGAAGGGCTCTGTGTTGCTGGCTGCCTGGGGTTGTAGAGAAGCTGTCAACTTGACAACAGGGAAGATGTTAAAGAAAGTGTGTTTAAAGCCGTTGTTTGAGTCTGAATAGTGTTTGCTTTTACAATTTTTAGTGAAAAAGAGGAAAAAAACAGAATTGAAGGAGTGTATATGTATCTTACCTGTTGCATGAAAGATTAATCTATCTATCTATCTATCTATCTATCTATCTATCTATCTATCTATCTATCTATCTGTTGGTTTTTATTGAGGTTTATTTCTGTAATACACCTACAGTGACTAATTTTTTTACCAGTATTTAATCCTCTGAAATCGACATGGACATGAAGCTTTGCTTTCTATACTGTGCAGACACATTTTGGCTGTTAAAATAGGCTCACTTTCACACCGTCTTGGCGAACAGAGCCATCGTTAACAACATTAGTAACACCTGTGCTTCTTCTTCGGTGACAAGTCAAAATGTCTGCTGGGAAAAAAGGGCTATCGTACCAAACTAACCCAAAAATGGTTTTAAAAAAAGCCATAAAGACGTAGGTTATTCCAACATTGTAGGTCTTTTTTTCACAGCAGACACTTCGACTTGTCATAGTAGGAAAAGTGCTGATGTTATTAATGATGGCTGTGTTTTATGTTATTGTCTCAGTAAGCCATGACACCTGAAAACCCCTATGCAGATAGACAGTCTGTCTGCAGGGGCTTTAAAAAAAACAGATCTGCTGTCTTGTTGTTTCCTCTCCACACGGCCGTATTGTTTTATGCAGTTTGTGTTCTTACGTTCATAAGGGATCGTGATTACAGGCCTGTAAGTGCTTGACTCCAAGATATTATTAGGTTAGTGTCCTACAGTTTAGCCTGGCTGACCAGGCCTGTGGGGTGCCTTTGATCAGTGCCAGTAAATCTGCTCGTCATGCTGACAGCGAAGGCTCTGTGCCCTCATGACTGGAGAGGATGTTTGAATTAAATTAAACATAACTCAAATGTGTGTTGTGCTCTAATGAGGATACTGATCTGACATAAGTGTATTGTATATGTTAGATAACTTTGAATACAAAACCATTTACATTTTTTTAAACATAGCTAGTATTCATCTGTGTGAATCAAAGCTATACAGGATATTGATGATTGTAGCTATCAGCGTGGTTCTCATATACTCAGCATTTGCTTATGTTAATTTGGGGATTTAAACAACCTAAAGAGCAGTTTAGTTCTACTGTGGTTGCACATGGTAGGTTTTAATGGTCCAGTGTGTAACATTTAGGAGGCTCTATTGGCAGAAATGGAATATAATATTCATTGATATGTTTTCATTAGTGTATAATCACCTGTCTATAGGAAATGTGTTTTCATTACCTTAAAAATGCGCGGTTTTTATCTACAGAGGGAGCAGGTTGCCTTTTTAATGGAGCCAGAATGGAAAAACCAAACAATGGCAGTAGAAGTTGTTTGTGTTGTTTGCCAAAATATATTTGTAAATGACTGATTTTAGTCCAAAGATATGAAAATGAATAAAAACATAATGAAGGTATTTAATATTTCACTGTCAGAATCTAATAATGGTAGTGTGGAGTAGTCTTTGAAGTTACATTTAGACCATCATGTAGGGGGATACAATTTACAGAAAATGAATGAAGAAGACAAAAACCATTAAATTAAATACAGCGGATTCTGACCCCTGAGCTCAGTATTTCTAAAATCCTGTGTCTGGACCTTTATACTGTATACCAGACATCTAAAGCTCTGTCAGCCCCGTTATTACCTGTCAGACCTCGTTTTTGAAACAGGGGTCAATGTGAGCGCTGCGGTGATGTCTTTCATTCTGTGTCTGTTGTTTCACTGCATCACAAAATCAAAGTGACATGTTGTTTTATTGCACAATGACCCGGGGCACACAGTGTCTTAATACAAAACCATATGGATGTGGGTATTGTCAGTGAACTATGCGAGTCATTGCCTTATAAATGTTGTTTTTTCAAAAGGAGATGTGATACTGCAGCAGACAAGTGAAATGGACATCAGTTTTCTGGCTGCTTTTTCTCAATTTCAAGCCTCATTTGTTTTCGCACACAGCTCCTCTAAATCAGCAAATAGAACGCTTTTTCAATTAAGGAATGTTTATGTGACTAACCCAAGAAGTATACTTTATTTATATATATTTATATATGTATTACTGTCAAGCCTGATATTCAATTGCTTAAACTATTAAAAAACTCACATTTAATGCAGGATTTTGTGAGTCTTGTTACAGGATGATGAGGGCCTTACAGATGATGAGGGCCTTACAGTGGTGTCCTTTTATCCCAAACTAGTGTCTGATCCTGTTGAGCATTATCTCAGTCACATTGCATTTGAGTCATGGTCATGTACTGTAGCTCTCCTCCATGAACATAAACAGAGGCATTTAGGCCATTTCTGCACCAAGAGACATCCATTAAAACCACTCTCACTATTCAAGGCTTGATGCCTCGCCCTGTAATTACTGCTCAGGCCCATCTGTGACTCAGCAGTGAACACATGCTGCGCATATATGGAAAATGCAACAGGTGCCTGTAAACATACCATTAAAAGCTGGTTAGCTGAATGGACAGATCTATACATAGACCTGTATAAATACGTATTTTTATCTCTCTATATATGTTATAATATGTATATCTAAATGTTCCATATCTTGTCATTTTGTGTCTCTTTGTAGTCAATTGGTGTCTTTGTATCTCTGTAATGTTTTTTATTGTCCTGTCATTTTCTGTCTATTTGTAGTTATTTTGCACCTCTTTGTGCATTTTGTGTCTGTTTCTAGTCATTTTGTATCTCTTTGTACTAATTTTCTATATAATTTTGTGTCGCTATTGTTGATTTGTGTCTCTTTATTGTAACTTTGCACCCCTTTGTAGTCATTTTTTACATCTTTGTGGTTGTTTTGTGTCTCTTTGTTGTCATTTGACATGCTCAAGCACCGGAGCACCCTGTTGAGTAATGCATCAATTGGGTCACCAGAAATGTGCACTCTTGCTTTTGAAGCTTCTATTAAATGTCTCTCTTGACAACAAAGCATCTTTCTATGAAATCTACAACTACATGCCTGAATGATTATGAAAAAAGTAAATGTTGGCTAATCTATATTTCCATTTTCTCCCCAGCCTGTTGTCGGTCAAGTCAGCCGGAGTCAACTCTTCAAGTCTGTGAGGTGTATCCTGAACAAACTGAAGTCCCAGCACGTTCAGGTGCCCTCTCCACTAAATTTTTGACCCCTTTTGCTTCTTGCGAACCTCTTTAAAATGGAGGACGGTTACCAAAACCGGACTGCCTTCATAAAAGGTGCCAAAGACATTGCCAAAGAAGTCAAGAGGCAAGCATCTAAGAAGGTCGGCCGTTCAGTGGATCGGGTGACCGATGAGTACAGCAAGCGCTCCTACAGCCGTTTTGAAGAGGACGATGATGATGACTACCCCATGCAGGGAAGCCAGGATGGAGGCTACTACCGTGGAGATAGCCAGGCAGCCAATGACGACGAGGGCGGCCACAGTGACTCTACAGAGGGTCACGATGAGGATGATGAAATCTACGAGGGAGAGTACCAAGGAATTCCAAGGGCTGAATCAGGCAAAGGCAGCCTGGCTGGAGGCCCGGGCTCGGTGAAAGCCGGTGCTCAGCAGTTCACAGATATCGGAGTGTCCGAGGCAGAGAGGAGGAAGGACCAGGAAGAGCTGGCTCAACAGTACGAGACCATTTTACAAGAATGTGGTCACGGGAAGTTCCAGTGGACCCTGTACTTTGTGCTGGGGCTGGCTCTCATGGCAGATGGCGTGGAGATCTTTGTGGTCGGGTTCGTCCTGCCCAGCGCTGAGAAGGATATGTGCCTGTCTGAACCTAACAAAAGCATGCTAGGTAAGACTCTTACAGTTGACTGTGTCTCCTCCTTCCGTTGTACAAGTTCTGGTTTGTGTGTCACAATTTTTTATGTTGCTCAAAGGTTGTCTATTGTCCATATTTATCTTATTGTCAACAAATCTCCAAAACCAACAATGAATTGATCCTGTTAACCTGTTAAGTATTTGCTGCATATTCCTCTGGGCTACATAGCTTAATTGTTGTCCAAAAACCATTATTCAGAACACATCAATGAAACAAAGCACCAAATGTGTATTAATCTGCGGCTGAAAATAGTCCCCAACAAATAAAACAATTTACTCCTGTTTGAGTTTACTAAAAACTACAGTGCCCCGCTGTTTAAGGAAATTATAGGCTTACTGAGACTATATATTTGTGCCCTGTTTGTTAAAGGGCTTGGAGTTCTCCTGGGATTTATTGACAACAAGAAAAATAAAGAAATAAAATAAAAAAGTGTCGTCTGCCTGTCTCGTAAAGGCCAGCTGTCAGCCAAATAAGCATGAGCCTGCAAAGCCCATAATCTCACAGGAGTGTTGCAGAAATAAAGAATACTGGACAGACATATTTGTAGCAGTAAATAAAGAGTTCTGCAGTAAACACTGACATTTTGTATTGACATTTGTTACAGTTTAATTTCCTCTGCTCTCTCCACAGGTCTGATTGTATATTTTGGGATGATGGTTGGGGCTTTCCTCTGGGGGGCTCTGGCTGACCGAATAGGCCGTCGGCAGTCTCTTCTCATCTCTCTCTCCATCAATAGTGTCTTCTCCTTCTTCTCCTCCTTCGTTCAGGGCTACAGCACCTTTCTGTTTTGCCGGCTTCTCTCAGGTGTTGGGTAAATAGAAAAAGTTGTTTCACTGATATTCTACAGATCAATCCAGCAGGGCCAAGGAAAACACAAAAATACAAAGAAGTGCAAAAGCACATTTTAACCATCACACATGAGTTGTGGGAAGCTATTACATAAAAATGAGTAACTACAATTATTAAAAAACCAGTATACTCAATCTTCCAAAAGCTGCAATCTTGAGATGAACTATGTTGTACTTCTGACTGCAGCATTTTGAGTTTGGTAATTATTACTATTAATTGTAGATCTTTAGTATTCCAGCATATATTAAACTTTCTGAACACTCAAGTCTTTAATTCATTAAAAAAGAGCAGTTTCTCTGGTTTAGTGAAGTGACAAATTGAGATTGTGGTGAAATCAATCACTTTCCTACAGAGCTTCTGTGAGTTAGTTTTGCACCATGGTGATGGAGTAATTGAAGCAAATAATGTTAAAGCTTCAGTGACTGAAGAAAACAAGCAGTGCAGTAAATTAAAGGTCGTAGATCCGAACTGGTGCCTCCACTTGTAAAAGGTCTAGTTACTCTAGTTTTACATGCAGGAGTTTAAGGTAATTATCTCTCTCTCGATATGATACCATGTTATGGTAATATGATATATATGGTGCTTTAGGATATTTAAAAATGACTCTTATTTCTATGTACAGAATGCTATTAATCTGACAACCTAAACTCTGTGTGCATCTCTGGATCTTTGCTCTTAAATACTGGGCTCAGCTGGTTTCTGATCTTTGCAGGATTGGTGGCTCAATTCCCATCGTGTTTTCCTACTACTCTGAGTTTCTGTCCCAAGAAAAGCGTGGCGAGCACCTCAGTTGGCTCTGCATGTTCTGGATGATTGGGGGAATATACGCATCTGCGATGGCCTGGGCTATAATCCCACATTATGGTGAGTACAGTAACCTATCCCTGAATTCACGAGGTTATGTCTAGCTACCTCTGCACTGCCCAAGCTAGCAGATCGTTCTCATTTTGAGGAGGCAATAGTTCAACATTTTAGGGAATACACTTATTTGCTTCCTTGCCAGGAGTTGGATGAGAAGATCGATACCACTCTTGATATGTTTGTGCATTAAATATAAGGCTATAGCCAGTTATCTTAGCTTAGCTTAGCATAAAGACAGGGGGAAACTAGCCTGGCTCTGGCCAAAGGGGACAAAATCGGTCTACCAGATAAAGGTAAAGCTCACTAAATAACATGTAATACCAGAGCAGTTGTGCCAGGCACTGTGCCCAAAGCCAAGAAGTATTCACAGCCTCCTGCAAAATTGTGAATTGTTGTTTTTACACTTTTTGTTCGTATTAAACAAACGTTATATAATTGTTTTAATTAGTGCGCTTTAGAGGCACTAGTCTGCTGATTTTGTTACCTTTGGACAGAGCCATGATAGCTGTCTCAAGTCTTTATGCCAAGCTAAGCTAAATGACTGCTGACTTCTATCGCCAGAAAGCAAAATGGTATATTTTCCCCAAAATATTCCTTTAAATTTTGATATTTTTGCAGGAAACAAAGTGTAAACACACAATTTTGAGCTTTGGCTTTGGCAGCAGGGTGAGCCGGTTGCTGAAACCAGGTGTAAGTTTGTTTGCTAGCCAAACTATTTCCAGAGTCGTGACCTCTGAATTCCCTTGGGGGAGGAAAAATAAGAACATGGCTCATACTGTGTCACATCAAATTAGATACATTGCAGACTATGCTTCATAAAGATGTATTTTCTGACCGTACCTGCTATTGACTTGACTCACATTCGTGGGACAAAGTGAAAGAAGTCTAAGGTGTGAGCTCATTTCTTCATGTTGGTCGTGCTTTTTTGTCTTCTCAGGATGGAGTTTCCAGATGGGCTCGGCATATCAGTTCCATAGCTGGCGTGTGTTTGTGTTAGTGTGCGCATTCCCTTGTGTTGCAGCCATCGCTGCCCTCAGTGCCATGCCAGAGAGCCCACGCTTCTACTTAGAGGTTAGCAGATGTGCTTGTTGACAGTTACTCTCATATGAGTTATTACTGACATAAAACTACAGATTTCTTCTTCTAAATGTTTAAATTACTGGGTATAAATGCATGCAGAAAACACAGGAGATGTTTACTTTTCTCCCAAACAGAATGGCAAACATGACGAAGGCTGGATGATTCTGAAGCAAGTTCACGACACTAACATGCGCGCAAAGGGATGCCCAGAGAAGGTGTTTTCTGTGAGTATATGGTTATATTAAGCTCACAAACAATACCTCCATTAAAGTAATTGAACATCTTCACAGGAAGGGATCCAAATGTAGTTTTTTAAATAACGTTTTGGGGCATTTTATGCCTTTATTGGATAGTCGACATTAGAGAGATGACGGGTAAGGACGGAGGACGGAGATTGGGAATGACACGCATCAAAGGTCACTGGCTGTTTTTAGTGTCAGCTGCACAGTAATCAAAAAGTACAATATACACAGCTTGGACCATTTCTACTAGAGATGACAGCTCTATGACTTTCCCAACATCCATTGTATTCTAGCAGATACATAAACTAGAAATGTTTAAACCAAAGCTTTTCTTCGGGTACATAAAATTGTTTTCCTTCTACTTTCAAATCGTTATCCTTCTTATAGATCCATACAACAGCTGCTTGCACATTTCTACATTTCACTGTTGGCATTAAAACAATTGAAAGAAAAAACTCAAAAAAACAACACATGGTACAATACTTATATTTTAGTCAAACAAGTCTAAGTTTCACGAAGTCTTTTCAGAAATACCACTTGTAATAATTAAAAAACAATACGTCAAAGTTCCATCCCTGACATCTGGCTGGAGGAATATCTCTGAAAGATTTGTGTCTCTTTCATGCAAGGTCACCACAATTAAGACGGTGAAACAGATGGATGAGTTGGTGGACACTGGCACTGATACTCCAGTCTGGAAGCGCTACCGACTGAAGATTATGAGCCTCTCCCAACAGGTGAGTGAAGTGAAGAAGGGGTGAAAACTCATATGGTTTTAAAAATATAATTCACATACAGTGTATATACTTTCTTTAATCAGGGGTTTTGTTTAAACAACTAGAAGATTCATTGTTGTGGAGGCAGCTCTGAACCAAAACTGCAACAACTTTTTAAAAGGGTGAAATAAAACACCCCTGAGATCATATCTGAGGTCATTGCTCCTTTAAAAATGCAGTATTACAATTATTGTACCAGAGTATGAGGCATTTCACTGCTTGGGGGCATGCCTGTAAAAGGCCACAGTGGAGCTGGCATCAGTGCAAATGAACAGTGTGGATGGAGGCGTAGGAGGCCAAGAGTAGCTAAGAGGTTTAAAATGCCATCTTTTCCTTATGAATTATTTTGAATTATGACTTACGTCAGATTTTATGAGTGCAGACTTTCTATTTTCTCTGTTTTTTATCTAACTTGATGAAACAAACGCAAACAAAAAATTTGCATTTTGTCCTGGTAGTTCTTATTTGTTGCATTATTATTTTATGTTAGTATTTGACTTTATTGTGTTTAAACTTACTCTTTCATTGTGTTGCACATTGTTGCAGCACTACTGCTCCAGGCAGAAACTTTAGCTTTGTGCCTGATTTTAATTTGCATTCAGCCTACGTTCTGTTAAACGCCTACACCCTCCATTTTCTTCTGAATCTGCTACTGCACCACCTGCCTAATTCTTACTGAAAAGTCTCCAGTCTTAAAGTTGAAGCTGTAAAGATGTAGCTTCAGAGCAGCCTGGTTGCTGTCGTGTTGCGTTACTTCCAAGTGAATTCTAGCTCAACAAGTTGCATGTTACAGCTCAGAAATGTAAACTGAGATATTACAGAGTCATCAGATTAAAGTTAGAGCATCTGTTATAATAGTTTAAATCTGGTCTCCCAAGTTTTCTTTATCAAAAGTTGTGTTTTCTTGTTCGTATGTTGCAGATACGGAATAACATTCTTGCCTGCTTCAGCCCAGAATATAAACGGACGACTTTCATGCTCATGGCTGTTTGGTTTACCATGTCTTTCAGGTAAACTACAGACTCATAAAACCTTTGCTATGTGGTGAATCACGTTCACTTTTGACCCTTATTTCATCTGTCCTGACTCTTAAAACCTTGCAGCTACTATGGTCTGACGGTGTGGTTCCCAGACATGATCAAATACATCCAGAAGCAGGAATATGAATCACGCACAAAGACCTTCACGAAGGAACGAGTGGAGCATGTGACTTTTAACTTCACCCTCGAAAACCAAATTCATCGCGAAGGACACTACTTCAATGACAAGTAAGTGCTGTGTGAGCCACAGTTTTTGTTCCTGGACAATTGTCCCTTCTTAAGTCCCGCCCCTTCTTGCTCTGTGCTCCAATAACAGTTGAGTAAGCCTCTGTCAGCTTTACTCTTTCCTGTACTTAGATATGCTATGTGCTAGGCTCGTCTATAAAAGACAGCCACATTTTGAAGCTGGTTAAATTATCTAGCTAATATGAGCAAAAAGGGTGCTAACTAGCCAGCTAATCTACATCAGTCGGCAGTTCTGAGTCGATGTTAGTAAAATCCAAACTGATGATTGATGTGAATTGCAAACATACAACAATATAAAACTAAAACCTGTGACCTGTTCGCCAGGTTCCTCAACCTGAAGATGAAGTCCATGGTGTTTGAAGACTCTGTGTTCGAGGAGTGCTACTTTGAGGACATCACCTCCACACACACCTTCTTCAGAAACTGCACCTTTGTTGCAAGTTTGTTCTATAACACAGGTAAATATTAACATAACTTCACTGGTGTTTTGATAGTAGTGAGGACAGTCAGTATCACTATATCAGTATGATTAATTATTGATAAATCTTTAAAATGTAGTCATTTAGTCTATAAAATGTCAAGAGAAAAGAGACGTAAAAACCTTACAAGTTGTTATGGTGAAGTGTGTTTGCAAACAGTTGCCTAGTCACCCATCTAGAAGACATCGAGCAACATTAGTATTCATTTGGAGTCGTGTTTCTGGCCACCAAGCAATTGTTAGTCTAAAAATCACTCTCCTTTTAGCTCCTGAGGCCAAATATCTGGCTCTTTAGCTGCTTAATGCTCCACTATGTTAACCAGGTACTCGCTTACTTTGTCTGTCCGCCTTTTGGGGTTGGACATGTAGCGTACAGTTAGTTTATCAGTGCTTCTTTTGTTGAAAACAGCTGCTCACTGCATCTGGAAACAACACTGATGAACGCAGCGAGCCAAAACAGTAAATCTGTGGGCCTTGGAACCAAAGCAGAGTAAAAAGACAGTAAAACGCTCTGTAGAGCTGATGGGAACAGCAGGGTGTGTTGATAATTATATATGTGAGTGTCTTCTTTTACCTTACATATAGTTATTTGATCCAATGTTAGTATAAGATACTCATTAGTGCAGCTATAAAGTGATCTGCTGTGCACTAGTTTTAATTATAATAATTAAACAGCTGCACTGCAAAAACACGAATAGTGTTAGATTAAATGTGAATTTTTATTTGTTTTTATTGCAACTTAAAGTAAAAATAGAGACAAGGAGGAGTTCAGCAGGACTGCAACCATAGAAACACTCTGTTGCTAGTATCCCTGGGTTACACTGGCGTAGCACTGTTACCGTAGCAACGTAAACAAATCCGGCCCAGACTCTTCTGACAGAAGAGGTAGGCGGCACTGGCCACCACTGCCTCTTCAACCTAAAGGTTAGAGAAGCGATGTTCAATTCCCTGGACTGGCAGGGAAAGAAAGGCTGCTCGTGGTAACGAGAAACCCTCGTTACCACCACTTTCCCTTGTTACCACCCCTTTCCCTTGTTACCACCACTTTTCCTCGTTACCACCACTTTTCCTTGTTACCACCACTTTCCCTCGTTACCACCACTTTCCCTCGTTACCACCACTTTCCCTCGTTACCACAACAGAGGTGCCCTTGAGCAAGGCCCTCAACCCCAACCGCCCCAGTGGAGAAGCTCAGTGGCCACAGATCAGACTGTGGCTGTACTGTGCAGCTTCCAGGTGGGAATGTGTGTATCTGTATGTGAATGTGTTCGAGGAGTTTCTAGAAAAAGAGAGAATTGCTGTCAGTGAAGCCCCCCCCCGTGAAACAGATCTTCATGATTAAGTAAAACAGATATAAGAATGTGTTAACTGGATAGTCAGAACCAAAGTTCTTCTTAGACTCGACATGACAAACCTGTGTGTGTGTTGAGATGACAAAATGTATGTCGTGTCCTGTCTGTCTTTCTTTTTTGTTCTTGAAAAGTACAGTCGTATCTTTGCTCATTTGTACGTGAATCTTTTATACTGTAAGTGTGTAACTGTGCACAAACATGCACAAAGAGATCATTTAACACACATTGCTGTAGTCCAGGGTGGGTTTTTTTTTTTGCTGCATGGTTTTAATTTCTGCTTTAAATCAACATGTCAAATTCTGCCTGAGAAAATCGATGAGCTGTTTCTCTGCTAACAACAAGTCTTAAATCTCAAACATCTTCACTCTCACAGCAGCTTTTACAGCAGCTGTATCTTCTCATCCCCGAAGCCAACGATACATTCTTTTATGTTTATGTCATTTGTGCATCTAAAAATTTTATGATCACTCAAAAGCACTTTTGTGCCTGACTCCCTTTAATAAAGCTGTTATAGGTTATGAAGCAATTTCACCAGTGTCATCAGAAAATCTAATCATGCTGCTTGTGCTGCTGCAGGCAGCAAAGTATGAAAAGAGAATAAAGTAACAGAGCTTGTAACCTGGAGGAAAACTGGTTTTTGATAGACAATGCAACCTCCTCTGACCGCTTCTATATTTTTTTCCTCCTATTATTTATTTGAAGAAGTTCTAGTGATGGATGCTGTGTTTTTGTTAAGTCTCTGCCGTTAAGGAATTTTGATTAAAAACAGCCGCTGACAGAGGACTGGTTGTGGAGTGGTTTGCAAATGTCCTGGTTTCTTTTGCTGAGAGATAATTCAATCCCCCCTTTTTCCATGTTTTAGGAAAACCAATCATCTATTATGCCAGTATGCACATACTGTAGGTTTGGTTTCAGACGTTGATGGGACACAATGAATGTTCCTCAATCAAAGTATAAGAAATACCTGCTTTTCATAATAATGAAAATTTTTTTCTATTGCTAATGTTTTTGCCCAACTCTTTGCCACGAAGAGCACAGCAGCTTTTATTTATAAGCTATTCATACTCATCTCTTCTCTCATCTGGTAGAAAACATGGAGATTTTGTAAAACTGTAAGCAACTGTAAAAGTTAGGGTTACAAAAGCTATAGATTATTCTTTAGATTTAATATTACTGAGCAATAACACCTCTTTCTCTTTCTCTTTAATCAGATTTGTTCAAATACAGGTTTGTCGACTGTAAACTGGTCAACAGCACGTTTCTCCACAACAAGGAGGGCTGCATACTCGACTTCAGCGACGACTTCAACAATGCCTACATGATATACTTTGTTAACTTCCTCGGCACGTTGGCAGTGTTGCCTGGCAACATTGTGTCGGCTCTATTAATGGACAAAATTGGCCGTTTAAGGATGCTGGGTGGGTAAATCTAATCAATGCAGATAATTCGCTCATGACCATAGAGGCTCTTTGACCTAATGTGACTGTCATTCTTCTCTCCAGCGGGATCCAGTGTCATATCTTGCATCAGCTGTTTCTTCCTGATGTTCGGCAACAGTGAATCAGGGATGATCGCCCTCTTGTGTCTGTTTGGTGGCATCAGCATCGCCTCGTGGAACGCCCTGGATGTGATAACAGTGGAGCTCTACCCCTCGGACAAAAGGTAACATGAGATGCACCAACTCGTGGCAGCATAGGGTTTTTATGAGTTATTTTTATGTTTTCCTGACAATGTATATTGCAGTTTGTTTCTGTTGATTGGTGATCACATGATGTGTCCTTTACAAAGAGAGCTTACTGTTGCGCTCTGGTGAAGGCTTCAGGTTGATTTCAAATAGATATACCCAAAGGATCAGCACATGAGATGATTCTTTTTGTTGTTTTTGACCTCTGAACTTATTCCGTTTTTCCTGACTTGCTGTTTTTTTTAAGGCAGCTCACCCAACTGAATTTTAGTGCAGGAGAAACACACCTGCTTCCTTTTACAAACAGTTTTTAGTGCTTAGGTTAATTAAAGGAACAGCCAGGTTAGTTTGCTGTTACCAGTCTTTATGCCAAGCTAACTGTCTGCTGGCTCCAGCTACATATTTCATATGTTTATTAGTTTTTTTTAACAGGTAGGCTTGTTTGTAATATGATTTAACTGAAGGCAGAGTCCATTTAAATGTTTTATTGATGATTTAAGGATTATACTAAAAATGCCCTTAGTAACTCTCTCTGGTTGGGATTATTATAGAGAGTTGAGTTGTGTTTTGGTAAGGACACCTTATTTTTGGCATATGTTTATTTGTAGAGTTTATGAGAAGAGACAAAACCCTTCTTGTCTGACAAATGTTTCACCATGGCAACAGTATCTTTGTTGTCTTTTAAATCCATATGGGCTGAGAACTTGCATGTACATGACACAATAAACCAAAAATATCAAAAATAAACAACAACGAGTACTACTACTAACAGTACCATCAAAAGTACAAAAAAACAATTGCAATTATACTTTGACTGATCTGTGCTATAAATAACAAAGTGTAGAAAAGGAAAACTAAACATGTTCAAATGCACTGAAGGCAGATCAGCTTAAATTAGAGAATTAATGATCAGTATTATTAAAAATCCTCCTCTTTCCATCAGTTATTTAAACTCCTAACTCTGATTGTGTTTGTCCCTCTTTTCTTGTGTTCAGGACCACAGCATTCGGCTTCCTGAATGCCCTCTGTAAGCTGGCGGCCGTCTTGGGCATCAGCATCTTCCAGTCATTTGTCGGCATCACCAAGGCCATACCCATCTTATTTGCTGCCGGCGCGCTCGCTGCAGGTAGTTTCCTTGCAACAAAGTTGCCTGAAACACGAGGCCAAGTGTTGCAGTAAAGAAAATGACCAGCAGTGGGCAGCAGGGCACAGCTGGAGTGTGTGTTTGACAATTAGAGCCCGAACACCCCTGAGAGCTTCAGCGCTGCCCGTCACACACACCAACAGAACAGACTGCCATCCCCATCGTAAGCCCAGAATCCTTTGAAATATGGATTGCATCATTCAAAGTCTATACAGAGCCACAGTGATTAAGAGAAGAGCAGCGCAGATTTAGAAATAAATACTTTCAGCTACACTGTCAACAACATCAGATCTTTTTAAAAGTGTAAAATGCGCAGGGTAATGCAGTACAAATTGTGGCGTGCAGTAAGGATAAATGTTAATTCCTAGGAGTTTTCTATCACTGACCCGACCTTACCAGATCTACAATATCAATTGAGAAGACAGAGATGTCAAATGAAGAGATGAGACTGAAAAAAAGCCATTTAGGGGGGAAACCATGAAAAGATTTACTTTATGTATGTGGTCGATTTTCAGTTATGATTGCAGTATTCTTCTTTATTGTCTGTCCTCGGCCTCAGTGACTGGCTTTCAGTGCTGCTTTTTAATTTGCTGTGATGTTACTGCTACAGTGCACTTCACATTTCCATTCAGACCGATGTGCTTGTGTTTGATGAAAAGATTTTCTTTGGGTGAATATATTTTCTCTAAAAACCGCCAATGACTCTTGACCGCTGCCTACTACTGAAGACCTGCAAGCTCTTATTTTCTACCAAATAATATTAAGACATTCCAGTGAGGCTTGATTTATTCAGAAACTAAGTACAATTTCCCTTTGTCCCTGCATAAATCCAGTCTCCTCCTCTACTTATAGCCTCAAAACACACACAGGTGAAGATGCATTTCACAGGATTCTCTGTTGTAAATGGGACTAGTTTGATCCAGCTCCTCAGTGTTCAGTGTTAAACTAATATTTTCCCTCCCTGTTGTTGAACCATACAGCTGTGGCAGTGTGATGGTGTTCATGCCTGCAACACAGGAACGTCTGTGGGACAGATTTTGGTCAAGTTCTAAATGTGAGAGCAGATACTATAGTGTTATATTTGCCTAAATTAGTGGTGTGAGTGTGCGTGGGATTGCATGTCTTTGTTATGTGAGACAAGAGAAAGTGATTTATTCATTTAAATTACGTCATTTCATTCAAATCAGTGCAGCCACGAAGACTTTATTTACTGATCCAACAGCAGAATGTTTTAGGCTAATTTAGACATAATTATATCAGCATATAACTCACGCAGTAGCTCAGGTGTGGTGAAATGTTTAGACCACGATTACAGCTGGTATTTTGTTTTAGCACCACTCCACCAAATGACTGTACATGCAAGATAGTTGTCTGATATTTCCGGCTTCGTCCCATATACATTACTGCATCAGTTAACCTTAATATGAAAAGAAGTCACAAAACAAGTCATTTAAATTCAGTGTGAAAGTTCATTCTTGACCTCAGTAACAGTAGTAAGAGATTTTGACCGCATCTCACTGTCTTTCTTAGCAGTTTGCTTAAGTGTTTCGCTGTTTTGTCTTTTTATGTTTAGGTTCAAAACATACAATCAATGCAGTTGAGGCAGTTAATGCCTCTTTAAAGTCATGATATGACTTCATTATACCCATAAGCTCAAATGAAACTGGACCAAAAGATGAAGAATCAGTTAAAATAAAAGTCCTATTGATCAGGCAGAGTGGCACAAAGAGAAAACTGAGATTACAAATCACTCACCTAATTTAATTTTAAGGGCTCCTGTTCCTGTCATTCTTTTACTGCGTCCGTTTGTGCCAGAAAACAAGAAAAGTTATTACTCACTTTTCCTGTATGATACCGGTTGATAACAATCTGTAAGGATAACAGAAGTAAACAGGAAAATAAATGTGATCCTAAATTAGAAACAATCACTAATCTAACTGAGTACCATTCTTTATACATATCACTACTTCGGTATCATTTCTCCAAAGGTGTACATCAATATGTGTGCTGACAATCAGTGAGTGAGTAAATGGGGGCTGCTGCTACCCAATAGAGTATGTTATTTGACCTAAAGACGTCCTCTGGATTGTGTGTGTGTGTGTGTGTGTGTGTGTGTGTGTGTGTGTGTGTGTGTGTGTGTGTGTGTGTGTGTGTGTGTGTGTGTGTGTGTGAGTGAGTGAGTGAGTGAGTGAGTGAGTGAGTGAGAGAGAGAGAGAGAGAGAGAGACATTAAAAGAATAATTCAGTATTTTGATAAGTACACTTATTCATTTTATTGCTGAGAGTCCGATTAAAAGATCAATACCACTCTCATGTTGGTGGGTAAAGTATGGAGTTGACGCCAGGATGCCATTAGACTGGAGTTTTATTACCTTTGCACAGAGCTAGGCTAGCTGTTTGCCCGTTTCCAGTCTTTATGCTAAGCTAAGCTAACCACCTGTTGGCTGTGGCTTTGTACATAGCGCACAGGCATGAGCGCAGTATTGATCTTTTAACAAGAAGAATATTTCCCAAAATGTTGAATTATTGCTGTCAAATCTAGATTACATTCTGATGATCAAGCTGTTTGTCTACAAAGTCAAAGTGCGTATTTAATGAACAGATGTCTCCTGTCTTGTTTATGTTGGAGAGACTGTTGAAGCTCTTGTCGATGTGTGTGTGTGTGTGTGGTGTGCGTGTATAAGCTGACTCTAAATTGTCTGTCACATATTTTTCTACTTTTTTCTGTTGCGATGTTTTCATCCCCGTGATGAAAACAGCTCAGTTGGGGACCACGGAAATATATTTACACTATGAGAAGATAAAAAAAGCAACCTAACACAATATATGCAGTATAGAATTTAATGTTTTGTTCTTCATAATAGACTCGGGTGCTCTTTTGCTGACATAGTTCAGTCTTTAAAAACAAACCACATCAAAGATAGCCAGTCTCAGAGATAAAGTGCGGTCTGTTCTCTGCTCAGAAATACGAAGGATCACATCTTAAATTCACAAAGACGACTTCACCCCCTAATCCTTCTGTATTCAACCGATCGTGACGCATGTTTGTATCGTATTGTCTGACTTTTTGGACGTCCTGTATGCCAGCTGTTTTTGTCTAAAGCAAGAACTAGTGTTTTCATTGTTGTATGATGACATAGATTTGTTGCTTGCAGTGATTGTTCTTAATCAAAGTGGGGTTAAAATTGGTGAAACTTGAGTATGTGTTCTGAAAGTAAGTTAGTGGTGGCTGTGCTCCTTTGTTTACCTTGGACCCAGGTAACTCTTTTTTTATATATAAGCCTGAATTTCTGAGGAGGACGCTTGTAGTCGTGCAATTCACCTTGTCACAGAGGTACAAGATAGGGCCGGAAAAGGGCAATACGCTTAGGCAAAGGGAAAAATTATGAACAAAAAGTACAATTTGACATAAACTTGTTTTGTCCACGTGAGTCTATTTAAATAGGGGGAAGTGTAAGCAATAACGTGGAGGCTTTCCCCAATTCTGAGAAAACAGGAAGTCAGATTTAAATCCAAAAAGGACCACGGTTTATCAACTCATCAAAAGAGCCCCTCTGTCAAATTGAAGCTCGTGTCCAAAACGTAAGTTTACTATTTAATGTTGCTATGTGTAGAATTCTAATTCTATATATATATATATATGTATAAACTATCAAAAGGATTACTGGTTTGAGTTTTATCTATGATGACGGCAGTGATATGGGATGTTGTCAAAATAAAGCGAACACCAGCCTGAAGACTTCCCTTAATGATGGCAGTCTGATAGAGGAATGGAGGATTTTTTATGGCATGGTTTCTGTCTTCTCAAATATTAGGAGCATAGATCAGTCCTGAATGGATCCTGAGAAAAAAAAAAAAAAAAAGGGCCGACCCATGCCAGAAAACAACTCCTATCTGCAAAGAACTGCAAGGATCCTTCGCTGTAGTTTGGACTGAAGGATTTTATGTTTGCGTTTTCTTTGGTTTGACTCTGACCTGTTTATTAAATGATAAAAGTTCTACTCTAAATGTGAGTTCAATTCAAAATTCTATGTACTGTGTGTAGAAACTGTAGATGTTTGTACGTGCAAGTTTGGAATTTGTGGAACAAAAGATCAAGGAAAACAATTCCAAAAAAAGTTCAATATGACACAAAAATCTATTGTGTGTTGTCTTTGTGTTTTGTAAATGAAGACTGAAAAACTTGGTAAATTCAGTATTTATTACTTCTGGATATTGAGAATATTTTAGTGATGCTGAAAAGGTGCTGTATTTATTTTATGTGAGAGTTGTTCATTATGCTGGGATTTGCACTTTTGTGCCATTTATCCAGTTCTATGAAGAAAATGATAAATCATAATGGAAAAATAAAACATGAAGAAAGAAAACCAATGTCATGGTTTGCATTACACAGCATGAAATCAATTTCTCTTCAGTTCACAGGGTTTTTCTCCAAACGTAAATATTAATGACAGCAGGAGGTTGGACTTTGCATCAGTATCTTCACTACATTAACGCGCAGACTGCCCGTAAAAGTGCAGTTATGTTGCTGCCTTGTTCTGATACGTACTTGTCTTGTCCAGGGGCGGGAATTGGAGAGTAAAGTTAACTGGTTTGATTTCCCTGCCAACAGTGCTCCTTTGCTACATCTTGCCGCCTGTGAGGTTGGACCACTGGAAAGGATCAAAGGATAAACTAAAATGATTGTTAATGGGGTGGGAAACAAGAAAAAAAACTAAGTGAGGCATCTGCAACTTTGCTTTTTCCTTACTGTATAGTCTAAAGGATGTTTTCATCTCTTCAGGGCCAGTATGGACAATAGATGTGATCATTTTCTTTAATAATGCTTAGTTCAGGCCTCAAATTTGCTTTTGAATAAAAGAAAACTCACAAGTTGAACTGAGCACAACTCAGACATCTGTTTACGGTTCACAAGTAGACTTTGCTTAGAATAAAAAAAAAAAAAAAAGTAAATAAAAACAAAGTGTTGAGCTTGAAATGGGTTACTCAAGTGAGAACCCCCTTAAAAATGGCTAATGAATAAAGTCTAGCTTTACTCTTATTACAGATGCAGTCAACAAGTGACTTGAATATTCGGCTTTGTATAAGTGAAGTCACACATGTAACTCACAGGTTGAGAACCACTAAGTTTTATTTATTTATTTTTTAAAGTATTTTTTGGGGGGCTTTTGCCTTTATTTGATAGGATAGCTGAAGACAGGAAAGGGGGGGCATCCACAAGAAATCCACAAGTTAAGGATCAAACTGTTTATTTAAAATAATGTCCCAACTGCTGCGGAGAAATGTACATCCAAAAGTTGTCCCCTCTGCTGATCACATGATTGGGTAACAAGCATAGAGAGCGATGCCACACTGGTTACGTCTGTTCCGGGCCATCTTAATGTAGCCTTCATCTCCATAGTTTATGCCCCAGCTACAATTGAAGAATATGTACATAATAAAAACCAATAAATCAAGGAATATACTATTCTTAATTCAAAATTCACATTTCAACACTTCAGACAAACCTGTTTTTGACCAGCCAGTAGTCTTGTCCTCTCTCTGTGCCGTAGCCCACAACCAGCACTCCATGGTTCACATGATGGGTGCACGTGTGGTCCCTGTACACACCTGTTGGGCCACACAAAACTGAACTGAAACCATTTACACAGATCCAAAAAAGTGTAAAAGAACTCACTTCCTTACATCCGATCAAGATTAAAGTTGTGTATTATTTTAAGAGCTATGAAGCCATGACTACTCACCATGACGGTAGAAGACAAACTTGGGCCTGGAGGCATCAATTGCTACCGAGATGGGACCGATCTTGGCTAAAGATGCCTTCAGTGCAGATTCATCCCCCTCCGGTACAAAGGCGTAGCTCGAGCAGTTAGCAGCCCGATACTGCGAGTTATACTTGCATCGACCCCGCTGAAATGAAAGTGACGTGCAGGGACGTTTTGTCAGGAGTTAATTGTCAATGTTTAACCACAATATACCTTAAATTTTAAAACCCATGCATGCAGTGGACCATTGTGTTGAAAACTCACCTTGCCGATGTAGGGGTAGGCTGCGTCAGAATTGATGCCTTGGTTTTTAATGACATATTGGAAGGCGTTTGCCATGAAGCCACCGTTGCACCCATGGTTTCCATATTTTATGGAACAATCCACCAGGTTCTGTGGACTGAGAGACATCAGGTCACCTCTAGACTTCTTGAGTTGTCCTTCCAGAGCTCCAACGGCACTGAAGGCCCAACAAGAGCCACAAGAACCCTTGAAGAGAAAACTTGTACATGAGTTAAATAGACTGGATCTTCCTAAACTTCAAAGACTAGTCCTGAGGTTCTACGTTAATGTGTACTGACGCCTGAGGTATGAACTCACCTGCATTTTGACCTTAGTTACCAGGCCTTCATCCCTCCAGTCCAGAGACAGCGGTAGCGTGCTGTTGACCTTGATCAAGTTGGACCGACCCCTCTTCAGGTCCGAGGGCACGATGGTGCCTGTCAGTGTGCCAGTGATCTCTTCAGTGGTCTACAAATGAAGAAAATAAGTATTACCAACAAGTTTTCAGCTTTCTACATCATGTCTGGGTAGGACAAATGTTTGGTTTTCACATAACTTGTTAAACCCAATACACAAAACAGTCCATAGCCTTTGTAAAAACCATCCATACACACATTTGAGAGGCTATAGACTCACCAGGTCTCCCAGGTGGTTCATTGCCAGCTCATAGGTGTGTAAGCCCAGGGAGGCTTCCAGGTTATGGACATTAATCATTTCCAGGTTCTCTTCCCATATCCGCCTGCGACCAAACTCCTCAATCTAGAAACATGGGATTAACATTCACACTTAGATACCAAAAAGGGGGAAGAGTTTAGAATATCATTCATTAGGTATGCTCCACATAACAGAATGTTTCACATGTCCATGTACTGTTAGGCCAAACAAACAGTTGTTAAAAGTTACTAGGTTGACTGGAATGAACACCTTAGTCTTACCTGTTGAGAATAGACTTTATTATGCACTTTCTTCCATAACTCCCAGTTTCGGTCCAGTTCTGAATTGATAACGGCCGTTACAAATCCACACATGATGGTGAAAAGCAGGCTCCGAAACATTTCTAGATCTAGGAAAAGAAGTTAAAACAGGAACTCAGTGAAAGCTAAATTGCTAAAAAGTGTCCTACATCAGACTAACAGGCCTGGCTCGTGCTTTGATTGGACAGCTGCAGCAGCTTTCATTAAAACACCAGCAGCTGATATCCATTAACATTTAGAAGCAATGGAAATAAACTGACTAAACCCATTAGTTAAATGTTAAAAAAAATATTTGCACATCAGTGAAGACATATTGTGAGTGGTCTTCATGTTAAAGCAAACATTAATACATGTACATTAGAAGTTATATTTTATATAATATAATTTGACAAATTGACTGGCAGAGGATACTTTACCAGGTGGCCCACTATTATGTTTGGTCCAATGCCAAAATTAGGGACAGAAAATTATAAGCAGAAACCAAAACCAGCACTGAAAAGTAGTCGTTCTCACTTGATGGCACAGATGCTAAAACCTGACCTACCTGAGATCACCAGGGGAAAATCCAAGCTGAATCTGAAAGACTCTTTATTTATCACAGCGCTCACTGCACACCTGCAAATCATTAAACTGCGATGACTGATTTTTGGCCACTTGGGAGCAGCAGAAGCAACATTTAAAAACTTGTTAGCAGAGTTGCTTATTTACAGATCCAGCAGCTGGGGAGCGACATTATCAGTCATTTGGAGTTGTGTTTCTGTACTCCTGATGAATGTAAGTCTCTTTTAGTTCCGTTTTTGATCTTTAGAGAAACTCCTGGGGGAAATATCTGGCTGGAGCAACAGGAGCATTTTGCTGCTAAAGAGATATACTACATCAGCTGTTTTCTAACTTGTCTGTTTTCTGTTTGGTGTTGAGAAGGTGTACAGTGGATTTTTAGATCCTTTTCACTAAAAACTGCTTTGCCTCCCCAGAAGGTCTCATAGAAATGCTCGTGGAAGCAGCTGTGCACTTAAACAGAGGTGGAACTACATTTGCAAAACCAACCAGGTAGTCCTCATTTTTCAAGTCCCTTGCAAATGTTTGAAAATACTGATAAAGCATAAATGTCAACCAAAACATAAGATCAGTAAATGACCATACCTGCTGAAGGAGGTCTGAGGAAGAATAACAAGGAAAAGAGGACAGCCATGCCACAGGCTGATGATGACAAATCATTTTGTGACCTCAACAGTGAAAGCTTTTGCAGTGGTGGACCGAAGGGGCAGGGGCAAAAAAAAAAAAAAAAAAAGGCAGCAGCTGCATGTATGAGGGCACCAACGCACTGAAGAATGTGGTGCATTTATGGTGAAACAGTTCCAAGGTAGGGTAGCCTATATGGCATTGCATCCCTAGTTCTCATTTTTTCTCAATTTTTATAGTGCACTTCACCTTTTTACCACTGGGTGACCACCTTGGACACATTAATCCACCATAGAGGGTGTTTTATCATGATTTATCTGCCATTGGTCCATCCAAAGACCCATTTTGTGGTATCCAGAGAACCTTTCGTATGTAATTGTGTACACCTGAATCCTTTAAAACCTTATATTATTATTATTATATTGACCACCAAGAACAAAAGGAATTTTCTAAAGTTTGACTATTACTACTAACATTAATAATAATAATAATTAATTCCCATGTCTCCTTCTTAACAAGCAGATAACTGATATTTCTTTATTGTCAAGTGTTTAAGTGTGTACTTAAACAGACAGAAAGTTGAGACAATATTTAAATATTAATATTTAAATAAATGCATCAAATATATTATATAAAATACAGTGTACCTACATGATATATAAAAATACATTTTAAACATTCAAAGCAAGCAATCTTTTTTTCAAAATGACAGAGAATAAGAGATGGGAGCTTACTGAAGGGAAACTCAGACATTTTATAAGAATTCATTCAAAACACCAAAACATCAGTGAGAGTTTTTTTTTTTTGGGACAGACTTTCAGGACAGGCAGCGTCTACAGTGCCATTATTAAAGATGAAAATAACAAACATCTGGTCTCTGGTATTAAATAAATAAATGCGATTATCTAAATTCTACCAAGATGATTCAGGTGACGGGTCCCCTTTTTCACAGCGTTGGGTAGACTGCAAAGCTGGCAATGCCACAGAGATTCCCCTTGTTCCTGGCAATTCGAATGAAGCCTTCTTCTCCCCACGCAGTTCCCCAACTGGAATCATTAAAACATTCACATTTATTTAATATTAATATCACACATGTGAAGTCATACTCTTCCTTTCACATTGTACAGGTGAACACATTTACCTGTTTTTCACAAGCCAGAAGTCTTGCCCTCCGTCTGTGCCGTAGCCCACAACCAGGACAGCGTGATTTATGAACCTTGGGTTACAGTTGGGCACGTTGTATAAACCTGAAAGACGCATAAGGTGGTTGAGAAAATACATGTAAAATAATAGAATTACTGCTGATATCTGACATGTTTTATGTTTAGTTAGAAATCATTAATATCTTGTGTGGTTCTTAACTTCAATTATGATTTTGGGAATGGGAACCATTTCATCACATGATTTAGTCTCTACTATAACTCAGAGTTCCTGCTGTAAAGTCACTCCTGTTGTCATTGTGTTTATAACTCCTGACAGCTTCCAGTCTATTAAATAAAATGCAATTAACACCTTTACAAAAAGCCACCCAGCTGCCCTTATACCCCCCTAAAGAAGCAAAAGTTTGGTTGCCCTTGTAGAAATTGTATTTTAATGAGTGTTTTGTACACGCACTATGCTCACTTTATAGAAGTTGAAATAAAATGAGATATTGCAGCAAGAGGAAGCCTTACGACTTTATGCATGGTATTTTCCTAAATAGCAGTTGTACTTTTTATTAAACTGAATTTTCTCCATAAAAGAAAAAGAAAAGAAAATGTCTGAAATGTGTCTCTATTGTGAGGCCTCAATTATTTTTGGCATATAAAGTATAAAATATAAAACACTGCCCATGCCATGTTATCTGTTAAACGTATACAAAAATGATTTCATTCACTACAGCGAAGGCATTTAGTTTTTCTGACGCTTGACTCAAACCAGAACTTGGTTCAAAGCTGCAGTGTTATCCAATCACTCATCAGTTGAACTCTCACATTCAGAAGCCTCCAGCCTCACCTCCTCTGTAAAGATGAAAAGATGGCAACATGGCGTTCACGGCCACAGCGACTGGCCCCACTGACCCAACTACAGCCTGCAGAGTCTTCTCGTCTCCTTGTGGGAGGATGTGGAAGTTAGCGCAGTAGCCGGCCTTTCCCTTGACAGAATACCGACATTTCCCATTCTACAAATAGAAATTAGATTTATAAAATATATTATGTATCACTATTTAATCAAACTAGTTACTAGTAACAACACTGTTTCACTCTCTTTCAAAACTCAATTCTAGCTCTAAAATAAAATGAAGTTGAGTAAGGAAGTAAAGAAAGAGAGGCAGGAAGAAGTAAGAAGGAAATAAAGAGAGGAAGGAAGTAAGAAGGAAGGAAGTGAGTAAGGGACAAACAAGAAAGAAATCAAGCCAAAAACAAACAAAAGAAAAGAAACAAAGAAAAAAGATACAAACTGAGAAAGAAGAAAGAAACAACAAACATGAAACAAACAACAAACAAGAAGTAAACAAAGAAAGACAACAAGCAAACAAACAAACAAAACAAACATGAAGGAAAGAAAAATATATAAGAAACAATACAACAAACAAAGAAGAAAAGAACAAATGGACAAACAAGAAAGATGCTAACAAACCCAGTTTTAGTAGTTGCACATTTGTATGTAGCGTCAAGCTTTCTATAACAACAGTTTATTATTTTTTATTTTTGTTTACCTGGTGTTCGTAGGGGTAAAAGCTCTCCGAATCAACGCCTCCGTTGCGGATGATGTAGCTGTAGGATTTCGAGATGTATCCTCCTCTGCAGCCGAGGTTACCGTCGTTGGTGCTGCAGTCCACCAGGTTCTGTGGGCTCAGGGGAACAAGGGCCCCTGTTTGCTTCTTCATCTGGCCCTCAAGAGCTCCCAAAGAGCTGAAGGCCCAGCAGGAACCACATAACCCCTTTTAAAGACAAAAAAAAAGACAAATTGTGTTTGTTGCCATTGGTTATTTATCACACTGTTCTCATTTCCTCATTTACAATAGCTGAACTCAAACCATTGCCTACCTGGTTCTGGACTGGACTGACCATACCGTACTTCCTCCAGTCCACACTCTGAGGCACCGATAAGCCACTCACTTGCCTAAAAGTGCTATTTCCGAATTGAACCGCTTCCTCCAGCTTCAGGCCGTTCATCTTCTCATTGATTTCATCAGCTGTCTTAATAGAAAAGAGGGCTGGTAAATATATAAAATGCACATGAGGGAACTGATGACCTCTTACAACAGTGCTCTACTAACTTAAAGCACATCTCACACTGCAATATTGTGTATTTTCAGCAGTTTAAAGACACAAATATATTTCAGCATTTCAGTGTGCCACAAATGCATCTCCCCTTGTCTAAAAGTCCCTCTCAATAGTACTGAAACAGTCCTAATCTGAGAACTGAGCTCATGATAATGCTGGTTCCTCCCTCCTCCCAGGCCCCCAACAGGCTATGACCCAATTTGGAAATAGTTTTAGTGTCACATCTTTGGAAAAAGTTTTTATTTTGCACCTCAGCCTCCCACCAGCGAACAATAATAAAATTTCCCACAAGTTCCTCTGATTCTTATCAAGTTTAAACTTCTGCCCTCAGGACAAAGAGCTCAATACAGTTTTTATGATGCCACACCATCTCACATGTTCCTCTTTCTACCTGTACGATACCTTCCTCCTCTGTCAATGGTGCGTGTCGGATTTGACTCTCACCAGAGTTTCAGAGATCACAAAACCTCAGTAAAACCTTTTTTCTAACAAGTTAAAAACAATCCAGCTGTCCTCCCATCTGGCAACTATAACATACGTTCCTTTGGGCTCTCTGACAGGAGTCCAAAAGTGTGTCCTAAACATTTCAACACATCAAACATATCTGGGCTTCACTGCTCTGGGGTTTTATCATAAAAATCCAAACCCTCCTCTCTACAATATCTTCTAATGCAGCTTCATCAATGCTCTCCCTCATCCTTTTGACTCCCTAAACCACCCAGCTTGCGTGTACAAATGCCTTTTTGTAACCGTACAGCCTTCCCACATACTGTACTTCATTCTAGTCCTGACTGTCCAGATTGGCCCAGCCACACTGGATTAAATTAATCAGGTTGTGTAAAGGAAGATTAGCTGCGCCTATAGGTTAGGGTTTAAATTAAGCCATGGAGGGTGCAGGTTTTAAATGCAGATTAACAGTGTTGGCCAACAGAGGTCAGTGAGTGTTAAAGCACTTATTGCACAGTAATGCACAGCGTCTGATGTCAAGCATGCGTGTGCATAGATCCTGGGAGTGAGAGGAGCCAGTTCGGTGACATAAAGAGAATTGGTGTACAGGGCTAAAATGTTTGTTATGCAGTTTGTATCCACTAGAGGTCTCTCTCATACATTTCTTTTCTAAATGGTGACAGGATCAGTGTTTTAAGCTCTCTACTCTTTGACAGCAAATTCCCTGATTTTGAATATTTTCAATCTTGGATGATTACTTTTACTCTGTTATGCTAAAGAGGGGTCTTCTATAGTTGACATAGTTTGGCTTAATTCAGCATCCAGCCAACAAACTTGAGGCTATGTAAAATAAAACTGATTCAATTGTACAAACAATAATCCAAATATTTCACCATAGTCATGTAATAAGAGACATCCATAGAGCAAAATGAAGACAGTTTTCCACTGTGTTGCTCAATGATGATGCAGGTTAATATTACAAAGTAAGGAGGAAAAAACTGTAAAAAACACTTCTAGTCTGTCAGCTGTTAAGATGTCACCAGATCTGTGCAGGAAGGCTCAACGTGATGCTCTGAAACTAATAAATGAAACGCAGCGAAGCTACAAATAACATGCTGTAAGATTGACTTAGCTGCCGGAGAGGTTGCTCTGTCTAGTGACCAGTAAAACTGGGGTTAGGAGGGTTATTATTAATCGTCTGGAACATGATGCAAACAAATGAGCATTTGATAAATTGTGCACATATTTTTGGTCATTAGTGGAATTATTGCTTTGGATTTATCTACAGTGACAGAAAGCCCATTAACTGCACGTCTGTTTCCCCACAGTTCAGCCATTTAAATGTTACAGATGAATTACTCCAGACTGAGATTAAAGACAGTGTCTCTCTTGTTTGGGCTCTGACACTAGAAAACACAAACTGTTTGATTCCTACCATGTCAGCCAAATGATTGACTCCCATTGTGAAACTGTGTTTTCCTGCTGAGGCCTCCTGGTTGTGTCTCAACACCAGCAGTTTGTTCTTCTCCCATACTGCTCTCCTGAAAACGATCTCAGTCTGAAACAAAAAGCACAAAAGTTAACAATGTGATGGGGTTCCTGTACGCGATGACAAAGAGAGAGAAATGAAGGTTTTTCCACAATCCTACCTGATTATCATAAACCTTGCTATGTTTGATTTTCCACTCTTCCCACAGCTTATTTAGGGCAGATGAAGAGTGGCCGAGGACCAGAAAGGCCAAAAGCAAGGCACACAAAATGTGCATCCTGCAAAGGAAAAACAGTTAAAAAAGTGAATATTATTACCTACTTATACTTTACTTTTGCTTCCCCCCCCAAATTCCCACAAAAATACTGAAGACAAGACCTCAGTGTCCTCAGTGGTAGCTACAGCCCTGTACACTATTAACTGAGTGATTAAGAGTGAATGTTTTCCTACTTAATTCATAGCATGCCTCATAGCATCAGCAAAAACAAGCATCAACAAGCCGACCAGCTTCTGTGTAAAATCTTACTGCAGATAATATTCATATGTACACATTAACCTACATTAAGGACTGTTGTTCACGTGCACAGTGCTTGTCTTGTCTTGTCTAGTCTAAAACCACAACACAACATACTCTGTTGATGAGGTCATGATAGCTGGTACGCAGAGCAAGGTGACTCCCGTAAAACTTTGATGTGAAAGTTGAATAAGAATTTAAAATGCCGGTTTCTTGCACTGCAGACTTTCTTAAGATTACCTTCGCCTCAAAAAGAAGAAGTTCAAACATCTCAAACTGTAATCTCTGAGCCTCTGTTTCACCTTTCTACCTACTTATAGCTAGTTAATATAGCCATTAGCTTTGACGAGCATTTGATCTCAATTTAAGAATATCAGACAAAAACAATCAACGTATCACTACACATAGGAAGAAATAGTTTGAATGTACCTTGTTGTCGAATAATCAGCAGGGTTTGTCCCAGCAAGAACCTCACACGTTTTTAACGGACAAGAGAACCTTCACACTTGAAAGAGGAAGTATAGTTTCCTCATACACACACTGTTTTTTTCACTCTGTTTTTCAGTGTGTCTGCTCTCGGGTTGTCATGTGAATCCAATTGATAACCGGCTGCACAGGCTCAAAATATCCTTCTAGTACCAGAGGTGGAAGTGACACAATTACAGTAAAAGACGTACAGTACGTACATGTAAATGAAGTGGCTTGTGGAGGAAAGTACATGTGAAAAACCAAAAAGTGTGGATGGAAAAGTTTAGTGATAAATTGAGAAATTATTTGGAAAATCAATACATGATAATGAAACTGGAATAAATGAATAGAAATGACATCATTTTAACCATTTATCCCAATTTTCTTGCTCTGTATTTGTCACTTCACTGAATTATGTCTGACATTGACACATGGGCTAAGATTATTTGGCAGAAACAAGAAAACACTAATGATGCAAATTTATAACAGTGTCAGACTCAGTTTGTGATGAGAGCTGCGATTAGTTGGAACTTCCTGAGGAAAAACTTCCCACCACCAAAGCTCTTTTTTGTTTTGTGGATTCTTGTGAATTCTGTTTATGTAAGAGAGGTTGTGGTGTGAAACTATTTCAGTTTACTTCTTTAGCGTGAAACTCCTCCTCTATGCCTCATATTTACAGCTGTTTTTTTGAGTGCATATGTTAACGGTTACTGGAAAACAAACAAACAAACAAACAAACAAACAAACATAATACAAAATGCATGCATAAATCAGTAGAGACCGCAGCAACAAAGTATCTTTAATAAAACGTTTAATAAAAGCATTAATGTCAAACAACAGTAAAATATAGGCTACCACTCTTACTCAAATATGAGGCTATTATCATATGTTACATTATTACTTACAGTATGTTAATACCATCATGCACCCTGGTGGCTCTAGTGGTTTATTTGTTTTATTGGCAAGACTTAGATAAAAATATTGGTACCACTCTCATACAGTGAATATAAATCTTAGCTTAGAATAAATACTGGAAACTGGAAAACAGCTGGCCTGTCTTACTGCACTCACCCAAGAAATAACCTGACATGGAACCCCTGTAAAACCACAACATATTGGTTTTTGTTTTTGTCCAGATTAAACAAACAAGAAAAAAAAGTGTTTTCTGTCTTTGTGTTAAGCTAAGCGAACTGGCTACTTGCAGTAACTCAAATAAGTGAATTTGCCAAAATACCGAATTCTTATGTTAAGATGCTGACCATGTCATTGCAATGTTCGTTAAAATTCAGATGAGGACCTTTATTTTAAACATGGACATGCACAAGGCCAGGTTACAGTTTCCTAAGCAACAGCCCCTCCTTGGCTGAGCTGCCTCTCTGGAGCAAAACAAAAAAGTTAAATTTTTCTTACTAGCTGAAGTTAGACCTAATTAAATATTGCCTTATATGAAAACATATATATGATTACATTTCTGCCAATACATCCTCCCAAATGTCACACACTGGACCTTAAAATTGCAATATTTTCAGGAATTTCACGATTCAGGTACATGCTGATGGGTGACCCATAACAGGTGACATGGGTAAAAAGAACTGGGGGTTGGATTTCCCATTTTCCAGGTGAGAGCAATAGCCCCTCCAAAAATGTCTGTGCATGTCCCTGGTTGCAAATCACCCCACAGCTTTCCCTCCCCTCTTATCCTGTACTCTATCTGGAAAAAAAAACGTACCCAGAAACCTCACAGTAGGCACCACAACAGGGAGCAGCAGTGACGAAATATTATGATGCTAAAAAGACAGGAGGATATTATGCAATTAGGATCTTTGGCTGAGGCTGTAATTGGCATTCATCACTGATTTTCTCTCACTGAATCCGGGGTTGGACAGAGATTCGCTGATGAATGCAGGTTCCCTGAGGTACCAGATGGTAAGGTCCTGACTCAGCACCGGCTCTTCTTCTGTGGTGATCACCCACCTTTTGTGTCAACACACCTCGTAATCCTGCAGCTGAGTGGAGAGGCAGGCAATTCTCGAACACCTGATTGTTTAAACTCTCATTGAATCTGATGTGAGTGTTTGCTAATTAAACAAGTTGTTTGAAAAATATAATTAACAAGGGGAGCAGTGTGGGTGTCTTGAGCTGCTAAATCACAAATGTATAAACGCATGAATGAACTGACACTGGTTATGTTCTTTCAGAGATATGGGATGAGAGATGAGAGCTCATTCAACCACTGAGGGGGAAAGAAAACAAATTCAATACATTTTTCTTTTTGCCAAAGAGTTTTTTTTTGGTGCAAATTTTAAACAATGCATCAAAGAAGATGTTAGAATCCACGTTTTATTATTAAAACTTATTAACTTATACATAGATGAATTATAATGTTAATTTTAAATTGAATCACCTGATGTGTTCAAAAACGTCTACGTAATTGTAAGAGACTGGGGTCACTAAATAAACCCAAGGATTCACATATTTACATGGATTGTGGCCTGATCATTTATTGATACCCTTATTGATAGTGAATATTGTATGTGGAAACACTGCAGGCATGAGTTAAATAACCTCAATAATTTGTACAGTAACCAGCATTTCACCTTTTATTGGTGTAAATTTATTTAAACCATGTCAGACCTGCAGTAACATATTCACAGATTGAATTTACTTCCAATCATATGAAAGGGATTGTTCAGGCTTTGTGAAGGGGGGTTGTATGGGTTACATAGTCAGTGTGTACAACCTACTTGGCACAGAAGCTAATCATTATATTTCTGTGGGTGGGGGCAGCTACAAAACATATTTAATCCACCTAAGAAAATCAATATCAGTATAAGTCTACGCTATATTTAGAATATTTTCAGTGCTTTACCTTGCTGTGAGACAGCTCTTTCTAACAGGAAACTGAAGCATTTATATGTGGTTTATTCTGGTGGCTTTGGAAAGAGCAGCTAAGATAAAGGCTTCAGTTTCCTGTCAGGAAGGGCTGTGTGATGGTGTGGTGAAAATATTCTAAATATAGTGTAGATATCGATTTTTTAAATATATTTTGTTGCTGCTCCACCCACATCCCACAGAAGTACATTGCTTAGCTTCCATGCTGGGACTCCTGTCTGCTTCTCCAAACGGGGGGCGCTCTGACCGCTGTCTACTGTAGGTAACACACTGACTATGGATAAGTACCTCATACAACTCCACTTCAAAAAACAGGAACTATCCCTTTAAGATTATACTCTAATCCTACTGTGTCCATTCACGTCACTATGATGAGTGACTGAGCTTTACAAGTTAATTAAATATGGGAAAAGTTATTAATATCTCTGAAGTTGCGTAACTTGTTCTGACTGATTACATTTTTGTTTAATTTTAGCTTCAGTTTATTTTTATGAGTCTATTTATGTTGCCTTTTGTTTCTTTGATTGTCTTGATCCCTTTTTATGTCTCATGTACAGCCCTTTGAGTGTCCTTGTTGTTAAACTCACCCTGCCTTTCTTTGCCTTACACATATGTCTTTATAGATAGAGTAAGTCCACCATCTTATTTTGTGCTGTGGCAGAGATAGGTATGACTGTTATTTCTACTATTAGTTTTTATTTTGTGATCACTCAAAAATGCAAATGGGCATTTTCTTACTATCACTAATTTAAAACATCACAGAATTAAGATTATGGCACATTTTAGGCTTTTGTAGTTCTGATGGAGTGTTTGCAGCACAATACTAAAAATCTGAATACTACAAGATGCAAACATCCGACAGGTTAATGGTTAATGACAGTTAATATTAATGGTCTCTGTCAAGCTTTCAGACGTCTCTGACAGACGAGAGAGACGGAAAGTTATTCCTTTATTGTGTATTCCTTTAAGTGTCAGGGCTTCAATTCATTTCCATCTGGTGTTGCCCCATAAATCTCTGCATTTGGCTGACCTGTGCCTGCCTCCTGTCATCCAGTGCAGTGTGTTGGACGGGGTCCAGGAGCTAGTGCATATAATCCCCCAGCATGCACCGAGCACCCGCACGTCCAGAGCCTGGTTGTTGTTGCCATGAGGACAGCGAAGCAACAGGGAAACTGAGCCGCAGCGACATGCTTCCTCCGGAGGTTGAATATTTCAGAATGGGAGGATGAGTCTTTCTTGTTATGATATGTTTGTCTGTTTCTCTCACACTGCAGGTTTTATTTGGATTTATTTTTGAGAAACAGAAGGTTTTGAGGTGGACCTGACACATCAAAAGATGTACTCTGTTCTTTGAATTCTCTTTGCTTGTATCGACAGTTTATCCAGAGAGTATCTCAGTGGAAAAAAATCCATTCGCCAATGCACTCTTGTGTTTTTTCTTATTTTAAAATTGTGAAAATGGAGCTATCACAATGACGAGCCCTCCAGACTGAAGAGACGGTGAGTTACAATACTTGATTTTGTTCTTTCCCCCGCTACAAGATTACTATAATTCTGTGCTTTTTATTATACCATCCATTGTATTTGATCTCCTGAAGCTGTCAGGCCACAGTAAATAACAGCGATTTCACCTTTTGTACACTATTTTCACTCTCTAGCATGTGTGCTCTCAGAGGAGTTCAGGAGGAGTCAGCCTCCATCACTCACTGCTCTGGGGAGCTGCTGTCAACACCAGCATTCAAGTCTATGCAGTACTCCCACAGCTCCATACCTATAAATGTGCTGAGATGAAATTACCTTCTTTAAAAAATATGAAGTACATTGAGACATGACATCTTCCTGATTCACTCCAGCATGAATATTACTTACACTTAAGGTGGAGTTTTCTAGTTTAAAGCCAATGATTGAAGAGTAAAATCTTTTAGAAAATACAAGCACTACATATGTCAAAGTTGATAAAAAATAAATCAGTCTGCAAAGAAATCAAAAATTCTCTTTTAAACTCACATTTCTTTTTTGCTTTGGTTAGCATGCTTACTTTTATATTTTGCATTTAGAAACACAACTCTTCCTGCAAACAAAATGTCACAAATGTTAAGAGGAATCTGTCCTACTGTTGTCTTTCTCTTTTCATCCCTCTTCTCACACACTCTATTCGTTGCATCCTTCAGCATAACAACACATGAGCAGAGCTGCCAGAGCTGCGGGTGGCATCACACTTGATGGTGTTTTTTGTTTTCAGCACTCACATGGCAATTTAAATAATGCATTTCAGCAAGTCACACCCTTAGTCCTATTTACAAGCTTCCAGTCGGTTTGTTTCCTCATATTCATGTTTCTTCGTTAAAAGCAATTATGTCTGCTTCCATATTCAAATTACTTGTTAAATTATTTTTTTCATGGATTATTTTTCAAGTTATTTGCTATTATGTGGTTACTGATAGCAATTTGACTGTAACTGGTCCATTTTCCCAGTTACAGTACTATAAAACCACTGGACCTGGACATACTGCACACATATATATATTTTTGCTTTTGCTGCCCCCTTGTGGTGGATTAAGCAATGGTTCAATTAAGGATTGTGTTGCTTTTAATGGGAGTTGTTCTGGATCTGAGCATCAAGAAATACCTCATATATATCATATAAACTGAACTGAAGAAATAAAATACACATCTTCTTCTTTTGAAATGAAACCACAAAGTTTCATCTATCTTACATGTTGCATCTGACAGGAAATTATGCAAAAATATCTTCCTCACTGGGGCTGAAGACTTTATCACCCCATCACCAAATGAAAAACAAAATCCTTAAAGTTGACGTGTTTTATTCCAAAACAATTCTTCATTAACATTAATCTTCATTCATTAAATGCCACCAGACTTTTTTTGACTGTTAAATAGATCCTTCAAGTCTTACAGGATGCAAAGTACACCCAAAAATGGTCTTTTAAATCAGCATGGAACATGCTTCTACAACAACCCCAGTATCTAAATAAACAAAATACCAAATATGGAAAGAATAAATGCCAAGGAATATGTGTTCCTCTGACATTATAATTTACCCAGACAGAAATGATGTTTACAATAATTGAGGACCCACAGATAATTGAGTGGTTAAGTCCTCCATGTGATGCCCCTTTTGCTGCTTTCAAACAGCATTAATACAACAAAAACAGAGTTGACAGCCCGCTCTTTTTTTATATTTATTTATTCCTGATAGAGCTGTCAAGTTGGAATAAAAACAGACTACTAGACAGTGTAGATTGTGGATGAAGGAGACTGACCAACTGCAAGTGGCATTTCAGTTGAGTCAATCTGTGATCTGAAGCTGCAACTTTATTTTTATCAATTAAAACTCAACAGTTAGAGGATTGAGGGCTGATCCACAAAGTTGTATAGGAGGAGATAAGCTCTGCTGATTGAACTGCAATTTCTGTTGATCTTATAGAGGTCAGAGATTTAATTAATAGTGGTTTAAAAGAGCAGTTTAGAGGTTTATAGTTCTTACATCAGAGCCAACCCACTTCCTGATATAAACTGTTGCTAAACAGTCTCAAAACCAGCTACAACACCAATGTCTTATCTTATCAAAGTGATTACTACTAGTAACTTCTTGTAAGTAGTTGTTTTTTTTCCAAATTGATTGAAGATGTGGACTTTGGGAACAGAATTTGCAACATAATAATTAAAACTCAAAGGCCCAATTACTTTCTAGCTTTGGGGAGCTTTCAGCTGCCTTTGATGGTGGTCAGTCAGGTGGATAACAAGTATTTGATTCCCTGTGATTTCACACATTTTTGAATCGCAAGGTTGAGGTTGAGTGTGAACACTGCCTGAAAAATAGAGAAAAGACAATATGTAAAAACAAGTAGAATTAAGTAAAGCTACAATGTATATTAACAAATGAACTTTTAGCTGCTTTTTAAAAATAATTTGGCTTGTGTGAAACCTTGCAGGAGCCTGTTCCAGGATTGATGACACAGCTGTTACCTCTGTAGCTTATCATCTTGGATTATTAAAATACTGTAAACAACATAAATATAAACTCAAATCAGTGACATTCACAGTTTGAAAAAGATGATTCAGCATCACCATCTGACAACATTTGGCCACATCTTCCTTCACTTTCTGTCTTTTTTAAAAATATTTGTTACAAAGACAGGACCCTCCACCAGCAGCGAATGTACTTCCTGTCCCTTCCAGTTTTAACGCTTTTTTTTAAGGTGACAGTTATGGCAACTGCCACCTTTCTTATATTTGTGTGTTGCAGAAAGTTATGTTTCCACCATTTCTACAATAAATATCATCACTCGCTCACTCTTTTCAGCTGTCTCTCTCTCTCTCTCGCAGGCCACCAGATGTTTGAAGGGAGCGCCATCCACCAATGGCTGTGTTGGGGAGCTCTCTACCTGTTGGCCGCGGGGGTGGCATTAACATCTGAAACACGCCGGCCGTGTCCACAGCCCTGCCGCTGCAACACCGTACTACTGGAGGTGAACTGCTCTGACGGACAAGTTACCACAGTGCCCACCGGTCTCCCGCAAGACACTAAACTACTAAACCTTACACACAATAAGATCAAGACTCTGGTGCGTGAGCAGTTCCAGATTTTGACACAACTTTTAGACTTGGATTTGAGTGACAATATTATGGTGATAATTGAAGTGGAAGCCTTTCTCGGCTTGCAAAGTCTGATAACTCTGCGTCTTGCTCGCAACCACCTGAAGATTATTCCCGCAGGAGTATTCTCTGGTTTGCCAAAACTGAGGTTACTGGACATAAGCAGCAACGAGATCCTTGTTTTTCTAGATTTTACTTTCCGTGACTTGACTGCCCTGCAGTTTCTTAAAGCGGCAGATAATGACTTTGTGTTCATCTCTCATCAAGCTTTCTCTGGCTTAACCAGTCTGCAGGAGTTGCACCTTGACGGTTGCAACCTCACCGCTGTGCCGACAGAGGCACTCACACAGCTAACTGGGCTGAGAAGTCTTCATTTTCACCGACTGGGCCTCACCACGCTGCCAAACTACTCCTTCAATCATCTACAGCGTCTTAAGGAACTTGTCATATCTCATTGCTCCTGGCTGGAGACCCTGTCAGGAAACAGTCTCTTTGGCCTAAATCTTACATCCCTCACCATTAGACACTCTAAACTCAGTGCTGTCCCATACATCCCTTTGCATCATCTTGTATATCTAATATACCTTGACCTTTCCTTTAACCCAATCGCCTACATTCATGGAAACCTGCTTGGAGACTTGCTCCGGCTCCAAGAGCTCCATCTGGTGGGGGGTTCATTGCTTCGCATCGAAATCGGAGCATTCAAGGGTTTGGCATATTTCAAAGTGCTGAATGTGTCTAGAAACCTTCTCACCACACTCGAGGTGGGAGCTTTTCATTCAGTGGACACCCTCAAGACTCTGGGACTTGATAACAACCCACTGGCGTGTGACTGCCGTTTGCTGTGGGTGGTGCGAAGACGACTATATCTGGACTTTGGTGGAAATCGACCGACTTGCACTACCTCTGTCCAGTTGCAGGGCTGGAGTTTTCTAGATTTCACTGAGGCTGAACTCCCAGGCCTGCTCACATGTCGGCGACCTCGTATCCTGAATCGCAAACCTAAAGAAGTGAGAACAGATCAGGGGCACACGGTGGAGTTTTACTGCAATGCAGAAGGTGACCCTGTGCCGTCTGTCACCTGGCTGAACCCACAGCTAAAACCTTTATCATCCATTGGTAGAATACGGGCTCTCTCTAATGGTTCGCTGGAGGTTCGCTATGCACAACCTCAAGACAGCGGTACTTATCTTTGTGTGGCATCTAATGCGGCAGGAAATAACAGCCTGTCTGTCAGCCTGCATGTCAGAGCCTTTCCATCATCTTCTAAAAACCCCTTTCGTCTTAAAGGTTGGTTTGCTTTTCCGTCTGCCTCTCCGGGTATGAACGGAAGTCAGGAACAACTCCCATTTGATGTCAAGACGTTACTGATAGCAGCGACCATTGGGTTCCTCTCCTTTTTCAGCTCTGTGAGCATATGCTTCATTTTTATGTTCTTCTGGAGTAAGAGTAAAGGGCAAATAAAGCACACAGCCACTATAGCATATGTGCCACGAAGCGCCATGTCAAGTAGTAAAGGAGGGACAGGCAACTATATGGAGACAAGCAGGTTCACCATGAAACTAATATGACTCAATAAGTTAAAAAAATCTAATTTTTACTTTGTGTGACTAGGTACATGAAGAGTTTTTAAACTGAAGTAGGCTCATTGAATTTTAGAGCATGTTAACTTGTCCAACAGAGGCTGACTGTTGATTCATTAATATAAATGTGAGCATGTTAGCTAGAGCCTATGTTGTGCAATTGTAAAAAAAGGACAAGACACAGTAAATGATGTAATTAATTATGCTAAATTACATTTTAGGAACATCTAACCAAGAGATGAGCAGCACTGATTAGCTTTATTTTTTATGTGAGACAGAAGCTCCTAGAAGCCTGAATATAAAGCAACCAAAGTAAGCAATATTTAATGAGCATAATGCATGTAATATGTGAAATGTAAATTGTTGCTTATATTGCACTTGTTGATGTATATATAGAGAAACAATAACTTTTGTTTATAGGCGTTCGTGGCTGACTAATTGTATGTTTTTTTCTTTTTGCTCATTTGTTTTTTGAAGAACATATGAAATAGTACTTATTTATTTACATAATTATTATGGACCTGAGACGGTAGCCATGAGATAACTAGAATATTATAAAAGAAACGTTAACCTTATATTAAGGTTAATGTACACAACACTTGCATCAATAATATCATGTAATTTCTACTTAATTTCATTATTTAGCTTGTATTCTAATATTGTCACATCTACTGCTGTACTGTAAATAAAATGTGTGGAATTTATGTTTTTTTTTTTTTAATTCCCCAATAAAGAACCTAATAGTTTTGCTTTGTGGCATAAAATAAAAGTGATTGTGCTTTCAAAAATATAACTTTGTATTATTTGGTTTGCTTATTCAGTGGTTCTTGGTTTAAACCATGATAAACATCAAATGTGGTAAGTATACTTTGTATCTTTGTAACGTTAATTTATGTTGAAACAAGACAATGACCAAGATTTAAGCTAGAAAATTATAATGTTCATCACAACTGCCACAAGGTTCATCTCAATGTATGTTGTTGCCATGGCAATACATTAGCTCTCTGGTGCCAGGCACCAACTCTACTGGTTCCTATGACAACGGTATCAAACATTGTATGACCGCCATTATAAATTTACCAGAAAAATAATCTGAAGTTACGACATGAATGTGAATGAAATAATGTTCAATGAAGTTATATTAATTCAAATTAAAAAACAAACGGTTTTATTTTGAACATAAACCGGAAGTGCATTATCTACTCCGGAAGTGTTGGTTAGCAACAAGAAAGCGGCGGCTAGGTTAGCTGCATACTTAGCTTGTGTTATTAAGGTACACTTTTTTTAGCATATCAGCGTGGATTTAACGCGTATTCATAACTTAAATAAATATGTGTACGAACAGATAATTGAGTAAACGCAGCCAGTAACAACGAGGTAAAAAGAGCTCCCTCTAAAACAGACAACAACAGTTAGCAGTTAGCACAACATCAACCGAGCTAACGCTACATACAGAAACTAACAGCCATGACTCTGGCAGTGGGCCGCGAACCCAGAAAGACTGCGGGTAACCGCATGTCAAAACTACTGGATGCTGAAGAAGAGGATGAATTCTACAAGACAACATACGGAGGCTTCAACGATGTGAGTAACAAAGCCGAGAGAAAGGGTCAGCCTGTACGTTAGCGTTAGCTCTCAGCTAACTTGAGTTGGTCTCTTGAATAACTGGACGAAATCTCTGAAATATTTATGTTGTTTCTGTTTTCCTCAAAATGTGACACCCTGTCGAATTGAATAATATTAGCCTGTAGCGGTAATAGACTTTAATTGAGTAGTTACTTAATTGTTTTTATTTGATAAGTAATTTTTAAACATGAACCAGTAACGTCCATCACAACTGCAACATATAGGGATTTATATTAACGTTATGTTCCTAAGGGATGGATTGTTTACTTCAATTGGCACTATCAGTCCTAGTCTGTCAGACTAAAATTAAGACCCAGCAACTAAAAGGATTTAAATTGTATCAATACTGAAAACAATCTGTTATCTTTTGGTAGCTGGATCTGGACCAACATGCACTGTATCAATAACAAGAAGAAACAATACATTTTCTCAACAGATCAATATGTTTCATGTCATATTTATATATCTATATATAGGTAAACAAGTGATTTTAAAGTTTTTCAAGTAGTTAATTTGTTAAAGGCAGAGAAGTGACTCACTCAGGTCTCATATTTAGTCTTCCTTTATTGATATTAAGAAAGTGGGAAATTGAATGTAGGATTTATTACTTATTTATTAGCTAGGTGTACCCAATACACTGGTAACTGAGTGAGTGTTCATGTTCATCTCAAAGTCTGTGTAGTGTTAGTTTGCCATCCTTCCTGAAGTTAATGCTGCAGCTCTGGTCCTCCAAACCAACATGTCAGTGTGATTCATCTGAAACTGTGACCACAACTCCAAAATATCCTGGCCCAGTCCATTAACAGCTAACAAATTTGTGAAGGTCAGAGGAGAGTGCCAGTCTTTCCTACTTCACACTCAAAGAGAGAGGAAACGCTATAAAGGCTGCAAGAAGAAGAAGAAGAAGAAGAATAGGATTAAGATTCACTTTCTCAACGGGGAAACTCCATCAATTCAAGCTATATTACACTACTCAATGTTATTTGATATTGCAGCAACTAAAGTGTAAGGCTGAAATTTAAAGATGTTAATTTGTATCCTCAGTTTTAACTCATTTTAACAGCTGTCGGTTCAAGGGTCCACTTGTGTAGGGGGATTTGGCAGGGGCTGCTCTGGCAGTTCTGACATTAGTCTCAGCCGAGGTTGACAAGAGAAAAAAATCACAAACAAACCTTGTGAAGCCTTAGTCATCTGTACTGGCACTTTCATAAAACAGGGTACCATGCCTGTGCCTGTACTTAAATGTGAGGGTTAGTCTGACTTTTTTAAAATGTATTTATTATTTTTAACTTGTGACCGATATTGGTCTTTGTCACCACAGTTTGTTAATGTTTGCAAATGTCATGGTTTTCATGTCCCGATTAAATACCTTTGCAGGCACTTATTCTTTAACAACAGATTATTTTTCTTCCATAGATCTCTGTTAGTTGTCTCATACTGCTTTTAAAACTCGTATCAAAATGCATTTCCAGGACACTTTTTAAAACTACACGTAATTGGCATTTAGCTTAAAAGTTCCCACTTTTTTTTGTTCCTGAATATGATGAAGTTCCATCAGAGTTTATGTTCTTGTACATTAGATGTTGGTATGATATTGTCTGCCCCTTTTTAAATACACTCCATGAGCCCAATTGCTGTATCACCTTGAGATTTGCTTGGTGTCATTGTCAACACAAACACATACAGAGAGCTGCCTGTCTATGTCGTTGTGTTGTAAATCTGTGACTGAGTGAGTGTGAGTAGCTCCCTCACTAAATCTCATAGCTTAATGGTACTTTGCTCAGCACATCACAGAACTTAACTCGACTACATTAGGCTACATTAGCCTGCATTAGCTTCAAAATGGTGATATGTCCCCTGAATAAAAGTCTGAATACAGCATATAAAAAAGCTTACCAAAACTGACACCAGGGTATATTCTGAAGGTTGTTGCATTAACAGGTAATATTTCTCATAATTTTCCATAAATTGTTGGCTAAATTATGCTTTCTGGTTTCCTTTCAGGAATCAGGAGATGACGAGTATCATGGAGAGCATTCAGACACAGAGGATGAGGTGGACAGCGACTTTGACATTGATGAGGGTGACGAGCCAGACAGTGACCAGGAGGAGGATGCACCTCGGAGGAAAAGTCGGGTTGTCACCAAAGCTTATAAGGTAGCGACAATCAGAAGCTATCAAATCACACTTTGAATCACGTTTCTGCATCCATACATGAATTCAAATAATCTTCAGTCTACATTCGTATCCTGTGACGTATTTTTATGAGCATATATTCACAACATATAAGCCCTGTTTATTTTTATAAGGCTGCTTATTATTATGGCTGTTCTGCAGCTCCACTGGAGCCATTGGTTGCCAAACGCCATCCTCTCAGCAGAAGCTGAGGGAGCATAAAGCATAATTAATTTAATGTTGCCTCCTCACTGTTGTCTGTGGGATTAGAATCAGCAGTTACATTATGGTAACAAGCAGGTCTTTCTAACTTTGATTTAGACAAGTTTGTATTTATTTTGCTCGTTCATCATACATGTATGAAATAGATTTAATGTTAATAGGCTTTTTGTCTTTGTTTAATCCAAGGAACCTATAAAAGTTGCAAAGCCCAAACCCAAAAGACCCTCTGAGGAACAGAAGAAGATAGAGAAAACTAAAGTGGAGCTCAAAAGAAGGATTCCACAAGAATTCCAAGATTTTGCAGAGCGTAAGATTCCTACACACAAATGCATTTGACAGTGTCCGTGGATGGTCGGTGATCATTATATATAATTTCTTAACAGGATTTTTCAGGTTTTTTGAACTGCATGTCTTAATCCTTCTTTAGCTCGGAAGTCTGTGCGACAATCCACCAGTGAACATACCCGAAAGACCAATCTGCGCTTGCAAGAACGCCAGGATGCCCCTCGGAGACGGAGGGGTGCTCATCGCGACCGGCCCCTTACCCAGGAAGAACTGCTGGCTGAGGCCAAAATAACAGCTGAGATTAACATTCGATCTTTAGGTGAGAACATGTCAGTGAAGTTACTCAGATGTAAATGTAGTGTCTTCAGTAGAATGTTATTTATAAATGCCTGGACAGTAAATTAATGACAATAGAAACCGTAAGCATACTGTATATACCAATTGAATAAGCCTAATGATGCATTAAATTACACTACATTGAGCAGTGTTTCCTCTTAACAGTCATTGGACCCGATGTAGTTAGTTGCTGTGTTCAGTCCATAACCCTTTTTGACATCTGTGGACGTGACAGCCCATTAAAAGGCATTGTGACTGTATGAGGCACAAGTGGTGGGGTTTTTGGTGTTTACAGTATAAATAGAAATATAGTTGATTTTGTGTTGCAACAGATGTCACTACCTTTATTCAGAATATATGTGAATCAGTGTGGCAAAGAGAGAAAAGCATAGTAAATGTTGAATAATGATTCATTTTACTAATGATTGTTGTTACTAAATTAGTAATTAATATACATTTACCAGTATGCTGTCTCAGGGTGTTTCACTTAATGACAATACACTTGAAATTTGGATGTCCCGATTCATTTATTCTGTGTGTAGAGAACTATGAACGTCTGGAGGCGGATAAGAAGAAACAAGTCCACAAGAAGCGGCGTTTTGAAGGACCAACCATCCGTTACCATTCAGTCCTGATGCCGCTAGTCTCTCATTCAGTCCTAAAAGAAGAAAATGTGGATGTTGAAGGGTATGTGTGATGTTGTACTAGACTTAATTGGCTTCAGAAATAATTTGGCACATAGAATGCTGGCTAAAGAAACAAGCTTCAACTGCATTGACCTTAAGTATTTCATCCTTTTTAGACTCTTATATGATCATGATTAGTAGTTACAGTATGTCATTTGACAACGATATGATAGTATATTTGTGAAAAAGTAGTAATTTTTTCTCGTTTTTCCCATTTTCCAAAGGTTGGATCAAGATGTCCCTCAGACTGCACCACAAAATCCCACCACACCTTCCCAGCAGCCTGCCGGAGGCCTATGCTCCCGTACTTACATAACATTCAGTGATGATGAAGCTTTCGAGGCGGCCTTTCCACACAGTGCCCAGTCAAGTCCTCAGCTGCCCGTCCAGGAGGTTTGTCCTGTCACCCACAAGGCCGCACTGTACAGAGATCCAGTCACTGACATACCTTACGCTAACACACGAGCCTTCCGCATCATCCGAGAAGCCTACCGTAAATACGTGGCTGCTCATGGATTTCCAAACACTTCGGGAGGCGTGACAGGACTTGACTCCTCAGCAACGAAGGGTGCTCGCCAGAAAATGGTCGTCAAGCAGGGTGCTGTTGGAACATAGATTAGTTTTAAAAGTATTTAAGAAATAGGTCTGTGCGTCTTTTTTAGATTTATTTGTTCAAGTAGAGTGACTTGAAGTAAGAGCCGCAACCTGTGGCTGTGCACCACCATGGGGTAAACACCTTTTCTGAAAACAAAAATATCTTATCTGATTTTCTCTCCATCCATACAAAGTATCATTGGCATCAGACATTAGTTGGAAAAGTTGCAGATGTTTTGGGATTTAGCAAAAACTGTTACTGTTGTTGAAGGAATCAAAATGAACACAAATATTTTTGGTGCTACTGTTGACTGGACGGCATAAAATTAAATGAAAATAAAAAGAACTAATAATAATTACCACAACCAGATCAGTTGGTGTATTCTCCTAAACTGCATAAAAGTCCTACTTATGACGTCTCTGTACAGAAATTCATTGTGTACATTAATACCCCGACAAATCCAGGTTGAGTGGATGGAAAACTGCAGGTTGGCTTTGGAAGCAAAGTAGGCCTCCAACTGCACGTTGGCAGCTTTTGATATTTTTCTTTTTCTTAAATGCATTTTTTACTGTCAAGATATTTGGTTTCTACAAATGTACATATTTCTCAACAAAAATAAATATTTGAAATGTGGGAAAAAAATCATATTTTACTATTTCTATTATGAACTCTGGTTTGTATCACGTTTCAGACATCAAACACTGAAACAACAGCTACCCTGAAAGGACTGCTGTGGAACAGCACACTAAAAACATGGCCGTCAGTCTGTCTTGATGGTTTTGTTCATTTAATTTAAATAACTTAAACTACAGCTTGTATCACCTTGTTCTCATCGTATTTGATTCATTTAATGTGTAATGCCCCTTACAACTTCATCCATCCTGAATATACCCATACATTGTAATCAACACTAGCTTAACCTTGGTTAAAAAAAATTCTAAATTTCATATTTATTTTTAAAAACCTTAATTTCACATTCATCCCAACTCTCAACTTTTACTGAAATCAGATGAGATTGATTTGGGAAAACTGGTCCCAGGAGTTCAATTCACTGCCTGTATCCGGCGATTCATTGACAGTTTTAAATTATAAAAGCAGTAATTCCTTCCTGCTTTTGTTTATTGCTAAATGTTAACATTACAATAATCATTAAAATATGGAACACTTGAGGTTGTTATTGACAGCAAACCTCTGTTATTCCTCTATTTCTTAATGTTGACTCTGACAATAGATTGTTATTCAGATTTCCACTAACTGCTCACTACCTCAACGGGAAAAGACAAGATATCTGAATAACACCAGTTACATAAATCACATTGTAGTATCTAAATAAACCAGACAGCCAATTTACAAGCATTTTGAATGTGTCTGAGTTGGTCGTGAAGCTATTATAAAAGCTGTTATTTCTGTTCATGGTTAATTACAAAAAAAATAGTTTGAACTCCAGTCCCTGGTGTCACAGCAAACAACGCTGCTATGTTGATCCCTCTAGGACCTTAAATGAGGTTTTCTATATTTATTCTCTCAGGGCACAAAAACAGAACAACAGAGCGCTGAGTGCTTGACTAGCGCAGTCACCTTTGACCCCTCACACAATGAACAAGAATCACTCCTCTGCACAGTGTCCTGTAGCTTTTGGCCATTGCGACTGACCTCTGTTACATAAAAGCTCACTGGGGAACAAAAATAATGTAAATGTTTGGTCACTCAGATTGAATTGCCTATAGTTACGGATAGACCTCCCACTCCTGAAATACGAGTGCCTTTCACATCATTTCTATTATTAGCAAAAATGTGAGTTTATTTTTCAGCTGCAGTATGGAAGTTTTCACTTTCACGCTTCAGCCGGGAACGTGATTGATGAGGATGACGGTGTCATGGCTGACTGGTGAAGTCGACCTTGAATTCCTCTGGAGTTTAAGGTGCAAATCCTGCTGAGTCTGCCTCCATGTCAGTTTAGCCCTCAGCAGATGGTTCGGGCAGAAATTTTACCTTTGCATGAAAGCTCCCAAAATTCTGTTTTGACGTTGCTGCCAAAAGGATCATGTTGCACTCAAGCGGATTTTCTCCTGCTGTTCCTGTAATGTCCTGATGATGTTGAGCAGAGCATCTCGTTGAGCATTCAACCACATCTTTGTTCTGTGTCATAAGCAACCAAACTCAAGTTTCATTTGAAGTTCTTGTTCCTGTCAGCTGGTCTTTGATTAAAAATGGAAATATATTTTTCACCTTCTCATTTAAAACCGATATCCCTGATTGTTAACCTCCGCTGATGTACTTGCTTCAAACAATCTGTAACCACGGTCAGATTTGTTGGTGGTAATTGAAATATTGTATAAGTCATTTTTATGTAAAAATACCAAATGTTCCCTGGTTTCAACTTGGATGATATTTTCTCTCATTGTAAACTGAAGATCTTTGGTTTTTAGACTATTGGTCAAACAAAACAAATCACACTAGGACTATGTATTAATTAATCATGAAAATAAATGTAACTTGCAGTAGGACTTATGTCTGGCATGACTAGTGGCCAAATTGCTATTTCAAATTGCTTAAGCTCTAAATTCTATTGATTTGTGTATCAATAAGGACCATTGTTAATAGCACAATAAGTGCTAGTACACTGGTCAACTAAAAGGAATAAGATAATAATGCATTATACAGCAGGCATTCACACAGATATGAACACTGAGTTTAGGTTAACATAAAGACCTAAATGTCACATTTTAAACTGAGGATTTTCTCTTCAGTGGCGAGGCCAACGTTCCTGTCAGAAACCAGGCTGCTCAAATGACGCCAGGGATAAAGATCAAATCCACTTCACTTCCCTGGCAGTCAGATGGTCTCTGTCATGACACAAACAATGCTGGTGAAGTGAAGAGCAGAGGCGGATCGGCCATCTGGAAGGTTTCCTGGTGGGCCGACCGACAACCGATCTTACTTGCGCTGCATTTGTCATATGTTGAGTTGACAGTGACAGACTGATTGTACTTTGTATTAATCATGACAGTCTGCCTAACAAATTAACATCGAGCAACAGAACAGACAAAGACAATCCCCTCAGACTGACGACAAATTGATTGATTTATTTATTTATTTTTGTTAGCAGAAGTATTAGTTACCGTATGCTAACAGCAGCATACTGTGCTGCTTTGGCAGTTAAACAAGCAGTTTGGAGAGATGAGTCCAGAATAGGATGAAAGGCCCATGGAAGGATGGCTAAAAAAAGCAGTGGTGGGTGTAGCAAAGACGCATTGTCTCAAATAATTTCACTAGCCTTTTTATGGATAAGATGTATAATTTAGCACACATATGCACGCTTTGTGAACAGTACATGGGTCAAATTATTCCCCAGTACAAGTCAAACTGTACTCTGCACACCGGTATCTTCACTTTTTGAGGATACAGATCTTCAAAGAGCATGTTGCACAAAGCCGTGTATAAGATTTTTGAAGCATTGAGAAAAAGGCATTTATCTCTTCATGCCTTTTCAAACCTCTAAACCTCAATACTTGTTCTTTGAAAGCAACTGCTGCCCACACAGTGTGCCACTTGCTTTGGCGAAGACAGGAAGGAAAAAAAAAAAAAAAATAGAAGAAATTAATTCAAAAATAACAAGTTATCCCTTAAAGCGATGGTGATGAATTCAGTGTCAGGCTAAGCCAGTGTCTCTGGTGGATCGACGGATGTAACATTTGCAGTCAAAATATTTAGCCAGTAGTGTTTTTACATGCATTATATTTCTCATATATCATCTGCAACAACAGAATACTGAAAGCTTTGTCTCCCACATACTGCACAGTGCATATGGTACCAATTGAACAGTTTTCAGAATAGGAAGAGAGGGAACTGCATTATCACTCGTTCTAGTGTGGTAGTTGCCATGGAGACGAGTGTAGGTGGTGTACTGTGCTGTACTCTGTGCTGTACTCCTTCCCTTGTCCTCTCCCCTCTTCTGTTGCCCACCGTCTCTGTTCTGTTATCTGCAACATCCGCGTAACTTTCATTCCTTCATATTTACTCGAGTCTCTGTTGCTCGGTTTTTTGGATCCTGCTGGATTTGCATCGTCTCATCGAGCAGTTTGAACCACACACTCGCCTTAAAATGCACAGCCTATAATTACATGAAACGATAGAAACAAACTAAAGTTAAATTGGGTTGACCGCGTTTTACTCTCCAGCCTTTGTGGATTCAAAAGGTTTACATGAGTATCATATTCTCCAAGTTCTTTTTTTTTTTTTTTTTACATTATATCTAGGTTCATTTATCATTTTCTTTATATTTTATGACTGACGGCCATTTTGATTCTGCTTAGATCCTTCAAATCCTCCTGGATTTTTCTTTATTCCACAAATTAGTTTCTTGCTGACCAGCCAAGTTCTTGTATATGCTTTATCAACCCCTTCTTTTTGCAGAACAGCTATTCTTTTATCAGTTTCCATGGAGATGTGTGTGTGTGTGTGTGTGTGTGTGTGTGTGTGTGTGTGTGTGTGTGTGTGTGTGTGTGTGTGTTTGAGTGTTTGAGTTTGAGTGAGGGTTGAGAGTGATACAGTGGGGATGTGTCATTTCCAGTTTATGCTTTTTGTTTTATTTTTAAGGCTGCATGTGCCGTCCAGTGTCCCGAGTTAGTCTGGCTTCCTATACTTTGCTCTTTGCTCTTGTTCGATGCTGCTGGATTACACTTTAAATCCCACAAAGATGACCACAGTAAGACCCGAGCAAACTCCAATTTATACCAGGAAGATAAAAGAAAAAGCAAGAAGAGAATCATCATTTGTTTTCTGTTTAAATGCAGTGGGTTTTTTCCTGTTTGTGTATTTTTAACAGATCCAACCCTTAGTGATTCATTCAGAGGATTACCACCATTTAGAAAGAAGGTTATCATTACCCATGTCTCAGTTTTCTAACAATTTTATGTCCACAATTCACCACCAGCCTCATGTTTGTGATATAGAGACAGGATTAAAAACAAGAAAAGAAAACGGGTTACACCTTCTTTATCAGGGATTTATGTAACGCCTTCTTTATATATGCCCACGAAATGATCTATGACACATTCAGGATTTAACAATTAGCAATAAACATTTATGTAACATGTTTGCATAGCGGATATCAAAATAAAAATGCTTTTGAAGGAGAACAATTGCTGGTGCCCCCACACGTCTGCATCCTATATGGACAGTGTTTGTTGGACTTGGCGTTTTTTCAGTGACCAGAATAAAACTGATTACAGTCTATTAGAATATGAATGAGTCACCCACAGACTTTGAATCCTCCTGTTTATGGGTTTACTGAGTTTCTTTTAAACACAAAAAACATCACTGAGCACCTTAAAGGAGAGAGTCATAGTTTTTCAAGTCTGGCTTTGAACAATACTGACATATGTGCATTGAAAGAGTTATTGGTTACTGATTGGTTAGAGTTACTGTCTATTTAGTTACTGTACCTCCACTGCAGCTCAACAAGGAAACACTGTTCAAACACATGTCATGCTAAAGACTGTAACTTTGGAAAATGCCACTTTCCTTTGACTAACTCAGTCGGCTTGTATTAGCTTCAGCAGACTCCTTTTATGCATGAAGATCAGTTTACCTGCCTGAGGGATCTCTTCTGTGGTTCTGGTGGGAGCTTTCCAAAGCCTGAGAAACTAACCTTGCTGATGTCATTGTGATGTCAGTCAGAGTAATCTCAATCTGGGCTTGTAATTATGTTAATTTGTAACATACAGCATGCTTTACAATCTGTCAGAGTTTGAAAGACATGGGCATTTAGGGAAGGAAGGGATGATCCCTAGTTGTTAATTATGGGAAATGTAGGATCCAGTGTTTTTGGACCCTGATGTCTACAGAGAGTAAAGCTGCAGCTGCATGAAAAAAAAAGACCCCTTCATTTATTTGTGAGGGCTCCAGCAAATAATTGTAGGATCGTCCGTCAAAGAAGATGAACCTTGCTCAACATTGGCGGCAACGTGATGCAATGTCCTCCAAAGTGTGCTGCGTTGGCCAAAATAATGCATACAAACGCACATTCCTGGTGGATTCACTAGGATGCTGTTAGTCTGCCTCTGCCGCTTTGATTTTGTTCATTCTTTATGGCCAGCATGAAAATCTGAACCTGTCCTTTAATATGTTTATGTGGCCAGATTATTCTATTAGGGGCATAATTAGCCTTCAGTGTTACAAATTAATTTAGAAATATGCAAGCACATAATCTGCCAAAATAATAAAGTATTAAAAAAAAGTGATTTTTTTTACACTCTTAGGGCCCCAAGATTAGCTACTAAAGCAGGATTCCTTATCATGTCGGCTGTGCTTTAAAACAAAGGTATAGGGCCCAATTATGTTTCAACAAACCAATTTCTCCACAGTGAATCTGGCGCTTTTTTTGGGAGGGGGGAGGCTCCCCCTGGGGATCTTGTTACCAGAAATCTGAAGTGACCAGCTGACACAGAAAAAAAAGCCCCCATATGTTTCCTGTACACCTTGCAGCTGCTGACATATTACTTATTACACATTCCCAAAACTATATATATATATATATTTAAAAAAAACACCACTTTCCCACTTAACGTCGGCTAAAAATAAGTTTATGTAAATTTCTCAGGTGTGCCAACTTGAGCCTTGTTAAAAGTGCATCACCCCTACTTCAAACCAAGCGCCCTGTGGGAGACATTAAACCCACTCTGCATATTCTAGAAGTAACTTAAATGAACTTTGTTACACTCCCCAACCTCATTCCCATCCCTAATTATTCGGCGCAGTGGGCGGCCGGCCGTCATCGTTTTCATTTTTATTTTCGGACGTTACAAACTCCAGAGATGGTACAGCGCGGGGCGGACTCGCCTGCCTTTGGAGGCGTTGGTTTCTGTTTCTGTCTATCTTACGCACTATCTCCGCCCTCAAGGGAGAGACATCTCCGTTTACCGACCACCTTTTTTTTTCACGCACTGCCGTTAAATCAAAATTAGGTGTGACGGGACTGCAGGAGCACATAGGACACACAGCGTCAATTTTGGCACCGGATTCCCCCCTCCACCACCACCAACACCACCACCACCCACCCCTCGCTCTGAATTTCTGGATTATGGGGACGTCGTTATGCCACGCAGGGTGAACTACAGACGCTTTCCAAGATTAAATCACCCGAACTAGAAGCGAGGAGCGCGTCAAAAAAAACCAACAACAACAACAACAAAAAAAAAAATGTGCATGAATCAGATATTGCTCAGATGCTGCTGCACATCTTCGGGATTTCGCCTGTAAATACCTCCGGGATGTTTATTTCTATGCGTTTGTGGCGTTAGTGCGCGCAATGTGCCGTAGGTCTGTGTGCTGCTCAGAGTTGGCTTAGCCCACTGGCATCACCTTGATAATTATCCCCCGTTTTATTATCAGTAATAGGCACGATTCATGTGCAGCGCTTGTAACCATGCAGGATCCGTGTCGTGTCGTCCATCTCTATAGAGTGTTTTAAATGTAAATATAAGTGGCAGATGATGAACTAATTGGCTCTGTGGATCGTTACGCCAAAAAAAAAAAAAAAAAAAGCCGCGCTGACAGGAGTTCATATCGTTCCCAGATAATAAAGCGACGCAGGGGCTGTTTGAAGTCACATGTGCCCAGAACAAACAATTAAGATGACAAAAACCGTCCTCAGAAGAGATTCTCTTTATTACCGAGGAAGCTGCATTGGGATCGCATCTCAGTTCCTGGATTGTAATAGAGTTGGAGGACAGGGAGCAGAGGAAGAAGAGAGGGAGCAGAAGCAGAGGAGAGCTGCTGCTGAGCTGCACAACAGAGCCACTGCTGACAGGCAAGCTTTGGCTTCAGTGATGGACTGAGCTGAAGGTGAGGGGACCCCTGTGACAGCCAGCTTTCCTCCTATAAAGCCTTCACACTTGACAAAAAAAAAAGGGCATGTATGGACACACTTGCAGCATAGGTGAGAACAGGAGGAGCTGCCCACGTTGAACACAACATATTGGCCCTAATGATTGAAATACAAGCATCTCTCAAAGAGGACAGCACTGGCCTTTTATTTGGAAACCGTCTCTCAGGTCTGCACAAACTGATTCTACCTTTTGTCCCCAAAAGCAAGTAAACCTGGAACCTCAGCACCTTCCCAAGTGCCCTGGAAAACCCACTGGATTGAGTCTGCATCCACAGATGTAACTAAGTTTTCAAGATTTCGTCACCAGGAAGTCCTGTGATTTTGGGTAAGTGTTGTACAAGTGTAGGTAGAAAGTAAAGTGACATACTCTTAATATCTACCCCATCTTACAGTGAAGTGTTGGTGACAGCTGGCTTGGAGAGGCTCACAAATCGAGGTGTTAATGCTGCTTGTCCACCTCAAAGCCCGGATATTCATGTGCAACACAGGCAGCAGGGTCTGTACCAGCTGTTAATGCAACTGTGACACTGACCAGCGTTGCTCGGGTGGCCAGGTTCAGTGTCTTGCTGAGTTTTTAAGGTGATGCATTGCAGGCCTGATGACAACTCGGTGGTGAGTTCAGTGAAAGTGGGACATTAGCAAACAGGTAGAAAATATAAGATTTGCCGAATGATTTTATAGAAATACCCCGGGCGTGTTAAACATACCTGTGTTTTAGGAATAGTTTTACCAGTTTATTTTGGAGACATAAAAACGTGTAGGCTGTTTAGGGAATTTGGCACAAAAGCTAAAAGGAGCCGCTGTTGGGTTGCTGTACCGGAAGGCTTCCCCCCTACTCAAGCACTGGCCTAATGGATGTTTGATAAGACAATTTATGTAGGATTTCCTTGTATGAAGTTCTGATATGCAGCCTGTTCTTTGCAGGATATAAGCCCGTATATCACGTGCTGAATTTGCATATTACATAAACTTGGCATTCTGTGCCTCTGAATGTATGTTTTGGTCAAATAATGTGTATGAATGCATTTTTTCTCAGTGGTGCTGTGGGTTTGCATTTAGCATTTGCATCTTTCACTGCATTTTTTGCATGAACTATCTGCTAATTGGCACATGCAGTGTAGAAATGCAATGCCAAGTGTCACAATGTAGTTCAGTGTAGTTCATTTTGTCCCACATACAAGATGCATTTTGTACACATGATAATGTCATGGCACAAAACACAGCATGTGACACATGATGTCCCACACTCAGCTGAATATTATTTATTAATAAAATGTATTTTCTAGAGAATTTTAAATTAGTTACCTTCACAGCCCCCAAAAGTTAAACTCAGTATAAGGACCTGGTTGATTGGTACTCAGCTTCTGTCATGTCTGATTTCACTGATACCTGTAGTTTGCTAATTGGCTGTCTCTGGTTTTTGCACATTGAACACCTGCACAGACTGCAGGGGGGCTCTGAGATATGCAAAGTAGATATTAAGCTCATTCTTTAATTTCACTTACATCAGAACAAAGTCAAAATGACATTTTAGGGTGATTTTATCTTTCTCAAACTAGTTTACTAACAAAACATTCAAAAAGTATCCCACTTTCACTGGACTCAAGGTCTGTGTGTGCATTTTGGATGAAAATACTCTCGTGTGGATTTTACTGCTGTGACGGTTTTCCTCCATCTCAACTGGCAAAAACAAAAGATGCACTTGATGTTTGGACAGTGTAATGAAGCACAGGTATTATTGGAGGCCCCTATCTTTATAGCTCATTATATTCCACTCCAGGCTCTTGCATACAGTTTCCCATCCTAAAAAAAAAGCATAATGCAGAGGAGAGTGAAGAGCTTCATGTCTGAGGCTGCACACTTGATAGAACAAGATAAGTCCAGCTCACTCTGACTCATTGCCCCTCGCAGGATTTCCTCAGCCTCCTCCATATGAAATTCCTATAAGATATCTCGTACATTGCATCATGGAAAGGCAAGAGATAGATAGAGTCATGGATGTCTATTAATCTCTCTCGGTTTCCTCGTGAACTGTTGATAATCTGGATTCCTTGCCACTCTGCCACAGTTGTCAGCTGGGAGCCTGACAGCCGGCAAAGAGCTGATTCTGCTCCAACACCAAGTTTCCGTAATAATTCTGCTGCTCTTCAGCCATCTTCAATACAACGCATGGAGGGGGGTTTTCTCTTGCTGCCAAGGACAGAAAGGCTTTGACAGTCTGTTTGAATGTTCTCTAACAAAAAAAGAAAGAAAGCAGGAACTCATGTCAGCAAGCTCCTGTCCTGCAATCTTCTCAAATTGTTTTCTTTTGCCTCGGGCCATGAATTTCTTTTCCATCCTCATTTTTTCCCCCAGCAACCCAATAGAGAAAACACAAGATATTTTTACCCTTCTGGTAATTCTTCTCCACCCTGAGCCTCACAAAACAGTTTAACAATGTTCTACCTCGTAATACTCTGTTTTCTCTTGCAGAGCTGCCTAACAAACCTCTCCTCGTATCCTCATATACTCCTCCTCTTAATCTGTTCCTCCATTAGCGTTAGCCACATTGAAGTGGGCAGCCCTAACTAGTTAGCGTCTCATACAGCTGTGACCAACAGTTATTTGTAAGGTAAATGGATATCATGATGACTGGGACAGGCTGAATTTAAGCTGTCACAGGAGAATAATCAAATGTCTTTGTTTATTGGCTGGTTTTCCCACTTTTCTCCATGAAAGTCAAACCAGAGAATGAGGAATAAGGAACACTGATGTGTCGGTGGGAATGCTTATCAATTAATCATAATAACAGCTTGTGGTTAAGCAGCATCGTGACATTTAGGCTATAAAGGGCAGCTGTGATAAGTTGAACGTTGCTCCTAATACAAGTATATAATTGACTTTGCAATAATTGCCGGCAGTTTCTTTTAGCTTTTCTTGAGTGGTGAGTGAAATTTAAATGCAGTAAATCTGCACTCCACTTTCCTTTAGCCCCAGATGGTGCCTCCCTTGTATTATCATTGCATTTTTGAATCCAACAGCTAGAAATTTGTTTTTTTGAAAGATAAATCTCAGAAGGTCATTCAACAACATCCTCAAAGACTCTACTAACCATTTATATTTTTATTTTATTTCCGAACTGTAGCTGGAAGTAACATTTCTCCTTGTTTTGATTTGTAAATTATACAGTTTTGTTTTCATCTTTGCTCATATTGCTCTATATTAATGTTAATTTCCTTTATTTCCTTATCTACATGCACAATAATGTTTATTTTTCCTGTGTTGTACATTGTTGTAAGTTACTAATCCTACATCAATCTTAAAAACTAAAACAAACAAAAAACTTTACTTATGTCTGTGCCATATAGCTGCATGGACACATCTTCAAAGACGTGGCTGCCGCATCAGAGTCAGTTTGGGTTGGTTGGTCAAGCGGAGGTTTGCTGTGGCGGACCTGGAGTTTTAACACCAAGTGAGTCAGTTTAGCCCCACACTGGTGGAAGTTTACTTTTCACTTCTGTCAACTGTACCTAACTCTTACAGCCTCTGCTCCAGTCTGTCGTGGTCCAAACCGGTTTTTCTCTGTTATATATGTATTTATATGTTCCCCTTCAATCCGCTCTTTCTCTGAAATTCATCGACACCACTGTTTGCCAGTATAATGGAAGGTTTAACACGCACTCCTCCACCGGAGCATCACTCACCCTCTGAGCCCTGCTTTGTTACACTTTCAGAGTTTTATTTTGACATCCTCTAGGTCTGATAGCACCATTTGCCTTTTACTCTGGCTTTGATTCATTCTGAGTCTTCCTCCTCTGTGCTCTCGTTACTTCCCCAGATGAAAGCAGCCATTTCTGCTCCCTCAGGAAGAAAAATAATTTTCTGTTAGTTAGCGCAGCGTGTAAAGCTGTTGTTTCATTTCAGACACTAAGACCTACAGAGGAATGTCTCCAAGTGTCAGGAAGAAACAAACAAGAGGCGGCTCATGTTGTGGGGGAATTCTCAGTTGAGAATCACCTTATTTTAAACCGTGTTACGTGTGGTGAGATAATACCAAAGTATCTCAGTGCAGTCAGTTGGTGATAAGAGCTTCAAATTGCTGCTTGATCTCGGATGTCATTCTCACAATTTGCAGCTGTTTAATTTGGGTCTGCTCATTTACAAGCACAGCACACAATAATGCTTCTAAATACATTAGTAAAAATGAAGGTAGTTTGATGGAGAGCAGTGCACAAGCTGCGAACATGTTCCTATGGTAACTAGGCCACACTCCCCTTGGCTAGCTCACACACACACACACACACACACACACACACACACACACACACACACACACACACACACACACACACACAGACACACGCGCAGGCAGAGGGACAGGCAGGAGAGAGATGGGAATGCTGGAAACCACACATGATGGAGAGCAACTTCAGATTGTTTATTTAGGTTAATGTTCTTATGCCTGTTAAGATATTCACATTTGAAATAACCCCGTCTCTCGGCCTTGAGAAATCGTGGTTACATTGCAGAAACGTTGGAAGTCACTTTCTTTCTGTTCCTCCAAAAATATCAGTCAGTTTTTCAAGCCGATCTCAGGTTCTTTCCCGTGGCTCCCTCACGCCCACACTGCCCCTGCTTCCTCAACCCCTCCTCCCACCTCTGCTTTCAAATCCTGCAGCTCTACCTCTTCTGTGCATTTCTACATTTACTTGATTACAGTGCTGTTTCTAAACATAGCACTGGAGTGGCTCTGAACAAGTGTCACTTGTTTTTTTTTTCTATTTAAACATCTTTCTAGTGCCGCTATCTTTTGATTGTATATGCTGGGCCCATGATGGAACTCATATGAATATGTTAACTGCTAATTTGTGTCTGTCACTCAAAAGGGAGCCTAACTTTATTAACAACAGCCTTTGTGTTTAATCACCTTGCATTTAAAGCACTGCAAGACGAGAGTTAATTCCATCAAGCAGTTGATTCTCTAAATGCCAGCAGTGTGTGTCTGTGTGTTTGGAATCTCCAATGTCATTCTGTGTTTTGTAAATCACTGCTCACACTTAAACCGTGTCAAATCTCCTGGGGCGATGCTGCCGGCTTGTCAAAGAGCCGCAAGGTTGATCCACTGAGGTTTTGGCGTGTCAGTCATGCAGGCTGATTGTTTGGACAGCTGACTGTTAATGAACGGCCTTAACTTTCTACACACATTTGCACTGTGATGCTGTGATGAATTTATGACAGGTATACTATCTTTGACCCGGTGTACTTTATTTTTTTAAACACGTGTTAAGTGTTGGCTTAAAAGAGTCAGTTAGCCCCAATTTAAAACACATTTTCCCACCTGCCCCTTGTGCTATCTGTCCAAGTTTTTTGGACATCTATTTGCTTTGAACTTTTTTTAATCTTTTTTTATTTTTTAAGTATATATGGTGTAAGTATATAAAGTAATTATACATCTTCTACCTTCTTCTGCTTCTAACTTTAAGTTGCTCTTTAAGCACCACAACTTAAATTGCTTTTACCTCTGTTGTATTGACAGCCAGAGGAATGTGGGAGGACATCTTAAAACCTGTGAAAAGAAAAATCAAATGTACTTCTGTACTGCAGTTTCTTGCTGCCTGGTTGGCCATTGTATACATTGATACCAACACACTCATTAGCCGATAATATCAGCCAGCTGTAATACTGATGAAATCACAAAACAGGTGATTTTGTGACCTGCAGTAAACTTTATTTAACTTTATTATTTATCCATCTATCATGTGTAAATTATAAAATGCCTCCAGTTGTTTTAGAATTGTATAGATAATAGAAATTTAATAATATAATAAAAACCAGGTTTGACGCTTGTGAATAGATACATACAGTTAAAACTCTGAACTGGCAGAAACCAGAATTGATGAGATGAGGTGGAACTTTATTTATCCCAAGAGAAATTGTTGTGCAGCAGTTGAGGGAAGAAGTAGGAAAGAGTGCAAATATAAAATATATATTAAGGTGCAAAAGTCCAAAATATACATAATGGCAAAAATGTAAACAAGGTAAACGGTACGGATGATGAGCTGCTCATATATCAAGTTTCTTTTACATACAGATAGGTATGAAAAGTGGCATATAGCTCTTATATATAGAAACTGTGTTGTAAAACATGGATGTCAATTATTTGTCCAAATGTAATGAACTTGCATTAATGTGATCCCAAACTATTAACCACAGTCTCGTAATGGTAAGATTTTGCAGTAAGTTAAACGGTGTGCATGATCACAGCATTAAATTAAGACTTTACTAGTATACCTTGACATATTGACTCATTTCATGGACATATTGGAGCTGTTGGAAAAATAGCAAATTCCCAGCCGTAATTACCAGTTGGATGTCGACATGAACGGTATTTACTAGTCGAAATGTGGCAATTACGGGGACTTCCATATGACATGAATGTGACATCTGCCCCAGCAGGCCTGCCTGTTAGTCACCAGAGGCTTCTTGTTGTCAGATGCTCCAGACCAGACATAACGAGATCTTCTCTGTGTGTGTGTGTGTGTGTGTGTGTGTGTGTGTGTGTGTGTGTGTGTGTGTGTGTGTGTGTGTGATATCTGTTACTGGAAACACTGTCACTCTAGGACAAACTGGACTGCACCATCACTATTGTGGACAGTCACAGTAAAATCAAGCTCACTCAGTTCTCTCAGAAGGCTCAGCTCCAGCTCTCAATGCAGTGAATTGTAAGATGTAAATCACGTAGCCCTCATAACGCGGAAGAGGCCTTCACACATGTCACATAAAACAAACCGAATATGACACCTGTCAGGGTGCACACCGACTCAAAAAGTAGCTTAAACAATGCAGGTTCTCGTCATGAGTGAAAATACAAATGATCAGAGATGCTTTGGATGCCGAAAGCCATCAGTCAAAGCATCCGTATTGACATACTTTCCATTTAAAACTGTGCTGTTGAATACATTCATACTTTTATGTCCATGCCAAAAAGTTATACATCGATTCTAGGTGTTTAAATTCATTACATAATACGAGCAGAATGATTTTCTGCATGTTTATATTCAGCTGCAGTTTGAAGAGTCACTGTACTATGTAAACAAACTGATATAAACCAACAGCCTTGACATCTATATAATGGTCCCAGTGGTATTCTCTGTGGGAATTTTCGGCCATGCCGTCCTCCAGACGACTCTGGAGAGGACACAGTCAAACTTTAAAATAACTTTCAGAACAAGTGAAACTGTGTGGGGCTGTTAACAGTTTTTGGAATATGTGTGAAAACTTGTTCACATTGAATCTTGAGCCTTTCTTTTTGATAAAGTGCCTCTGCTAGCCAACAAACGGGCACTAGTTCGGACTGGACTCAACTCACAGATGATTTCAGTGCTCTCTTTTTTCCTACTTTTAAAACCCATATACCTCACTCTGTAGAACTCATTTGGATCATTATGCCAGGCTAGCACTGTGACTCTGTGGATGTTGGTCTGTCAGTTCACCACTTTGTTCCAGACTAATATGTTTCAACTACTATTATATGGATTGCCACAAAATTTTGTACAGACACTCATGTTCCCCCTCAGGACGAATAAACCTTTTTTCACAGCAGCCATTTGGACATGAAATAGTAGGGTAAACACAGGTATTACCAATGATACTAAGGTTCTGTTCCATTCATATCAAACAGAGTCAGGCTGCAGCTATTGTGCATGCTGGCTCACTGGAAAGGCTCTCTACACGAAATGGAACTGAACTGTGATTACCCGACTATTTCATGTCAGAATCTGTTGCAATCACTTCGGCGATCGCCCAACTTTTCATCCATCATCAGATCAGAATTTATATTTGTCTGGGTACAAATTAGGTATATATACTTTTTGGCATGACCAAATACCAGCAAAGCTTATTATTAATTATATTTCCATCCGCCTTAACTGTACATTTAATTCCAAGTGCCAATTAACAACATGCTAACACACCAATCTAAGATGTTGGGCTTTTATATAGATTTATGGTGACGTATTCTACTGTAAGGAGTACATATAACTTAAAATATTTTAATGTCATCATGTATATACTGAAGGCTTTCATTACTATAGGGTTTTCTGGGCTCCACAAAATGATGAAATGCATGAAACAGTTGCAGAATAGAAACAGTTTTTATTGTGCAAAGTGCAACGTGCAAAACAGAACTTAATAAATAAGATATGCCAACAACTTTAACTTTACTTCCTTTTCTGGTGGTGACCATAGTGAACATTGAACCTGCTAAACATCAGCATGTTCATTTACGCTGTGTCCCAAATCCATACTGCATACTAATTCTTTACAGTGTATATACTAAAACAAACATTCTTTATGCCGTTAAACTAACAAGAAGTAATACAATACATCAGATTTCTATCAAACTGTGACTTTCTCACTGCAAGTTTGACTTCATAAGCGGAAAGCAAAGTGTCTTTCTTAATACTTACTTTTGTTTTGCAAGAAATTTCTAAAGCTGCTTCACCTCCATCCTCATTTATTTCAAATTTCCCCCAGTTGCTACCTCCACTTCCAATTTAAAAACCTGTTTAGAGGTAGCCTAGATTTAGGACACGCAGGTTGTCATTGTTAGCATGCTGGCGTTAGCATTTAGTTCAAACCCCTGTGATGCCTAATTACACCCTATCAGAGCTGCTAGCATGGCCGTGGACTGCCCACCAATGGCACTATATGGAGCAGTGTTTTTTGAAGTCTTGTGTCTTGTTATGTAAGTTAACATGATGCCAGGGATAACTACTGTGTGGTGCTAAAAACTGAGTTGGCAGTCTGTTAGGACTGAATTGATGTAACTGATAGCAGAAACACGAAATAGTTAATAATAATAATAATATTGATAAAGTACATGTATACAGTTTGGACTGTTTTCATCATAGCTGATACCAAATAAGCTTAATGAGGTCAGTACTGGTGCTGATAACTATCCAGCGAATCAGATCGCTGCGTCGTTAATTGTAGTTTCGCTAATGATTGTTTGATGATTGTGTGCCATGGGTTGAATGAAAAGTTTGGGTTTCATTAAGCGCATATTATGCTGAATGAATATCTGCTGGGAGATTTCATGGTTATTAAAAAACAATTTTATAGTTTGTCTTTGATTGGGCTGCTTGTATCGTAATCACTTAGTTTAAGAGATGGCACATTGTATCCTTACATGCGTCTATTCTTTGTCTGTAACAAAAGAAAAATCTATCCTGTGAAAAAGCTTATGATTTAATTCAATTTATTATAAAAAAAACAAAGTTTCCAAATGTGTATTAATAGAGAGATATATGGTAAAGGTTGAGTATGTTTCTCCAACACCCACTCACAGTCTTCCTCTTTCTGTCTTTCTCTCCCTCTGTATCACAGTTAGCTAGAGGCTGTTGCCACCCACACACTCCATCCTGACAGCAATTTACATTCAGAATAGCCCATGTGAACGCATCCATGTGTTTTAATATGTCACGTTTACTTAGAGCGCCACACGATGCAGGTGACTTTTTAGTCGCAGCAATGTTAAAAATGTGATATATGCTATATATTCCTCTGCAGGGTCATTCAATCAGTTTGCTGCGACTCTGCCTCTGAGAAGTGTCAGAATCCAGCCCCACACGCACACGAGACAAAAAAGAAATACTTCCCTCAGTTGAGGAAGATTTCCCCCGCGGGCAGCCGATTGGTCTGATCAGTTCACTCACACGTGCGGTAGCAGAAACAGTGTTTTACAGCTTGTGACTTTGTGTTTTTCATCATCTTTATTGTGCAGTTGTGTGCCAATATCTTCTACAGTTCAAGTAGAAGCCCTTGGAGTTGTTTCCATGGATACCAAACAATTAGCTGGGATTCAGAATAGAACCTGGAGAGTAGCCTATTTACAGGCTTTGGAAGCGAGGAAATCATAGGATGTGAGTGTCTTGATTCTCCGTTGCAAAAGGGAGGAAAAAAAAGCTCCTTTAGGGAATGGGTAATTACCAAAAAAAAAAAAAAAAAAACATTTTTGCTCCCACAGATCAATTGCAAACAAAAATAGAGGAGCAGAATGAAACACAATCACGCGTTTAGCTTTAAGAGATCACCCTATGGATGAATCTGTGATATTTTATGCCACACCTCCAGAAGATCAAATGTATGATGTGTGATTTTGATCACAGAACCCGCAAAACTCAAATCCTAACAATGTATAATTAATGTAGATAAATAAATAAAGCAGAATTTGACTTTATTTTACATCTAAGGCTAAAAAAAAAAAAAAAAAAATGCCTTTGGCTTCAAATGAGGGCCACATTTTACCTTTAGACAGGCTTCATTCCCTAACCCTGAACTGTATTTAGCTGAAAATTGGTAGCCTGGTAATCAGACTGAATAGACACCTTGTTTAACTTTAACTTCTTATTCATTATATTCACCCTGACATTATGTGGGATTCTTTTTTTAAAATCTTTTGCCCTAATCTATTAGTAGCGAGTGACATAAAAGCTACAGTAGCAGTTGACAAGAGCAATTAACATTTTTAAAATTGACCTGAGAAATGTGTCCATTTAAGAGTAGTTGTTATTTCTGTAACTTGACGACGACAACTACAGCGGCGTCAATCTCATCCATGCTCTCAACCAAGCTAACTAAGGATGTAGGAAGAGGGTCCCCGCTCTTTATCCCACCTACTAAACTCTGGTTAGTCAATTGTTTCTCTAACGGGGAGACAGCAATCAGTGGGAATAATACCAGACCTATTTGAATTGCTGAACAAATTGGACATGTGGGTGGCGATTTATAGGTCTGGAACCAGGCTGGGAAATATGACAAATTTTTTAAGAGGGAGGAAATTTACACCATGTTCCAAAATGTCCCTTTATACGTTTGACGCTTGTTGATTTGGTGATCGGACAGACATGGGAGGTATTTGACTTCATTCTGCTGTTTATAAAACTCTATCTAGTATTTCTGTTTTTAGAGTGACTTTAGAGTTATGTTTGGAGAATCCTGCATTTGTGCGTTGGCCTCGTCTTTCTTTGAAAACACAGGTATGTAGAGAAAGCATCCTATCGGATTCCCTACAGACGCATGTCTATACTTTTATAGATCCACCACCACGTTCCAGAGTTTGCACAAGTCAGACTAAGGGCCAAGATGACTCATTAGAGCATTTGACTTCTTTTTACTATTTAGAGGTCCAATATATTCTCACATCAGGTTTTATGTCTTTTTACAATGGTGTTTGGTTACAAAAAGTTTCCCAATGGAAGGATGACGGATAGCGTCTAAGTGTCTTTCAGACTGTCACAATGTTTTTCTTTGGGGTGCCCGTATAGCTCCCCCTGGTAGATCTGGCGCACCATGTACCAAGGCTGAGTCCCTGTGGCAGCAGCCCAGGGTTCAAATCCGACCTGTGGCCCTTTGTAGCGTATCGTCCCCTCTCTCTCTCTCTCTCTCTCTCTCTCTCCTCCCCTTCCTGTCACTCTTCAGCTGTCACTGTGCATTAAAAGGCAATAAAAGCCCCCCAAAAATGTCTTTGTGTTGTTTTTTTTGAGGATGTAGCTGTCTGTCCTTGTTGGCGAGCTTGACTTATACCTACTATTTGGCATTGTTGATGTGCTGATATCTTGTTTGTGATGATTATGTGTTATGTGTGCTTTGAATGCCATTTCCTTTTCTATATGTAACCAAAGCAACTGTAAGCTACAAATAAAATAATGTAATAAAATGTTCCTCTTAACTGATGACCTCATAAAGGGTGCAACATACTGTACATTTTTGGTGATAATATAACAATATCATCAGGAAATGTTACTTAAGTTACATACAAGAATTAAATAACAGTTAAAGTTACTATATAGATTATAAGATTATAAATACATGATCTATTAAACTGTTATACCCTTTATGAAGTAATCATGCAATATTGGACTGATGTACTTCATTCCTTTTGTGACCTGTTTCAAGGAACTTTTGTCATTTCATCATCAAATCTCTAATATTGTTCATGGCCTTCATGTTGTTTTAAAATCACACAAGAGTTTAGAAGCCCTTTGTATACTGTTAATTGTCGATCAGACTTAATATGACTCTGCTGTTTGTGCTACTGTTACTTAACAGTTTATCCATATACCACCACTCAGTTCTGCCTTAACACATTTTGTGTGATTTGCATTTTTTTTTCAACCCGCCTCCTACATATTTTATTAGTTGGTTTTCTGATTCGATGCCATTTTCCTATTATTGGCTGCCAAAGTAGGTGTGACCCATTTGGCATTAAATTGTCATAACCATTATCAATAATCAATGCATTGTGTAATTGCTACCTCATTTAGATGAGCACTAACACAGATAAACTCTCAGCCATCTTGCAAAATATGGTGGAGATTTACTCAACAGTCCTACAGCAACATGATACATTGAAATAACCATAACTCAGCAACCAATTAGTCTGACTTACTGACGCACAGAACATCGTCAAAATCCTAATATTTACTGCGTATTTAAGCATCCAAAAGCAGCGTGATCTTTTTTTAATGCACTATATGTGAAAAAGCTCAAAAAGGACAAACAACATGTGAAATTAATTATAATAATACATTTAGGTAATTCTTCATTCTGCATTTTTTACATATAATGATTGAATGTCTGCACTCCTTTCTCATAGACCAATCTCGCAGGGCAAGTTTTGCCTCTGTAAGACAGTCAAGCATGGAAACCCCTCCCAATGCCACCCCACAGCCCTTCAGACAGCCGGTGAGTAAATTTAAGGTCTGTCACACTCTCCTGATGCAAGTGAATGCCATATGTATGCTTTCTGCTCACATAGAAAACACGTACACATTGGCTTTTTTAATATTATAAATTCCCACTTGGGAAGTAAAGCTAATATATTCCAGCAGTTGGCGATGTGTTTCACTCCGCTCTTATAAGCTGTATTTCTTTCTGTTTTCTCTTGTTGAATCTTCAGAGTTTTCTCAATCGGAGGCTGAAGGGCTCCATCAAGAGGGCCAAAAGTCAGCCCAAACTGGACCGGACCAGCAGCTTCCGACAAATGATTTTGCCCCGGTTTCGTAGTGCTGACCAAGAGAGGTAAGTAACCTTGTAAAGCGTGTAAAGCCTTCATAACATTCAAGGAAATGGCAACTGTTTTCTAATTCAGAGTCACATGGGCGTTGGAGCCTGTACCAGCAGGTATTGTGCAAAAGCCAAGAAAACACAGTGGACAGGTTGCCAGTTTATCACTGATCTAACAAATATATCCCTACTTAGGAGTGATTTACTGTTCACAATTCACCTGATATACATGCTAATGAAGGCTGGAAATGCCATGGTTGCAATTAATCATGTGTTTCTCTGTGATCAGGGTCCAAAACTAACTTTTCGGTTTATCTGCCAATGGCAGTTAAATTAAGAGAATGTACCTGCCAAAAATATTTATACTGGCCATATACATGGCATCATGCATTTGAATAAAAAATGATCTCGTGTTTTGAGCCTTTCTGACTCTTTTGAGGATCTCAAAAAGATGCAGACCTCTGGAACTTACCCTCTCGCTTCATGTGTGTCTCTAAATTATTTACTGGCCACCGGTGACTCCAGTGTAATCCTCCACCAAACCCAAAACCTATCCACATTTGGCACTTGGCAGGTATTACTTTTGGACCCTGCTTGTGATCATAATATATTTTAATTAGCTGAATAATTATTTGTCATCTCAGAGCTACCCACAGTCATCTATAATCACTAGAAATAAGGCATGCCTGTTACATGTATGTTGCAGTTTGTGCTGTGGCAAGATCATGCAGTCATGTGATCAAGACAAAATAAAACAATGACCCTTGTTACTGTGAGGCGATAAGTGTTCACAAAGAGATGACAAACTGTACATAGCACATAAATAAGCCTGTTGATGCGCTTAGATCGGGAGCAGCTTTAAGCTTTGGACACTACTCAACCATCAACAATGAAATCAGTTCTTGCTTGGGTGACATGCTGCTTTTGTGCACTGGGTGTTACCTAAGTGGGTTTGCTGTGACTACCTTACGCTCGAATTGCTTCTGCATGGAAACCTCTCACTTTTGCTGCTGAAGGCTACATTTCTTTTTGAGCTACAGCCAGAACATTGCTAACCTCAATACCTAGCTTCAAGGTTGCTTCTTATTCTGGGACAAGCTGATTGTGTACTGTAATTATACTCAATTCAGTTCACTTTATTTGTCCCAGAGTGGCAATTTCAGTGGCACGTACAATAGCACAATTAACAAGTAACACGATACAAGAGAAATAATTTTAAATATATATATAATAAAAAACCCAAACACATATACTTGTAATAGTACAATAATAGTATAGTGCAGTGTACATGTATTGATGGGTAGTTCTATAATATACAATGACGCGTGTAATTACAGTGCAGTACAAATCAGAATCTTAATTGTTGGTTTCCTATTTTAAGTGTGAAGTTATACCGTTTGTATTGTGTATTTTTAGCCTCACATTTGGCTCGAGGTACGACAATCTCAGTCCATCAGTCAAGTACTTTGGTTCATACTGAAATAACTATTTTATTTAAAGTAACTTAAAATAAGAACAATCATATTCTGCCTTTCTTTTATAAATAAAACTCTTGAAAAATGAAACACAACCACGGACATTTCAATACACTCAGGGGGTTTTTCTGTTAAAGCCTTCCTTCGTCTGGTATGACCAGTAGCGTATGGTGGCTAATGTTAGCAAATTATAGGAATCACATGTCCAACAGATCAACACAATATAGTGTACCTGTGAATTCCCATCAGCCTTAGCTGATCTTCACGCTAACATTAGCATTTTGTGTTATCCTGAGGGAAGATATGTTTTTATTCTTTCCCCAAAAAGCTAAAATCTCTGCTGTGTTTCAAGAGCCACTTGTGTTTTTATGTGGCTGAAGAAGAATGTGGATGAATCTCAAACTGCCGCTGGAGCTCTGAGGAGCCCACCTGACACCCCTCACCTGAACTGTGGCTTCTTATCAACCACTGTGACAAAAGCAAAGCCCTGCTGAATGAAGGACATTGCCTTTGGTGATACATTCAGAGATGGTTTCAGCTTGTGCTTTTTCCAGCCACTTTCAGGCTGTGACTGAAGATATTCAGCGGATTGATATTAATAGCAGCACTACAAAAACTATTTATCTCATCATTGCAATGCTGCCATCAGAGCTGTGACATACTACAAGTGAACTTAAAATTGATTTGCCACGTTAAGACTTACAAGAGCTCATTGGATGTGGTGGACATATTACGACTACAAAGAAAACATTTTTGGTTAGTTGAGTTGAATACAGTTGAAGGAGGGTATTGTACGTGCACATGTGCAAGACTGTTTGGAGACAGCATTGCTGAAAAGAGTAATACCTGTATGCCTCCAAACTACACATTAATTTAAATATGTACTTGCTTTTGGGATAAATTTGGGAGTTTTCATTGTATATTACTTGAATTGTAGGGCTTCCCCCGACTAAAGATTTTCCTAGTCGACTTGTAGTCATTAGTTAAAGCCATTAGATGACTAGTCACCGCACATTTCTGATATTTAAATATATATCTACATTTTATCAGCTGGCTGTTAAATGCTGCAATGACTCAAACTTCAACAGAATAAATAGCTTCCAACTCCACAGAAAAAAATACTCTGACTTATCAACATGATGGATGATGTAAAACAATATAGTTACAAATTCATTTGCTATAAACCTACCTCTCTCCAGTTTAAATACTCTTCTGTCACTGGTTTATGATGAAGACACAGCAGTCTTCATCCTCCCCGGAGTCCAGGTCAGAGCCATTGTAAATCTCCTGGCCTGCGTCGGTCTCAGAGGCTGTAAACCCAGTTCTCATTCTCCTCTGCTAGTAGTGCAAATAAACCTCTCCGCATCCTTCGAGCTCCCAGTCCGGGTAGTCAGCTAAGCTACGTATGCTACATAGCCGAGTGGAAATCAGCTAGTACTGTGTTACAGGAGCAACGGTCCGTGTTGCAACAAAAAAGTTGGTCGTAAAACGTAAAAAGTGGTATCTAAAACCATGAAAAAAATTGTAAAATTTAAATGGTCTTTTGGATGTCCTAGTACAATTTCTATAATAACCTTATGCCTACACTTCATCATATCAGTGTGATTCCTGTTATTGGATCATATTAGGATAACTTACAGCTCTGGAGGCTCTCATGGCAGCTTTCTTTTGTTTTGTATTCTGACTTGAGGTCAGATCCCAGAAGATTCTGCCTTGCATTGCTGATCAACATTTTCTGCGGTCCTCACACAATCCAGTCACGATGCACATATGGGAAGTGTAAAGACGTAGAGGGGGAGAGGCAGAAAGTAAAAATGTAATGCTGACAGTACACTTTCCAACCGCCACAGGAGATGCATAATAGACATTTTGAGGGCAGGTGTGGCTGTCCGATGCTCAGGGATGTGAAATGCGTCGTTTAGCGAGGGATGTAAAAAATCCTTTGTTCTAAAAATGCGGGGTGAGAAGCCCAGTTCAAATGTTCAAATTAATTATATATTAACCCAAGGGGTTGTGTGGAGGCAGCTCTGAAGGAGGTGGTGGGGGTAGCTTAATGGTGTCGGGGTTAAAGGGACTTCTCTGCCTCAGCCATTGTGCTCTCCCCTCTAACCACAGCCGTTCTCCAGCTCCCACCGCTGCCTCAGACAGCTGCCTTCACAGCCTGCTTTGAGTTCTGCCCACACACACTTAATTCACTCAGTAGTGTTAAGTTGACTTTGCTATAAACCCTCAGTGTCCAACTTCACACTCTAGCTTTCCAACGCAGCTGCTCTACCTCTGCTGCCAAGCCACTTTTACCAAGGCGTTTTTATGCGATGGCGCTGTCGGCTCCTCAAACTGGACGATTCACTGGACTCTCTGCTTGACTTTAAATCTGGCTTAAAATTAGCGCTCCTCATTTGTGGCATAATTATCAGGTGTTTCTTCAAAAGCTTCTGCTTTTTCTTTTCCTTCATTTTTTCATCTCTCTCATGTTCAAAGCCAGTGTTAATAATGCAGCATGCTAGCTCCAGCTTTTCAGTGCAGATGAACTCCACATTCCCAGTTTATTCTTCTTCAAAAGTAGGTTCAGCAAATCCTAAAGGAATATTTGAACATTTTGGGAAATACACTTGTTCACTTTCTAACTGGGAGTTAGATGATGAATGTATGTATCAGTGTGTTCTTCTTCAAAGCTAGTTTCAGAAAATGTTAAAGGAAGAGGTATACATTTCAGAGAATACACTTATTATGTATTAGATTTACGATGAAGCTAACAGGTGCTCAGCTTAGCAGAAACAGGGAGAAACAGCTCAGTTCAAATTTAACAAAAGCTGCCGAAAAAATAAAATAAAAACACTTTCAGAGATAGTTTTTTGTACGAGTTAAACAAATGAGATATAACATGTTATAGGTGTTAGGTGCTGCTAGGCGGCTTTTGTTACTAACGGACAGAGCCAGGCTAGTTGTTTCCCTGTTCAGAGTCTTTATGCTATGCTAATCTAAATGGCTGCTGGCTCAGTCTCACTGTTAGCGTAGTTACTGCGGTTATGCTTTGTAGGGCAGTGTAGCTGTAGTATCTTCTCACCTAACCCTTGAGGCAAAATGTTTTCCTCACTGCATTTTTTTTCCCCAACTGGCGAGAGACAACCTTGGCAAACCTTTTCACTTCCACTTCCATCAACACCTTTAGTTTTTTCTTGATAGATCTGCCCTCTTCTGAAGGCTACCCTATTATCAATCCTCTGTGCCATTTTATAACTGCACTACAGGCTTTCTGCAGATTAGCCCCACTGAACTACTTCCGCTGGTTTACACCCCCCCCCCATTTACCAACATCACATTTTTATATGCATTTGTAAATTCTTGTGTAGTTATCGGAAATTAAAGAATTGCATTTCCAGAAAACGCCACAGACTGGGACACCGTGGGCCATTTCCTAACATGCAGTATGAGTCACATGTGTTGAGTCAACAGACCAAACTGCAAACCCCAGAACAGAAAATCTGGTAGTCTTAACTTTTCCATAAACTCATTATAAAAGGATCAGATCTCAGAAAATCGTACTGAAATTGCAGCAATGACTCATTTTTTGTTATATGAAAACCTTTCTAAATTGTTTATCTAAAGACCAGTGATTACCTGAATCCTGAAAGTAAACAAAGTCTCTTCTTCTCTCACCAGGACACGATTGATGCAGAGCTTCAAAGAATCCCACTCCCATGAATCCCTACTTTCTCCTAGTAGTGCTGCGGAGGCTTTGGACCTAGTTTTGGATGAAGAGGCCATAATCAAACCTGTCCACTCTAGCATTTTAGGACAAGAGTACTGCTTTGAGGTGCATTAAGTTGTATAACCTTTTCATTCTCCCTGGCTTTATTTGTCTACTAATGGGCTTGAGGTGATTTTTTAAGTGAATTTGTTAAAAAAGTTCTAAGTGAAGACATCAAACCACTTCTCACCTCCGTCTGAATTAGATAAATTGAGTGAACTAGTGGTTTAAAGGTCCAGCTTGCAACTGTGGCAGAAATTGAATATAATATTCACAGGTAGGTTTTCATTAGTGTATAATCACCAAAAAGTAAGAATTGTTCTGTTTTCGTTACCTTATAATGAGCCTTTTATATCTGTGGGTCCGTGGGTCGCCTTCGATGTTTCTACAGTAGCCCAGAATGGACAAACCAAACACTGGCTAAAAGATAGGGCTTTTTCGTGTTTTTCACATGTTTTTCGCTGCCACAGTAGTCTCTCCCTCGTGCTTGGAAAGGGAGGGTCGACGCCATAGAGTTGCAGTGTGTTCCTATACCGCTAGATGCCACTAAATCCTACACACTGGACCTTTTAAAGAATTCGTGCTGAATTGATAGATGAAAATAATAAGCAACACTTTCAGAATCCATGAATTGTCTTTTCGTCTTGTATATCAAGAGATTCTCTGGTACTAAATGTGAGAAATTAGTTATCTGTGAGTTCTGGACAAAACTAGCCATTTGAAGATGTTACTGATTATTGGAAAAACAATTAGTTTTTTCACAGATTAATCAACTGTAAGAATAACTGCTACGTCCAGCCATATATGGAATATTTTATAATAATAATTTGTTTGCAGGTGACCACTAGTTCAGGGACAAAATGTTTTGCCTGCCGATCAGCTTCAGAAAGAGACAAGTGGATTGAAAATCTGCAACGAGCTGTCAAACCGAACAAGGTAGATACAATAAATGTATTAAATGTTACAACAGCACAAAATCAGTCCAGGGTGTAACATTAAGAACCAATGTAAATAAGGACTGTTATAATGCAGTAATAGAACTCCTCGTTTCACTTTCAGGACAACAGCAGACGGGTGGACAATGTGCTGAAGTTGTGGATCATTGAAGCTCGAGACCTTCCAGCTAAGAAACGCTACTATTGTGAACTATGTCTGGATGACATGCTGTACGCACGCACCACCAGCAAACCCCGGACCGACACCGTCTTCTGGGGCGAGCATTTTGAATTTAACAATTTGCCTACCATTCGTAGCCTTCGTTTGCATCTCTACAAGGAAACTGACAAAAAAAGACGCAAGGTAATGCATATGTGGTCAAAATAAAACCATAGCTCCTGGTCAAAAAACATTTTATTACATTACAATTATTTATATTTTTGCCTGTTGCTTGCTCGGTGATCCAGGAGAAAAGCACATATCTTGGCCTTGTCAGCATCCCCATCTCCAGCATCACGGGCCGGCAGTTCGTGGAGCAGTGGTACCCGGTGATACAGTCCAGTGTCTTGGCCAAAAGCGGAGGTGTTGGAAGTACCAAAGTGATCAATGCCTCACTCCGTGTCAAGTCTCGCTACCAGACAATGAACATCCTCCCGATGGAGCTGTACAAGGAGTTTGCTGAGTACATTACCAACAACTACCGAACACTGTGTGCAGTTCTGGAGCCGCTGTTGAGCGTGAAAAGCAAAGAGGAGGTGGCCTTTGCTCTGGTGCACATCCTTCAAAGCACAGGGAAGACAAAGGTAAACAGGGGATTAAATGTAACCTGATTGCATGTTATTCTTCCTTAAATCATTGCTGCTCCCTGTATGATCTGTAGGTTTGTTTTCATCACAATAAGCACTATTTCCTTTCCTTGGTACACAACTTAAAAATGTAATCTTTTCTCAGGAGTTCCTGTCTGACATGGCGATGTGCGAGGTGGATCGATTCATGGACCGTGAGCACTTGATCTTTCGTGAGAACACGCTAGCTACAAAGGCTGTGGAAGAGTACCTCAAACTGATAGGTCACAGATACCTCAAGGATGCTATAGGTAAGGCTGCTGCAGACGAGCCCAGCTGCACATCACAATGTATGTAATCTCCAGGTGGCTGAATGAAAACAGTATTTGAAGCTCAAACCGTGTCAATTGTTTTGATGTAAGTGTGTCTCCCTTGGCTAAATTCCAGCGTTCCAGTGCAATTTTGAGATAGTTTGATCTACATTTGTGATATATTTGTGACATTTTCCAACATTATTCTTATTCATTGTGGTAGCAGCATCTTTGGAAATATTAGAACTGACAGAACAGAAAGAACTGTCTAAATGTCACATCAACAAACAGAATTTGTGCTTTAATAACATTTTTGTGTCACAACATAAAATGCTAATTTATTCTTTTATTTTCTCATACAATGGTAGAGAAATAATAGTTTTATTTAGATTAGCTGTTTTAAGGTTTTTCCTAATGCACACAATCCAGTGTACTGTATACCAATCATTCTTCATGTTTCATCCCATTTATTACAAATCCTGTATATTTTACATTTATATTTTTGTGTTTTGATAATGACTTCCTCCTCCTCCTCCTTTATTTAGCATACTGTTAATTGGTGCATTTTGGGAAACATAATGACACTGTGATTCTCAAATTGCAGGCGACTTCATTCGAGCCTTATATGAGTCTGAGGAGAACTGTGAGGTGGATCCCATGCGTGTCCCGCCATCAGTGCTCGCTGACCATCAAGCCAACCTTCGCATGTGTTGTGAGCTGTTACTCTGCAAGATTATCAACTCTCTCTGGTCAGTTTTTTTCCATTTATGCACCTGTAAGAACTATGTGACAGTATCTGCTCTGTATATCCACTGATTGGTGCCTATAACAGCCTGCTCAATGCAACTCTCCGTCTGGCATCCATTTTAATATAGGGTGTAGATTAGGAAAAGAAAAAAGAAAACAAACATTTTATCAGGCTTTAAATTTTAGCTTTATATTTACAATTTTGTCTTTCCAGTTGACAAAACATCTGGCCTCCATTTGTCTCCATAGTAACAACAATATAAAAGCTTTCTTTTTGCAACTCTGATATTTAAACTAAATTAGAACATCATTTTTTGTTTGTTTGTTTTTTCCCACTTATATAATTTGTAAAATCATCATCGCCAAGACCATTTCCAGTATGGTTTCATAAACATAAATCCTCCATCCTGAGCAGTCCAGTCCAGTAATTTTCCGTATGTTTTTGTCTCCTGACCTTGCTGAATTCCTCAGGGGCTGCTGGATTTTTATCCTGCTGTTCGCTTTGACAATGGGCAATAAAATCATCCTCTTGTTTCAGCATATTTCCCCGGGAGCTGAAGGAAGTTTTTGCCTCGTGGAGAGCCAGATGTGCTGAGCGTGGAAGAGAGGATCTCGCCGACAGCCTCATCAGCTCCTCTTTGTTTCTTCGCTTCATGTGCCCAGCCATCATGTCCCCCTCACTGTTCAACCTAATGCAGGAGTACCCCGCCGAACGCACGTCCCGCACGCTCACACTCATAGCCAAAGTGATGCAGAACCTGGCCAGCTTCAGCAAGTGAGTCTGTCTGTCATCACTTGTCCTCTTACACAAGCTACGACATTAAATTGATTCAGTTCATTTTTAGATTCGTGGACGATGACGCTTGTGCGAGGTGGGATGCATGTCACAGAGTAACATCACGGAAATAGAGACTTGCAGTTTTGACTGTAAGGGTATAAACTGTTACTCACCCACGGTGAGCTCCAAGGCTTTCAGCTGCGACACATTTGTTCTCACCTTCACTCTGTTCACATTTTTTAGAATATTAAAACAATTCTGGCACCTATAATTAAGGTATCAAAAGTTTGGTGGCAATTTTATAGACACTACATTTGAGGACCATTGGTTAAAATACTCAAATGATCAGACATGTAATACTTCTGGCAGTTAGCAATAATTGGTCAAACTACTGTTCCTTAAGTCCCAGGGAGTGTGTTTACATGTGCATTAGTGTCCCAGTTAGGACAATAACAATCTGGATATGCCCGTTACCTTGGTTTTGAGAAACCAGATATGCTAGCTGTAGCACTCTCTGACAGAAAACCAGGATATTGCAGCATGTAGACAACTCATCAAGGTTTCTAATCATTCTCTGTTGTGCTCATACGTAAACAGTTAGGGTGATGGGTATTGGTCTAAGTCACAACTATGATGAAAACCAAGATATCACTGTTGTCATACTTCTTTACACTCAAAATTAATATATGTGCAGGACATCAAAAGTACAGAACAGCAACAAAAAAAAGGCAATCACTGTCCAAATACCTGAATTGTAACACACTTGAATTTTAAACAATGAGATGATTCCACTTGCACTGAGTATGTTTCTATCCTGTCATTATTGCGTCTGCAGATTTGGACCCAAGGAGGAATACATGTATTTCATGAACGAGTTCCTGGAGATGGAGTGGGGCTCCATGCAGCAGTTTCTCTACGAGATTTCCAACATGGAGACTGGTGGAAACGCTGGAGGGTTCGAGGGCTACATTGACCTCGGCAGAGAATTGTCCATGTTGCACAGCTTACTGTGGGAAGTCATGGGCCAGCTTAGCAAGGTAGGTGGACTAACTGGAATACTGAATTAAATATTTACTATGATATCTGTAACTAAAGAATGTAGAGAGTCGAGAATTGTAAAATAAGGTTCTGCAGACACAAGATAAATATTATTTTCACTCAATTAAAACTGAGGTGGAATTAATGCTTTAATATTTAACTGAAGTGCTCGCACTGTGAATTTGTTGAAATTGTACTGTAGTTGTATCCTAATGAAAGTTATAAATATTTTATGCTAAAGTAAAATGGTCCCTAGTGTAAAAAAGGTTGTGAACCCCCTGGTATAAGTCATTTGAGGTTTGGATTTTCTTAATTTTGGAAACTTTTCCATGCTGCAGGACGCCATCCTCAAACTCGGCCCCCTACCACGGCTGCTGAATGACATCAGCGTCGCCCTGAGGAACCCACAGCTCCACATGCCTACAAATCACCAGCCAGACAGACCGAAGGACAGACTCTTTTCACGGCCATCTTTCAATCGTCTCATGTCGTCTGACTTCCAAAGCCTTATGATGCGTGACTTAAACAGGTATCTTTAATGCTTTCCTTTGTTATGTATTTTTGTCGTTATCGTTCTTACACATGAAATTGGATTTGCATGTCCTCAAAGAGTGTGCTCCTGTGGACTGTGTGCCAAGGCGGGCTATGCTTTTGCATTTGAACTTTATTGAGACAAAGCGAATGGCCACGATTGCAAATGTGCACCTATTGCACATCAGGAGTTACAGTTTCGTACTCAATAAGTGAGAATTCAGCGGCTCAAAACAAAACACTGGTTAGTTTCTAAGAGCCCCTAATGATAATGCAGCTCTTCAGGCTTTTTAAGTATTTTATCAATCAGTAATTGCCAGCACCATCTGTTCCCAGACTCTCTTGCCCAAACCTCTTTCCTCTGTGTTTTAATTCATTTCAGCACTCTGCTACTGTCAAGAGACAGTTGCTCTCATTACAGCCTAACTGTTTAAATAAGAACTCTTTAAGTAGAGAAAAACAGTGGTAATATCAGAGGAATCCACTGCACCTATTTTGTGTTTACTATTATAAATCCCTCCTCCCAAGAACTAGTCTGTTGGAACAAATAAATATGGAATTGAATGGGAATGACTGAAATCTGCTGCAGGCAGGTGTCAGAGGACAGAGATCAAACGTCTGGAAATTCAAACCATCCACACACCTGCCGTTCCTCGTAGCTCTAACCCCAGACGTGTCAGGGTACGAGTGACTGACAGGTTGGAGTCACGCCTTCTCCTCTCAGGGTTTCCACATGTTTCATTATGCAACAGTTACATAAGAAAAACGTGTAGTTCTTGCATACCGTAAAAGCTTGTAGACAGGATCAAAAACTCTTGACTGTGAGAATAAATTATTTACAGCGTGCAGAATACTTTGGTTTCTTCACACGTTTTATTATGAAATGAGAATAGCAAAGGAGTCATGCTACCGTTTCATTGTTTTTTGCATTATTAATGTATCTATTTATTTTACATTCCATCATCTAAATTTACATTTTCTGACCTTTTTGGTAAAATACATAAAACAGTATGTGTGACATGGGCATCCTAGTCACCCATACAGGGTACTGGTTTCCAACCTGGGTCAGGACCCCCACAAGGTGACACAGGATGAATCTGGTGGGTTGTGAGATAATTGGGAAATGAGAAAAAAAACACATTCTGATGAAATAAAAAGATAAAACAGTAGGTGGGAGAGAAGGCAACATTTATCATTTGGGGCCACCTGTCCTGTGCTTACACTTTGATTTCCTTCCATACGGCCCATGTACGTTGTTTACAATTCAATGGACTAATGCAACATAGAATCATGTATACAATACATATAAGACAACGTTAATAAACCCATCATAGCGCTTAATAACACCTCTTCCTGTTGTGTATGTGCAGTTCAATAGACATCTCTCGCCTGCCCTCCCCTACGACGGGAGTCTCCGCTGTAGAATCCCTCTCATCTAATTTGAACATGAGGCGTCACGCAGAACGAGACCTCCGCTCTTCAAGGGAGGTGTTCTACGTGACCCGCCCACCGCTGGCCCGATCCAGCCCCGCATACTGCACAAGCAGCTCGGACATCACCGAACCAGATCCAAAGGTACGATGTAAAATAGTCATGAAACTGTTCCATTTCACTCTGGTTCTGTTTGCTGATTTGTGTCTTAATTCTGCAGCTTTTTAAGCTTTCTCTGTAAGCATCAGTGCACACATTTTTATAAAATACCATAAACAAATTACTAGCGTATTTACATTAGAAAATTAAACAACATTATGTGACTGATATATTATCACATCATTATCCACTTGAGCACTTAAGACATTCTTTGTGAATTTCAATAAGAAGATGATTTCTTTTGAGAGTAGATTATGATTTAACAAGAGATCATAATAACTGATTATTACTGATTATTTAATAATCAAAGCCGTTTTCAAGTCTGACTTTCAGTTTGATTAGATGAAATTTGGTTGCAATGTAAGATTTCCCGCCCCAAAAAACATACATTTAAAATGACATTAAGTCAGTGTCTTTATGCATTGAATGAATTACTTACTAGAATCCAGCAAGGCAAGTTTATTTGTGCAGTACTTTACATAAGACATAAAAAGGCATTAAAACAAGACATAAAAGAAAAACAAGGCAATAAAAAGAGATTTTTAAAGAAAAATCAAGGGGAGCTAAAGTGGAACAAAACAATACACAGAGGAGTGAGACTTTGGTCTAGCATAACTATGTAAAGGCATTTAGCTGTCTAAAGGCATAAATATAACTAGATATGACAGTTAAATGTGCCTGAATTCAATTTAAAACTAAAAATACACGTATTTACTGTACATTCAGAAATGGAGTTGAGTGTATTTTCTGAACAATGTTTTTGTATATAAATCCAGTCCAGAATAAAGCTAGAATAAATGTTTTTGTTGTGTCTCTCAGGTCCATAGTGTGAATAAAAGTGTGTCCATGATGGACCTTCAGGACTCCCGTATGAACAGCATTTCCAACCTGAACTCTGTGGGAGACATGCTCACCTCCTCTCAGGCCTCTATTGCTGGCCTGGGCCACAGCTTCGGGAACCTCTGCGGTCCTCTTCGCATGGGAGGACATATGCCAGCGGGCTCAGCGGGCTCCGGTTTGAGGCTGAGCCAGATGGGCCACATAGGGGGGCCCACTGAATCCATATCTCAACAACAGCAGCAGGCAGCAGCGGCCATGCACTTCCCCCTGTCTTTCCAGAACCCGCTATTCCATCTGGCTGCCCAGAACTCCCCGGCTCAGTCTCAGCCTCATCCCCCTCCTCTCCTACTTGCCCCTGAGCCTGAGAACGGCCACCACGACTATCAGCCTGCCTTTGGCAACAATGCTTTCTCCCGCAGTGAAGACTTGTCTGGCCTGCGGTCACAGAGCAGTCTGGTGCAGCCCAGCATTGTCCACTCACACAGTTACAGCGATGATTTCACCCGGCAGAATCAGAGCAATGACTACGCCTGGCACCAGCTGTCACTGCAGGTGCAGGTAGGAATCTCTCACTTATCTGCACACTTAAAATATAACAGAAAGACAGTTTTATGTAAGCACAGTAATGATATTCAGCATTTTTTAACATTTGCCTAAAAGATTTATCTTCTTATGTTTCACAAATAAATCTTATATATACAATAAATATAGGAAACAAGACCTGTGATATATTTATTATTTTATCAACTGAATACAGGTGGCTCCTATAGTATAAAAGGATCCTTAACTACAATTACATTTATGCATGCAACAACACTCTTCTGTATCTGAATCTATAATTAACTCTTATGGTTAAACGCAAATTAATTAGTATTTAACCTGTAAGAGACCACTTCCATCAGGACAGAAACTGGTCATATTTATACTACTAGCTGAGCAGCTAGAGTGGTATTGTATTTTAAAGACCACCACCAGGTGGAGAGCTTGTTAGCTTGTCCATAAACTCACAGACTGCTATTCAGTTCAGTCTGTTTTGTTCACTTGCATCCGTAGCAGTGACCTCTGATCTATCTAATGTTTAAAATGATCACTGTCACATTGTAGATCTTCGAATCGGACAGCCTGTTGTGGGTTTATTTCTAGACACTGTCTGTTACCATTGCTGGTTGGCTGTCAGACCTGTCACAGCATACACTCAGTTGATAGTTAATTGTATTCAATTATACTGACAGGTGTTTCTATTATTTTGTCCACCATATTTATATCAGTGACAAGGCTAAATAATAGAAACACCTCTCCGAATAATGAAAGTGTAGCCTCTAAAAACAAAATCTGATAGTCGAATCAAGGCCTCTCTAAAACAACAAAACCTGAACAATTAAACCTTCGTGAGGTAGGATTATTTTAGGGCTGTTATATTAGACTGCAGTAGATTTAACTTGTGGCCCCTAATATACGGTGTACATGAACATGAACTGTACATTTTGTAATACTGTGGTAATATCCTCCACTTAAGAAGAATTTGAAAACATAATTTTTATAGTTTAAGACAGTTGCAGTTGAAGTTTCATACTTTTTGTGTGACTCCAAATTGGTATACAGTGTGAATGCCAGACACAACATCAAGATTCATCTGTAGTTATCCTTCAAATAGAAGTTACATAATAATGTGAATATCTAATTTACTGCTTTAAGAAAAAAACTACTTTTTGGGACCAATTCTTCTCTCATATGTCGTACATATCCGTGGATCTTCTGGTTTTTGGCCCTTAGTTTTTTTTACAGCAATCACTCAAATTCAATACAAACACAGTATTATCACCACTGGATCTGCTAATGTTGTGATGAGGACAGTTACAGCCAAGAATACATTTTCTCAGTTTTCCTAAAAAGACCTGGATGGTTTTTTCCCCATTTCAAGCCAAGTTGCCCAACAAACTTGGACCCTTGTCATTTATTCTTAGTGTTATTTTAACACCTCGATTGCGCAACAAAAAATGTGTGCATGAAGTCAGATCATGATTCCAATTAGCCCTTGCAGTGCGTTAGTTTTCTGCTTGTACTTTAGTTTTCACTGTATTGCAAAGTAAAGCTCGCATCAAAACACAATAGGAAATGTTTACAAAATGGCCCTCTCATGAGCAGCAGAATATGCAAATCTAACAGTAATGTAAGGGCACTTTTGAGGGACACTTGTTACGCTACAGACAGCAGGATCGTTCACTGGTCTGCCCCGCAGAACTGTGTAGGGTGCTTGACATCAATCATGCTTTGTGGCCTCGTTTCAACAGGGCTGGAAACTAGCTGTGGGTCGACAGGGCAGAAAAGAGTGTCATAACTGTTGATACTACACATATCATTATATTATACATACTTTAACTCTGTGTACTGTGGATCGGTAGAACAGTGTTTGAGAGTCTATACTCGAAACCCAGGTTTGAGCATTTCCAGTAAAAGCTGATCAACTATGGAGAACTTTCTTTTTATACATATATAATTAATATATATACAATTAGTATCAAACTTGTTATAACTCACATGGGAACCCACATTATAAACTTTAATTAAACTGTCACTTGTTTGATGGAGTTCAGTAGGATTCTTGTATTTTCTTTAACAGCTTTTAATGAAAGTATGACAGGATATTTTGCACAGGGACAGCTGATCTATCTCACTGATAAGTTTACTACAGCATGTCTGTGTAAAATTAAAGTGTTTAACGATACAGTCATTTAGTCTTGAGCTATTTCTGTCCTGCTGCGTGGGCCTTAATGGAACAAACATCACAAGCCTCCTGTTCATTAATGCAGATGGTGTGTCAGGACAGTGATCCATCCATCCATCCATCCATCCATCCATCCATCCATCCATCCATCCAGTACTAAATGGTTTAGGGCCAAAACACATTTCTGACCATCCATACCTCCCAAGTCAACTGGGACAGGTCTGCTTACTGTCCCCAGAGTCAAAACAAAACATGAGCATTCAGTTTAATGCACCACATATCTGGAACAAACCCAGAAAGCCCGAGGTCCGCTCCAACTTCTTTTATATCAAAACTTTCCTGTTTGCCTCTGGCTTTTATTCAATTTGATTTGGGACTATTGTGTTACTACACTGGAATTCAAATGTTGTTTTATTCAGTTTTACCCTTTATATTCTATTTCATAGAACATACTTTTACGTGTCTTTTGATATCCCTGGTTCAACTCTTTGGTGGGTAGCCATGTACACTGCTGTCTTTGTTTCTTATTGGATCTTCTATTTTCAAATTCTACACAGTAAACATGACAACTTCTTTGTCTGTCATCCTCTCAGGAGTCTCTGCAGCAGCAGCACCTGATGGGAGTCGTATCTCAGACAGCCACCGGGACGGGCACGCCCGCCTCTTTGGCCACACCGCCTACTACAGTTCACCCTGTGCGCCAGACATCCATCGCCCCACAGCACCTCAAGTCACAGCGGTCCATTAACACTCCAAACACCGCCACACCTCCAAAGGTTCGCCCACAGAGCAGAAACCTCCTCCTCGACTCCTCTGACACAAACTTCAGTGGCAGTCAGCCGAAACAGCGCCAAACTCAGCAGCCGCAGCAACAGCAGCAACAACAACAGCAGCAGCAACAGCAACAACAGCAGCAACAACAGGACGCACAGCTGTCGGTGACGGACAGTCCAGCTCCCGGGCTCCCATACCAGACCAGCTCCGCCAAAGAGAACCAGGGCCCACCAGCTGCTGCAGAGGGGTCAACAGACACGCCCACAAAAAACACCAAGAAGTCCCAACAGTCACAACTGCAGCCGCCACAGCAGCATCTGCTCAAACCAGGCAATAAACAGGTCAATTTAATTACAATCCTTAAATATAAAACTGTATAGCAAAAATATTTAGTAGTAGGCAAAGTAGAAAGACCAAATTGAGCTCATGCAGTCCACCTATAGATAGTTCATTTTATGTGATTCAAATATCAAGGCATTTCTAATGTGAAGACATTAATTCAAGCATGACTGACCTGTGGTGTTGTTTCAGGGCTCTCAGTCAACACTGAACACCCCAGCCCTCAATGAACGGACAGTCGCCTGGGTGTCCAACATGCCTCATCTCTCTGCCGACATCGAGAGCCTGCGGCCGGACCGCGAGGGCCAGCTGAAAGAGTACTCCAAGAGCATGGATGAATCACGACTAGAGAGGGTCAGCATTTTTTTTCCCTCTGCCAGTAAACTCTCTTGCTTCCTCTGAATACTTAACATTGTTCTAGGAAATATAAAAAGCACGTAAGTATTTTTGCCACGTCAGATTGAAGTATGTGAGTGAAAATGGTTGCAGTGAAAATATGTCACACTATTAAAAGTGAAGCTTAAATTAGCCCCTGTAACAGTAACCTATCACATAATAACTAATGTTTCTTTGGATAGTAACAGGAGAATGGCACTGCTTCATCATATTTTTTTACCACAAGCCTAAAACTGTCATTTTAAAAAACATTTTCCTGTTGAAAAACTGTATTTTTAACTTGTAGGGTGAATACACATCACATGGCAGCACTACGGGTGCAATCTATCCCACTTACATAAAAGGGCATAGCATAGCAGGAGAGTTGTACTACAGAGTCTATATTGATAAAACCACTCATCATTCGGGAACATTTCTATATACCAGTGACGGCACAGGTGAAATGACTTTATTTTTATTTCAGGTAAAAGAATATGAAGAAGAGATACATTCCTTGAAAGAGAGGCTGAAGATGTCTCATCGCAAGCTTGAAGAATACGAGCATAGGCTTATGTCGCAGGAACAGCAGACAAGCAAAATCCTTCAGCAGTATCAGAACCGCCTGGAAGACAGCGAGCGCCGCCTAAAGCAGCAGCAATTGGAGAAGGACTCTCAAATCAAAGGCATCATCAGCAGGTGATTAGTGTTGAGGTTGAACTCGAGCTGGCAGAAATGAAGCTGTGCCAGTTACTGCTTGGCTTTCTCAATTGCATCAAATTTGTCTCACAAGAGTTGCTAATAAGTTATTAAATAATAATCATAAAACAAGCTGTTAAGCTTAAGATCCACAATATTTTTTTAATGTATGCCCTATATCATGATTATGTCCAGCTGTATAATGAGTGTGATGAACGAGAAAGCGTGCATTTACCATTCTAGACAGTGTGTTACTGCTGCTCACATTCGTGTAAAAGCAAATGTTTGAGTGCTACAACAAACAAATTCATAAAAGCAGTTAAACAAACCTTCCCTAAAGTCGAAATGTATGCCAAGTAAAGGTGGTTAAAATGATTACCAGCTTTCCTTGTTTTTAATTGCCTCCATAAAAGAAATGTTTTTGGTCTGTTGTAGTACTCAGAGGACAACATCTGTGCTTAGTGAAGGAGGAAGTATCAAATGCTAATCTTTCCTACACTTTAAGACCTTCACAAAATCTGATTCACAAAATATGAGTAAAGTAAGTAAAAGTTGAAGTTTTCCACTGACATTCAACTTGCATGATGTCATATGTATCCATTTTTAAAGAAATAGTTCAAAATTTTCGTCAAAATGCTTATTTTCTTTCTTGCTGAGAGTTAAATGAGAAGATAGATACCACTCTTGTATCTGTGCTGGAGCCAGGAGCCAATTAGCATAGCTTAGCATAAAGACAGCTAGCCTAGCTGTGTCCAAATAAAAAAATAACATTTGTATTTTGTATGGATTAAAAAATGATGTACAACATGTTTAGAAGTGCTCATAGTCTTTATGCCAAGGTAAGCTAATCACCTCCTGGTTTTAGCTCCATACTTAAAAGGTACCCTATAAACAAACACATTCATTTGTATCATGTTACCCAAGTCTATGCATGAGCATCATTATGTGCATTTCCATTCACCTGTTTCTATGCACATTTTCAATTTGCACACAAAACCCATGTGGAAACTCAGAAAATTTAAATAAAAAACTCAAAATATCATTAAATATTTTTTACGCTTGGTTGGTGTATAAATAAAAGACAAATGTGTAATCGAAACAGACTTACCCAATAAATAATGACGTACATGAAGCATGAGACTTGCGTCTTCTTCTGCGGTGGTTCATTGGCACGCGACTGGAGAATCAGTGCCCGCATCTGTTTGTCTCGATGCACCCAACCCCTAAAATTGGCAAAACAGTAGTGGATGGAAACGCACGTCAATTTTTTTTTCAGATTTTCTTTAAATTTGCATTACATTTGGATGGAAACATGAATATTGTGCCAATGCAAGTAGATCACGAAATAGAAAACTCCACAGGGTACCTTTAAGGCACAGACATACAGTAAAGAGTGGTATCGATCTTCTAATCCAACTCTCAGAAAGAAAGCAAATAAGTGTATTTCCCAAAATGTTGAACAATTGCTTTATATGTAGCTCATTTAAATATCACAACTAATACCAAAAATCATACCCATTAGGCTCATACTTAATGTGAAACACTTCATGTGGTTAAGTATCAGTTGTTTTTGTTTTGTTATATTTTATTTCAGTAACTTGATCACAAGGACAGAAGAAACCAAATCAGACTCATTTTAACTGTAGCTACCTGTACTTGAAGGAAATGTTTCATGGAAGAAAGTTGGATTCCTACCCAATGAAATGCTTATTTTGTATAACTGGAGTATACAGATCTCACATCTCATTTGGTAGAATAGCCTCCTTCGGTGAAGTTAAACATCACCTCTGAATACAGATACAGCAGATGGGTGCACACTTAACTATCCGCACACTATCATTTCACAAGTTCTGTATCTGAACAGCTGAATTTGAACTGCTTGAATTGTTCTGAATGCAGTTTGGATTCAGCTTCAGGAAGCTCTGAGGATAGCTGAATGTACCCAGAAACATGTCCAGACCTTAATATCATCATATGGCCACATAATCCTACAGTAAATTCGAAGAACACCGGCTTCATAATTCTATTTTTGTCAACCGGTATGTTTGTTTCTATTTCCCTGTTGTCAGACTCATGGCTGTGGAAGATGAGCTGAGAGGGGGTGCCATTCCTGATATTAAGCCTCGAATCCTCACAGACCAGGTTTGTGCCTGTGTCTACGTCTTTTATCATCCCTATTTGCTAAACCAGTCATGTCCTAAAACAGTTTGCATCATTCTTACATCATATCCAAAGCATTTGCCAAAGCCAGTGCAGGGGAAAAGTTTGCGGCTGTCATGCACTTCACCTATTCCCATCTTTCAAAAAGTACGCTTATATCACATCTGAAATAACATTTCACCATTTACTGCACATGCCTGAGGGGAGAATGAAAACAATGCTGATCCTAAAAATCAAGAGCTGGATAGAGCTTACATTTTTGTGCAGAGTTTAATCTAGTTTGTCCCTGTGAAGGAATAGCAAGTCGTCAACATTGGAATGGAATATTACTTACAAAAAAAAGATTATTATACCGCAGAACGCATTCATCATTAAAAAAACCTTCACTGTGACTCATCAGCAGCGTCACAGTAATTCTTCAGGGCTGCAGCTTCGTGAATGCACCATGTGGGCTGGATTGTGACGCAGGTGAAGAGGCTGTGTGTGTGTGTGTCTGTGTGTATGCGCCGTGTTTATGCCGGAATAGCTCAGGAGAAATGACATTTGCTATCCTTAAAATACACTGTCACCTTCTTTTAGCACTCAATATCAAGAGCAAATAGACAAAGTTGTCTTTTGAAAAACTCAGACCGTATATAGAAGTGTTTCTCCACTGGGTTGTTGTGAGATTGTAATTTGTTTTTTTACACCAGACTTCTTAAACAAATATAAGTGCGTGGTTAAAATAGATTTCTAAATTGGGCTGCAGAGTTTCGTTTGCAAGCCGTCCATTTTGGCTCAGATTATAGTTATAGCTATAAAAACAACACTCTCATGATATTGAATTAGTTTTAGTTACTGGAGTCCCGTTCAAGATGCCCAAGTAAATGTTGAGAAATGCTATTCCTTCAGATTGCGAGAGTCTATTAAATCACTGTGTGTGAACATACTTCTCCCAAAGACAGCAAAGGAGAATTTAGATTTAACAAATAGTTTGACATTTTGGGAAATATGTCTATTTGCTTTTCTGCCGAGACTTAAATAAGAAAATTGATACCACTCTCTTCTCTGAGCCAGCAGCCGGTTAACTTATCTTAGTACAAAGACTGGAAATGGAGGGAAACAGCTAGCCTGGCACAGTCCAAAGTTAGGTGCAAAGGTTTAGTGCTGGACTATTTCTTGACCAGGAGCAGTAAGTTTTGGTTGCCTTCGGATCACACCCATAAAATAGCACATTGCCTTTTTTTTTTTTAACAGATTAAGAAAACAAGATATACTGTGTGAATGACTTAGCTTTAGGGGGTATTGGTAGGCAGATTATGTTACCTTTGGACAGAGTGAAGCTAGTCATTTCCCCTTGTTTCCATTCTTTATGCTAAGCTAACAGCTCCAGCTATATATTTACCTTACAGACATGAGAGTGGCGTTTTGGAGAGTGATCTCCTCATCCAACTCTCTGCAAGAAAGTAAATAAACTTCTTTTTCAAAATGTCTAACTATTCTTTTAAACTTGCGCCCTCATGAAACTGAAAATGGACATAAGGGTTGTCGTAAAGTTGTAATTTAACCCGTTTTCTCTCCCTTCAGTCTATCAACCAGGGCTATGGTGGCCACCCAGGATCCTGACTGTCAATTCCAAAGTGACCAGAGTTCATGATGGTCACTCGGGTGTAAGAAGACCGATTCAGACCATCCTACAAAAACCCATGAAGATAAGCTCTGCAGTGAATCCGGCAGGACCACTGGAGGCTTCATCTCACAATGTTCTTAAAAAACAACAACTTTGCACATATTCAAACTTTGCCTGAACCAGAACTTGACAATCAGTTTAGCGTGAGGACCAATGTGTGCAGCGAATCTTCTGCACATTATGACTGAAATATAAGCCAATGCCACAACAATGGCAATACTGAACCTAATGAGTTTCTTTATTTAATCAGAAGAAGTGAGAAGAGATGTGTAAAACACTGGGGATGAAGAGGGATTCATGATTGTCCCCGCTACAAGCAGCACTCGCTTCTTAGTTAACCGGCTGCAGACATAATGTAGAAAAGGCTTTTAACAAGCACAATCTCCCCCTCATGGTGACGCCTGTGACAAACAACAAGCGTGTTGTTAAACCATTTGCCATCTATGATCCTCGGATACAGGGCCCAAGCAAAGACCTATATTACTATTTGATTCTGATTAAATCATTTAGTATCATATTCTCACTGCAAAGCTATTCTTACTTACAAAAGGTAGTTATCACTATAATTTTTGCATCCTTTATAGTACAGCCATCCCACCTGAACAGATGCCAAACAAATCCTACAATCAACTAACTGCTTTAAATACAATCGAAATCTTCTCTGGTTACGTTTTCCTTCGGCTTACAGTGTAAAGCCAGAAAGTCTCTTTGACTTTCAGTGTATAAAAGAAGTATTTCTTAAAGCTATTAAATCTATTTAATAATGGAAATACTTACAAAAATACTCTGAGATTATAATGTGTTTTGTTCACTTTGTAATAATAATATTAATCATAATAAAGAATATATATGACATTTCAAAACAGTGAGACAAAGTGCTTCATAAATATTATAGACATAAAGAGTCATGTGAAAATATAGAATCTAAAAGGGGCATTGCACTGATTTTACGCAGCACATAGTGAAAACAGTTTTATAATGTCTTCTGGGGCTGTGGAGAAGCCTAGTCAAGTCTGAGAAAATAATATCTCAGCTTGGGCTCAGACTCCAAATGTATAACACAAAGTCTGTGTTATTTATGAGAAATGTTGGATCCACAATTTTAGATCTTGACCCATGCCAGGGACAAAAGGCCCTATTTACACCTTTTATTAGCATGTAAACTGTATCCGAACAGTGGTATCTGATCTATAGGCCTTTGCATTTAACCTCCACATCTCATTATGCAAATGAGTCAGGCAAACAAACATGGTGCATCCCATGCCAACGGAAACAATGCCATGGACATTGTGAAGTGTCATTCATTTCTAAAATCACATTTTGCAAGGAAAGACTTGCAAGCTGCTGCTAATACTTGAAGTTTCTGGCAAGCAGCTTACGTGGCAGGGAGAGTCGGAGTTAGGATCATTTTTTTCTTTGTTGAGATGAGATCACAATGCGAGGCTGACCCCCCCCCCCCACAGACGCGGTCTGGTCGGTCTGCCTATGTTTTGATCACAGTGCATTCTATGTGCATTTAAACTTTGCATTTACATGTGTATTTCCCTTATCTAGAAAGGACATCAATCGCATGTTAATTGCAGGTGTAAATGGGGTTTAAGAGTGCGTGTATCTCGGCCTCAGCTGCTTTGATTTTGACAATTTTTTTAGGGCTCCAACTTAATGAAAACGCAATACTTAAATCACTGGAGTGCCCCCTCCCTCTGGTCTAAAGCCAGATGAAACTAACCAAGCCTCAAAAGTAATGAATCAAACTGAAAAGTCTGCCCTTTTCATTATTTATCTTTATTTAGCCTTTTCACGTTTGGTTGTACAGCACTTTGTAACATTGGTTTGAAAAGTGCTGTATGAATACATTTTAATAACTATGATTATAAACATTATGTGCAACTAAAAACAAATCATATTATAGCAAGTAGTGAATTACTCATCTGTTGTGTTTAATGTTTCTGAAGCATAGATGTGCAACAGTTCTGCATGTGCTTTTTAAATGCGAGGACGAGTAGGTCGATTTGTTGTCAGATATTATTCTAATGTACAAAAAAAACCTTTGACATGGCTTTCTCATCGGAAAGGCATCTTTTTTTTTATCCAACCTGCTGACTCTAACGTTTTTTACAGAAGAGAGTGGCATTCAGCCTTTTGCATTATACAACATGAAAGTACTGAGAGAGATGAACAGAAATCGCAGACTAACAAAAAGAGGAAAACAACAGACCAATAAAGAGTTTCCAAGCAGGGATATGTAGTATATGTGCATAGGAACTGACTGCCTTACAGTCTGTGCCACAGGGCCCAAAATAACAATGCCAATACAAAAAAACTTGTAAACTTTGTATATTAAATGTCCTTTTTTTTGTAGTCAGGTGATGAATTAATAAGCAGTGTGTTGGTTAACTCTGTATGTTAGTCAGAATCATTTATATTACAAATTTCATGGTTGATATAATTTATCTTAACCTCTTGCCTTTAAAAAGAAAATTTCTTTCAAGATAAATATCAATGATACAAAGTTATACGTTTATGTTACCAGAAATGTATAAAATAGCTTAATGTATATTTATTCTTATATGTAAAATGTATTCAAATCAAGGGTAGGCCTTCAGGCATGTTGAACTTGTGGTAAAAACTGATTCTTATATTATTAACTCTTAATGCTGCAATCCAGATACTACAGTGCTATGGTGTGACTGCGTTCATGGGATGAGAGCTGTATAAATTCCCAGCATAGCACATTTCTGTTCTGTGGAATAATAGACAAATTCTTAAAATATCTCACCTACGTTTGTGTAACCAAAATAGCAGTGGTGCTTTCAACAATACTGGATTGCAGTTTTAAGTAATCTTCTTTTTGAAATATGCGTTTATTTATTTGGCCTGCATTGCAATACAGTATTTTGAAATGTTATACTGCACTTCTGTTTTCATTGTATGAGAAGCTGCAATCCATAATCTGAAAAATGTTTATAAAGACATAAAAATATATGATATACCCATGTATTCTTGAAACTCTCTCTGTATTAGCTGCAGTGGTACAGTGTGCTACCTCTGAAATTGTGCCCACATCTCCCTTCTCTGTTGGAATTAAGGAACCTTATTCTGCTTCACGCCACAACCCGAGAGGATACTTTGATGTTAGATAATAAATGGCTAGAAAACCGCCATTTATTTAAGACACAGCGCTAACAAAAAGTTTCTTTCTAACCAAATGCAAAGTCAGGCTTACGTTTTCGTTGCTTGTTCATTGGTGTTTTTAGGATTTCTTATATATAACTTTTGTCATCACAGGGCCATTTTTAAAGTTTGTCCTGTTGTATTTAAGTGCCGTTACCATTACATTCATACAAATCTCTTTTTCAATTACAGGATGAGATTGATAGTGTTCCAGGTATTCGTCAGACTCTCAGGTGGAACACAGGAAATTGCTAACGAGAACTTTTGATATCTTCAATGCCAAATGCACAAAAAGTATTGAAATGTAATCTTCTGAGTGACCATTAAAGCTAAACACAACTCAAAAAGCACATTAAATGAGGGGTCTGCTAAGACAACTGCTGTGCTTTCATTTCGGTCGGTTCCTGGCCCTCGTCTCATCCATATAAATAGTTTTAATTTACACCTCCTCTTGTATTATCTGTTACATAAAAGGGAACAAGAGTTGCGTTTAATGGTCCAAATGAAAAACGTGACAAATGCTCCCGTGTAATAAAACTTGGTGAGGAATATTATTCAAGTTACTGCTGAAGAAGTGCTTTATGTTTACAGAATCATGACATTTTAGAGGATGTATGAACCTTTGTTGACCCAAGGGGAGAATATCTGCAGCTAAAGCAGGACCTAATAAATGAAATGAGATATCTTGTATATTTTGAATAAGGGTATTTAACATCTATCAACATATTTATGTTTCTAAAAATGGATGTATAGCATTTTGGAATGAAACAAAGTATTTTTCTTGGCAGCTACTATTCTGCACAATTGATCTACTGTGTCACAAATATATAGTTGGTGGGATTTATGACTTGAATTGGGCCTACTGGATGTAATACCTTAATTTACTTGACATTTCTTTTGAAATAAGCCATGCCCCATGGATAAGCCATACCCTCCAGTCCCCTGATGTTGTATGGTGGATGTTTAATGTTGGTAGTTTTATTTAAAATGGTAGTTATTGTAGGTATGATTGCGCTTGTAATTATTATTATTAGTGTAAGTATACTTGATTGATATGATTTGTTTTGTTTGAACAAAGGGAATGTATTCATTTTTCAGGTGATTTTTCCGAGTGATTTAAATAAACTAATAAATCCCTATTTGAAGATCTTTTATTTTAAGTATTTAGTTTGGCTATTTAAGCAATTTTACAAATTTGAATAATAAGGTTACATTTGGTTACACTGAGATACATAAGCATTAGCTTTATATTAAATGCTTTGAAGACAGGAAAGTGAAGTCTGTCAGTGTTCTTTGGATTGAAGATTTTTATAAATACATACTGTATTGTATAAATCTTATAGAAACAGCCTCACAACATCCTCAGTCTGTCAATCATTGTGGAGGAGGTGTAAGGTGCACATCTCGATTGCTGGATGTGTGAACAGTTCAGTGTTTGTGCCAACACGTTAACCATATCAACTTGATAAAATACCAGATGTTGTGTTTTCAGTTTGTTCTGCCCCCAAGTGCCCAAAAAAATAAATTAATAATTATTTATGTCAAATAAAATCTGGCAAATTTGACACATTTGATTCCCATATTATCGGCTCTCAATTTTGTACTAGAATAACGGTTTTTATAGTTACCTAAAAAAAAAAACTAGATGTGAAAAAACATTTTAGTTAGGCTACGTGATTAAAATATTAATTAGACTTTAGAAAAAAACTGAAACTAAGTGAAATTATATCATATTGTATTTTTTTGTAATATCTATTCTGAACTTTTGCCCCTGACATATACCCCCATATTATAAAATAATACTGAAACTTTTTTTTTTAACAATAAGCAACAAGCAAACCCACTCTGGAAGCTAACTGGAACTAAACTGAATTTAAAAGCAAAATAAAAAGAACCAGTGAAAAATACAAAACAACTCTTTCAGGATTTCAGTTTAATATTCACCACAATAATCCTGAAGCCCCTGCAAACCACCCTCATCCAGCTCAAGGTGGGGCCTCGCCTCAGGCCCAATCTGTCACATGTCTGTCTACCCCAGTCTCTACTTGCTTCATATCGATAACAACGGCGATCGCCACAGTCGAACTCTCCCCAGTATGCACAATCTGCTGATTTTAGTGCTGTCTCAACATGATGATTGACTTCTGCTAGCCTCTACAGCTCTAAGAGATGATCCAATCTAGTCAAGATACGCCATCATCATTGTCTATCCACCTGTGTCACTCATCACAACCTTTCTTAGTACGCTTGTGTCATTTGAGCGGCTGAGTGGATAGTGGGATGTCAGCAGCTCTCCATCAGAGATCTGCATGATGCCAGAGGACTGCAGACAACCACCTGCCTGACACACTGCAAGAATCACTTTCACAGCTCCTTCCATTTCTTCTCAGTCACTATCACACTACTCTGATGAGCCATGTATGCTTGTAATGTATTTATGCTTAGTCAACTGCCATAAACCTGCTTTACATTTTGGTTTCTGCTGTGTTTCTATCTTGAAAATGTCAGTGCAGTATCTGTGAATTTATGAATTCTGGTTTCTTCAATTGATTCTATCCGCTGTCTAAGACGGACATGGATAAGTAATTATGTTTCCCAAGTTAAAGTCATTTGCAAATCCAGAAAAAATCATTATAAATAGCAAAAAGATTTTTTGATGGCCATTCTTCAGGATGCCTTCAGTGACTAGAGAGTTTACTGACGCATTTTAAGATTAAGATGTAATTTAGATAAAGGTCAGAGTGGTTTTTGTACTAAATCTCAATACATATATAAGAATAATCCAGTAATCCAGTGCATTGATTTATAATGGGATTAAAAATGACAACTCTGATGGATGTGTATCCATGTTAAAGCAAGTGGGATCCATTTTTAAAGTTGATCAAGGACACCATCTTGTGGTGTTCAGGCAGATTAAGCAGCAGATGAAGATTTTCCATAATACTGGTCATACAGTATTTGTAAATTTTGATGTTAAATGATTCATTTCAGACTGTTTATAGTGACAATTTTTTTGATTTGAAACATATTTTCTGTAAAAATACACAAGGCTGCAGCAATACATAATTTTTACATAGTAAGTCTTTAACCTGACAGTCTTATTTCCTATATTGCTACAAAATAAGTTGCGCTTGCCAAAACATTTATCAAAATAGTATGGAAACCCTTGAGACTGAATGGTACATCTCAAGGGGTTTATTGTGATATATGATTATATTGTTAAAACTGTGGCCAACAATTTGGGTGTAATGTTATGGTAAATTTGGTAGTAATAGATAATGTCACTTTTGACGTGAATATAGATATATTTTTTATTCAATATTATTATACTTTGTAGTAAGACTGGGGTTAGATACTTGCTATTATACAGCACACTTTGATGCCTTATTTCTGCAAACTTTCACACAAAGGAAGCTGTAAACTCCAATCAATTTCAAGCTTTTAAGCCCATTAAAAGGTCCAGTGTGTAACATTTTGGAGGACCGCATGTTTCTCCAGTAGCCCAGAATGGACAACACTGGCTCTAGATAGGGCCTTTTTCGACAGTCTTGTGACACAGTAAGATGCTACTAAATCCTACACACTGGTCCTTTAATGTTTCAGAAACTACAGTTCCATTCATAAGAATATAATAAGCTATTGACTTGTTGCAGCCGGTGTCCAACACCAGAGAGCAAGAAAGACAATATAGTCACAAAAAGTCTAGACAACAGATTTTCTTTTTAAGAATTTACAGCATGTTCACTGCACATTATATGGTGCAAACTTTTTATGGGACTGGGTTACATATAAAAAAACACAATAACCAGTAAAAAGTGCAAGTTAGGAACAATTTTATTTATTTATTTCTATTCAAACAAATGACAAAAATGAGTTCACACCTGGACAAGACAACCACAATCCAGACCTAGAGTACAGGAATGTTAATTGTTCCAAACTGCACCAGTAAACATCTGTACAATAGCTTACTATTGTATAATAATTCATGATAATAATACAACAATAGTAAGAAGACTGAGAAGAAAACGAATAGAAGGGACATCAAATTTGTAGTGAATTAGTAAAAGAACTGAAGTTGAAACTTGTATTATGCCTTCACTGAATGAGACTAAAGTCGTGCAGCCCATTCAGACAGATACAACTGTAAAATAGACCCACAAAAGCTTAGGTGTGTTTAAGATGCAGCTTATTCATTACACATCTCAAATATATACTGTGCATCCTTAGAGGAAAAGATCACATTAAAAACTTGTTACACTAAAGTATTGTGTCAAGAGTTCGATCATTGTGTTGTGGCTTTACACAACTGTTGGAAGTGCTGACAGAGGTGCATAACTCCTTGTGTCAGTTTGGCTGTACATGGTATTGAGTGGAATGGCCAGCTGCCCAGCTTGTCCCGACCCCTCCTCAGAATTAATGCCATAAGGCATCTTGGACATGATGGCCAAGCTCAACTTGAAGAGCACATTGTGGAGAGCCACACGGTATTCTTTTCTCACCAGGCAATAGATGACAGGGTTGAAGCAGCTGCTGGTGAAAGCCAAGCAGTTGGCCAGAGGGAAAAAGTATGTCTGAGCCAAGTAGAACGAGGGGCTGATATCAACGATGTCGAGTTGGACCAGGACACTCCAAAGTGTGAGGATATTGTACGGGAACCAGCAGGCGCAGAATGAAAGCACCACCACCGCCACAGACTTCGAAATGTCAGCTTTTCGCAGAGAGTTGCTGCCCTTCAGTTTATGCCGGCAAAGGAAGCGCATCAGAAGCAGGTAGGAGAGGGTGATGGTGGCGTAGGGCAGTAGAAATCCCAGCACCACTCGCAGGAGCTGGTTTATTCCAAGCCAGGCTGTACCATCTGGAAATCTAAGCAGGCATGCTGTGTCGTTGCCCACATGTGTCAGGTCAGCAAACACACCTCGGGGTGCTGCAGCTATGAGCGCTGCAGTCCAGATGAAAGCTGTGGCCACTGGAGAAGTGCAAGATCTACTGCACAGGGAGGCACTGGGTTTGAGAGCAGTGGCCACATAGCAGTACCGGGTCACACTCATAGCTGTCAGGAAAAAGCAGCTCGCAAAGACATTGAGCCCTGTGAGTAATGACACGGCTTTGCATGTGGCCAGGCCAAAAGGCCAGCTGTAGTCCAGAGCAATGTCTATGGCCCAAAATGGCAAGGCCAGGGAGAACAGCAAGTGAGCCAAAGCTAAGTTGAACACAAAGAAATTGATGGTGCCCGTGGTGATGGTGTGAGTGGAATACAGCAGGAACATCACCAACAAGTTCCCCAACACTCCAGCTGTAGCCACAACAAAGTACACCACAGAGATGAGTATTCTCAGCCAGGGGGATCCGTCATCGAGAATCTCCAGCCCGCTGTCTATACTCGTGTTGTGAAAGATCAGGTGGGAGTTATAACAGGGTGAGCCTACACTGCAGTTCAGGATATTGCTGAAGAACTCAAGTCTCTTTGAGTCTGACATGTTGCTACCCTGAACAATCCTGTTAAGGGTTAAGGTTGTCCAGCTATTATTTGACCTGTTTCCGCCTATCCTCCTTGTGCTAATAATGAACTAAAAATGTAAGTTCTGGTTGTCTGTTTATTAGCTGACAGTCATCTATCCCTGCAAGGAAAGAGGAAATGATTATTACATAATAGGCGCTGCAGTTAATAAGTACATTATCCCTGTCAGATAAACAAATTACACTCAAGTGTTACCCACACATAATCCAATTTAGATCTTAGAGAATCAAACTTCTCTGGGAGGAAATATGAATACAAAGATGAAGTGATAAAACTAATTTCACTCGTTAAAGTGGAAAATCCTGTCAGAAGTTGTCCAGGGTCATTTTTTATCCATTATAATCTATACAAGTTCATTGCCTACCACAATTAGGTGTGTTGGTAAGTATTCAATGTATTGATATTTATAGAAACAGAAAAATGTTTGATTTGTTATACTTTTCAAAAGTTGAGTAAACAACCATGTCATTCCTCATTTAGTAAAACATAGCACATAAACTTTAGAAAATTTGAGTTTTAGATCCAATACGAAATAATAAAAATCTTTTTTGCAGATTACATGATTGGCATTTGGGGGAAAAAGAATATGCATTGTAAGATATGGATGTTTTTTGTTCACTCCTTGCTCTATAAATGGTCTATTTTTACAAGAAATGATCAGATAATTTATGTAATTTCTCCTCAGATCTTGGGAGTCACAAGGAAGTCTTTCAGAGTCATTTTAAGCACCTTTGGCAAATTGTAAATTGATATTTAACTGTTTAAATTAATATTTACTGTACATTTAACATCCCTAAACTTGCAGTGGAGTTCCTGCATTTGTGCAAAAGACTGGTGAAGGTTACAGAATAGAAATTAGGTTTAAAATGTGTTTATTCAACAGTGATGAAAGAATTATTTGGTTAATTCTTCCATTATTTTCTTAATTATGCATGCAATTACATTTCTTAATCAAAACTGGGTATAAATCTGAATCTGATCTGAGGCTGTTGACTCCAAATAAAACATTTTCAAGCACAATGGGCCAGATGCTGTAGTTCAGGGCTATTTCTTCGTTTCAGAGCTAAAAAAAAGTTTCCATTTATTTCTAACCTTGAGACCGATACAGTGTAATCAGACAAATCTAAAAACTTTTTAACTTTTACTCTAAAGTTACAGACAGCTCCAACAGATATAAATGTGCGAGTTTAAGCTCTTTTATTGGGCTGGTGATTCAATTTTAACGCTTTCAAATTTCTATTCATACATTCACAGGTATATGTGGAAGAAAATCTCACCTGAATCTCATAGGATGTGGTAAACTTCCAGCTTTCAACAGTTAGTCTTCTTGTAGCCAACAGCTCTGCTGCACAACATGGAATTACTTCCAAGGCGGACAACAACAACAATGTGGATGTCACCCACCCTGAATTTATGCTCCACCCCATCATATTTTTCATTCTGACTAGAAATCACCAGTAATGACACTACTGAAACACATAAAATAAAAGCGATTACAATGGAAACAACAACTAACCCCATTAAAGCGGCAACTACCCAAAAGAGAAATAACCACTGTTGGTCCAATTTAGCAGGAAAGATAACATTTTTAGTGAAGATACAAAATAATTTTGCATCCTAAGTGTTGAACCCTGAACCCCAAGATATCTTTTGTTCTTCTTTTTCTTAGATTCTCCTTCATGTATTCCAATTTTAACCCCATTTGATTGATAATCTAATACGACCATTGTTTTTTTTCCATTCTACAGTTTTCCTTTCCCTTGTAAACATTAGCTGTCACAACTCTTGAAGGCATGATACACTTAAAAGTACTCATCTACTCAAAGCAGGATAAGCAGATATTCTCCAAAAATTAGGACTTCTATTAATCAGCATGCTTGTGTATTTTGATGCAGATCTTGATTCAGAGGCAGGCTTAAAAAACACTTTATTACAGTTATTGTAGGAGCAAATATTTTGGTCTGTGATCTTAGCTATTTGGAAATCATTTTGAAAAAGTGCTGCATGTATGAATTAATACAAAATTAGCAATTTTGGGCATTTGTCTAGTTTGTTTTTGTTTTTACTCCTGTTGTCATCTTTTTCAACTGAAAATCCAAATTTTTCTTGTTCAACCAACCCTGCTTATATTTATATAATTATTTATAACATTGCTCAAAAACTCATTGACCAGTTCAGGATCTGGTAAACAAATGTCATTACTACATTTACACTTCTCTTACTTACTATTCTTTGCCTCTGCGTTAATTAAATAAGGCACATAAGACTATTCTTTCTGCAGAGTAAACAGCTAAAGGGTTAAAAAGCCTCTCTGAGGGTTCGCACAGAAGCTGCAAGTAACAATGTGCTTTAAATATTAATGGTGGTGTTAAAGGCACTTGGACCTTACAGGTGAAAAAATGACAAGACTGTGACAGAAAATATAATTGTAGCAAAGCCAATTTGTTTTTGTTTTTTTCTATTTATATCTGGGGCATTGCTTCAAGATTAGATTGAGCCGCAGAGATGACTCTTCATTATAAATCGTTGATAGTGGAAAGAACATCAGCAGTGAATGACTAAATGAGATTAGCTTGGAATAGGCGGAAGAGTGGGGAAGTTGATTAATGCTGGTCTGTCTAAACTGAGCCATCTTCATAAACTAGCTGAACAAAACATGCAGTGTTCCCTGAGTGTTTTCATGGCCAGCAATGTCCTACAAAAACAACATGCTTTACTTTAACCATGATATAATAAGGCAGTATGCTGATCACTGTCTGAAACTTTAAGTTTTCTACATTTTATTTATGAACAGATGTTTTGACCAATAAGGAAAAGTCTACAAAAACATTTCTACAAACTAACATAGGCTATTAATTAGATGGTTAATTAGCTGCAGATCTTTAAGGATCCATTTTTTTTATTTTTTATTTTTTAAATCATTTTAAATCATTCACTTTATTATTTGTGCAACAGTAACAGTAGTGTAACAAGATGCACAAACATGAACTGGATATTCTTTTTAAACCTGCACATATTTCAAGCACTACAGAGCAACCACCCAGTATTTTAAGAAATGAGCATATTGAGTTTGATGAATAGACTAAAGTCTCATATCTGCTGGTAAATATCAGGCTACAGCTAGTAGGTGGTTAGCTTAGCTTAGCTTAGCTTAGCTTAGAGACCGGAAACTCTGTCCAAATTTCAAAGATATGTCTACCAGCACCCCTAAAGCTCACTAATTAACATGTTGTATTTAGGCTATATAGGCTGATGGTAATGTCATAAGTTTAGAAGGTTTTAACCAAAATACCGGACACACTGATAATGATGGAGCTAGCTAGAGATAAGGTTAAGGGTTCACCAAAGTTATTACACTTCATCCTGAGAGGTGACTGTACAAAATGTCCTCTTATTAAATTCGATAGTGGACTAAAGTGATGGACCAACATTGCCATCCCTACAGTCATTCCACTAACATGGCTACACCCACCCCTCTAATAAAGCCTCTTAAGTGAATTTAAAATTTAAAATAAATTTTCCATGAAGACAAAACATTGTCATTGAACTGGGAATAATTGTGTTTTCATCCACCACAATATTTTTCTACAAAACCCAAACAAAAGATAATTTCCCCTGCGTGTTGTGTGCACTGCTGTTGTTACACCTAAAGGTAGGCTACTGCATGAGTATGTAAATTATTTCAATAAATTTTACTGTAAGGTAACACAGCAATAACATTATAATGCTTTGGGAAACACTAATTACTTCCTTGAACTACATGAGCTAATGAATACCCCGCAAGAAAACAATGCTGTCCCACAAGAGATTATTCTATTTTGCTTCAAATTTTGCATAATACATAATGGGGGTGTTCTTTACAATGTCTTATAGATGCTATAAATGCTTTATTAATACTAAATTCAGCTGTAAATAATTTTATAGGTGCTGGGTCAAATGTAAAGTTTACAATCTTCATATCCAGATGGTTAAACTGTGTATTTTAGACTCTTATCTGGTAAGTTGATTTGAAATGTTAAATAAATGTACAGTCAGATTGACTTATGCAAAACACAGGTGTACCTTTCTGGGTGCCTCCTTAATAAATGAATTACATACTACACCACCATGGTGTTTTCTGAGCATTCACTGAGTTGTGCCACAGGGAATGGGGAGTTCTGTGAGGAGAGTGAACAATAGCAATGGCTTTGTCGCCACCCTTTGTGAAAACTGAATACAACACTTCACTGTGCCAAGAAAAGGAGGAGGCCTGGCAATAGCGTCCTCCAGCATTAGTTCTCTTGCTTTCTCTTAAAGTGAGCCCTCTGGTGACAAATGTTTGACCTAACAACAAGCAGCGTGAGACCATTTGCTCTACGATGGAGGTGGAAGGAATATATCATACATAAAAAGGGACAAACACAAAGCCTTCCTTTGTAAAATAAGATTATGAACACATGTAAAACATATCTCATAACAGCAACAGGATCCTGGATCCTTTTTGCGCAACAGACTGCCAATAAAGACTTTGTTTGCTGCAACTGTACATTTTGTTGGCTGTAATCATTGCATTTGTTCATACTGGTCATTAAAAGATCTCTTCCCTAATGCCTTCCGCCTGAGTTAGTCAAATGAAATGGATATCTAATATCTAGTGTTTTGCTGTTGAGCTACACAGAGTTTTTATAGTAAAAAGAGCGCACACTCACCAAGAGGCCCCATAAAGGAGCTCACAACATCACACTCTACTTTCTTTTTTTAATCCACAAATTTAGTTGACTGTTTTTATGGATTTAAGACACTCGCTACTGTATTATAAGGCAAGATTTGATATCATGCAGTGGGTGCTTCTGCTGTTTTTTTCCCCCTATTCTGGTGGCATTGTGGTTTTCCCTTTACCCCTTGACCTTTGCTTTGCTGTATTGGTAGACTTTGGTGGTAATTTAGTCTTTTAAATGAATGTTTAAAACACCAATTGAAAAGATTATAGTAACACAAGTTGCAGGATATATTCGAAAAAGCGCTTTGAGTGGTCAGAAGACTAGAAAGGCGCTATACAAGTACAGGTCCATTTACCATTTTCCAGTATGAAACAGATGGCTGGATCTAAAAGTGGACTCTAACTTGTATTTAGTTTGTTGTTTAGAGTTAACCGAATAATTCATAAAATAGTTGAACCAGCAGGCATGTTGGCAATTTAAAAAAATAAATTTTTGTGTGTGCATTTCATTGTTTGTGACAGATATTGGAGAAACTAGTTTAGGGTAGTGGATTTGTGGCTGTAACTGCTAATAAGCCAGCAATACTACAGATTTTATTCTTACTGTATTCAGCTTGTTGACAGTGAGAATGATATATGTGTTATTAGTTTTAGATAGTGAAGTTTATTGATCATATCAGATCGTGCATGGCCTCTTGTTTCTAAACAGCTAGTAAAGGCCAGTCACATTGGGCTGGGTGTGGTGATCCTGATGTTGATGTTTTATGAATATTCTGTCCACTCTTTTTACTTTTGTTGATGCAGACTATAAACAGTACACACAGACAGCCAGTGCCTATAGTATAATACTGATATTTAGTAGTGGACAGTGAGGGGCAGGGGCAAAAAAACTAAACAAAATAAAATACATTGGCTTGTTGAGGTTGAGGGTGCAAAGCATTTTCACCTTTTCTTTAATAATAGTTTGTATAGGTCAACCGTTCTGGGTTTCTCAATGGCCGATGCTGATATTTAGAGAGCAGGGAGACTGACGTCCGATAAATAATGCAGATATCAAAACAAAGTCATGTATAATACCATTATTCCATGCACATAATCTAATATAGATGGTTTTCTTAGCCAGTAAGATTGTTGTTTTAGATGGAATTTTGCGTCTGCATACAGACATTTTTGTTTATCTGCCTATTGTTTATCTTAAAAGGCCAGATGATCAGCTAGCCGATTAAAGCTGCAGTAGGTAATTTATTTGGTAATTCTTTTACTATATCCTGACAGTGAAAAAATCTGGCTCCTCTGGCTCCTTCTAGTGCCCCCAATGGTATTTGCAAGAATTAACCAGGCCTGAACTGCCAACCAGTCAGAGGTGAGAAACATGGGTGAATGAACTACCTTCAAGCCTTCAGCTCAAAGCATCTTTACATCTTATCTTATATCTGACATTGCCTCTGATTGGTTGTTTTCATCCAGGCCCCTGTATTCTTGCAAATGCCATAAGGAGCACTAGAACAAGCCAGAGGAACCTGTTTTTTTCAGAATATCTGTCTCATGTACTACTGTCAGTCAAAGTCTCAGCATTAAGGACAAAAAAAGTTATTTTTTTAAAATAAAAGCTACCTACTGCAGCTTTAATCTTTCTATCCATAACAGTTAAATTATTTATTTTCGCATTTTTATATGGTCACAAGTAGTCACGCGACACTAAAGCAATTCCTGTAACGTGGTCTAAAACATTATTAAATCAAATTACTCAACCTTTGAATTCAAACTAACCTTTAATCTGAAATTAAATGTTCCGCACTCGCGCGCGCGCGCGCCCAGCAGTCACTTTCTGCCTCGCGCAGTTGCAGTGAATGGGGCAGAGAGAGCCGCGCGCACGCAGAGATCACTCGCCCTTGTTATTAACGTTAATAACGTTATCTCTCGCGGCGTCACTCACGTCCCCAACGACGACGACGGCTGCTGCTGCTGCTGCTGCTGCTAGGAGGAGGAGGAGGACGGGACTGCGGTTCAGGTGCACCGCTGTGATTGAAAGACAGTGAAGTTTTTTTAAACGCTACGGAAAAAAAGAAGGAGATGAACCCACAAACGGAAGGATATCGCTCTCATTAGTAGTTAATCTCTTAAACGTAGTTCGCCATTGTGTTTTTCTGTGTGTGTGTGTACATCGGTGATGGGATTCCTTCAGGAGCGACCTGCCGCCTAACGTTAACCCCTCTAAAAGGTAAGGAGTGAAGCTAAAACGGTTAACTGACAAACGATAGTGGGAGTTGGGATGCTGTTTAAAGTGGTTCAGTTAGTTTGTACAAGTCTTTTTTTGGAGGGGGAGTTTTTGTGTGGGCGAAAGTTAAGTTACAACAACCGGGTCGGTTAGTTTAGTCGGTAATATGGATGTCAGTTATAGTCGGCTAAAGCGTGTGTCCTCGGAGCAGGCTGCTACTCGCCACTGACACGACCTCCCCACGTTATCACCATCATTATTGGGCCATTATTGTTATCTTAACTGCGGGTTGGCGCAGCTGTGAACCGGCTATCAGTGAACATTGTCAACGCACGCAAACTTGGTGGTAAGTGAGTGCAAACGGGACAGACAACAAGGCTGCCATTGTACCGGATCAGCGGCGGATTAACGGAATTCCTTTTCTTTGCACTGTCTGAATGGCCTCCAGTCTCTCTCCGTGTGTCTCTGCCTGCCTGCCTGCCTGCCTCTGTGGGTATATAACATCTTGATTTTTAGCTGCTTCAGCCTCTGGCACTTGTTAGAAACAGCAGTCAAGTAAAAAAAGACCTCACAGCCAGCAGCAACCAAACTAGAGATGTCAAAAGTGAGGGCTCGTTGTGAAACATGTGGATGGGGGAGTGCTGGCCAGTTGTAGTTATTGTTATGGGGGGGGGGTTGGCTGTAAAGGTGATTAGTAAAACAGTAGGGCTGCAACTAACAGTTGTTTTTGTTTTTGATTAATCGTTGAGTCTATAAAGAGTCACAGAATAGTGGTAAATACCTGTCACAATTCCCTAAAGCCCAAAGTGACATTTTAAATTACTTGTTTTTTTTATCGACTTGCAGTGCAACACCAAGAGAAATTATCAAAATTATTGCCGATTAAGTTGTTGTCAGTCAATTAACTGACTAATGTTCCATCTTTAGTATGGCCAGGGTATGCCACTGACCTTTAAACCCTGGCTGTATGGAGTCAATGTGAACGAGTGGACAAATATGTGTCAAATAGGTCTTCAGGGTGTTGTTTGTCTGCCCTGCTGATAAAAGGCTGTTGTCTCATGACTGACTGCCGCTGTTAAAGATTGTTATGTGGGCTGAAAAAAGTGTAATTACACCCCACAGGCAGTGAGACATGATAGAGGTTTTGTGTTCTAGTACTCAAAGACAATACACAAACCCCAGATTTTCTATATCTTACTACCTCCCACCCTCCTTCCACACACTTGCACATCATGCACAACATGCACCATGCCTCCCCCCTCCCCCCTCCCCCCCTGTATGTGGCCAACCAACATGTGGGGAGGTAATCCCAGCTATTAGGGTAATCTCCTCAGTATGACGATCAATAGGGGAGGGTGTGCGGCGACTACCAGACAAGAGTAGCAGGGGGACAAAATTTGTGCTAAAGAAAAATGATTTAATCATCCAGATTAGGTCAGGAGACTGGGGTCTGGACAGGGGCTTGTTGCTGGAAAGGGGGAGGGGTGCAGACGGAGCAGACAGGAAGATGTGAGGGGTAAGGCCATCTCCACTTTGGGCAGATCCCTCGTGTGACAATGGGCTGCAACATTTTGTTTTCCTTAATCTGGGGGGAATAGAAAGAACAAAGCTGTACAGTTATATGTAATAATGTACCAGTGTAATGAGGAAGAAAATAAACTGGTGTAGATTGAGGCTGTAGAAATATTAAACTAAGAAAAATAATGCGTTCTGGCTTTGTTAAAACCCCAGGAGGAATTGGTGATTGAAACAGGTCAAAGTCATTATGTTGTGGTTTACTGTAAAGGCATTGTAAAGCAGTTCAAATACAGCATGTTCCAGTGGCTCACATCCAAAATATCTTGTGTACGAGCTTCCCTTTTTTTTTTTTTTTTTAAGTCACAGATATGCCAGTAAATGACACTAATTATATCAACAAAATTGCAATCTCTTCAAACGCTACAGTGTGTTCAAAACCTCAAAAATCTTAAAAGCATTTAACTGTAATACCTTTATATCTTAAGATAAAACTGTGCAGTTGTGCAGTTTTTGTGATCAAAATGAAAGCATCTGAACAGGTTCGATTCGTATCATGTTTCAAGCAGTAAAAATGACACTACATTTTTTTATAAGTCTGCAATATCTGGGAATCTGCCACTAAAATGGTGTGTGTGCATACATGTGCACATTCTTGCTGAGTGTGCATCCTCTCTTTCTGATGTTATAACCAGCAGAGCATACAGATGGACCACATACTGGATTCAGTGCAATGTTAACATATGCTAGCTGACTCTCTCATGTTGTGTTTGTTTGCATGGAGTGTGTTGTTCAAGGTACCTGGGGCCCAAAATATTAAACAACTTAAAGTGACGTAAAGAGGTGGGAATGGAAGCACTCCTAAAAAATTGGTTGACACGACAAAAAAAGATTTATGTAGTTGCTGTATCATGCCATGGCCATGAAAATTATTCACTTAGTTGATTTGTTGACAAAAAGAAATCACTGGTTTCAGATTTTTTTCTATGTTATGTCATCGTACACTGAATATCTTTGGTTTTTGGGGACGATTGGCCGGCAAAACAAGACTCATGTCAACTTGTGACGTGCATTTTTAGCTACTTCCTGACATTTTATAGATCAAACCATTAATCAGGAAATTGGCATTTTAATCAGAAATAACAGTTAATTATGGCCATAGACTTTAGTCTTGTTAAGATGTGTACATTCTGTCAAAATATAACTAATCAATCTCAAATATGTTTTGAAATGAAAAAACAACATTAACTGTATGATCTACTTTAGTGTCCCTGCAAGGGTTGAGTAGTGTCTACCTAATTGGTAGATGACAATGTCCTCAGTGAAACATTGCAGGTTTTTTCCTTCAGTTAATCAGTCTTAAGGCTCTATTATAATAATTATAATGCACTCTTTACTCCTTAACACTCCGTAAAAAAACATATTAATCAGTTCTAGGGTGCTCAATGTATTGATAAATTACTATTATTAGCTTTTTACTCGCAAAGCTTTTATTGCACTTTCAGTGACAAGATTTTACTCTCCCAGTGGAAAATCTACCCGCATTTGGCACTTGGTAGGAGTTAATTTTGGACCCTGTGTGTGTGTGTGTGGTAGGGTGTATGACAGGTGAGCCTCAGTGTTGGTGTGCATGAATCGCAGTGTCACAATGGTAGAGGGCTTGGTCTTCAATGACTGTGATGAATGCGTCTTCCATTGTTTATTCAAATACTACTTGCTGTTGTATTGTAGTCTAATCAAAGTAAGGTACTGGCTTAATGTAGAGCAGCATTCCTCTCTGATCACAAAGCAACTGACCTTTGTTTGTTGTTTCGCCAACCAAAACAAAATATTACTGCAATTAAGTACTGAATGAGTTTTGTGATGACTCAAATAGGTTACTGAAAAAAAAAAAAAAGACCTTGCCCTTTAAGTCTGCGGTGGAGGAACTGGAGTGCAGACACTGGCAAAATGTCCAGATGGAAGATGGGAGGGATGAGTAAGGCGTTCACAGATCCCTTCTGCTTGGCCCCATTGAGACAGAGGGAGACGAGATTGGATGGGTCTGAGGGAGTCAGGTTACTATCGGCCCATTCTACTCCAAAGAAGCGGTGGTGTAAAAGATGCAATACCCCTATGGGAAACCTAATCCAGACCCTGCTGCCAGCTGTCATTCTTTTGCTCCAGGGTAAAATCGCTAAGCAGGTATCGCCTTACCCTTCAATCCTTACATTAATCATAGCAGGAAATTACACACATGTTGTAGTGTACTACAAATCAACATTGTCTTTGTAATTTGAGAATTTTGATCTCATGCATTGATAGAGATCTACATATCAAAAAAGAGCAATCCTATTTTTAGACCAGAGTTTGCTGTATGTTGCTGTAGGTTTATAGAAATGATCAGTTTCAATAATAAATTATCAAGTATTAAGTTTTGGCATTTGGCTAAAATCAATACCAGATTCTTATCCAAATCACAGAGGAGAAATGTAAAGTATCAAATTGTTGACAACATACTTTGCACAGAGGGGTAATTAAACTGCTTTGTGTGCAAAGAAATTATTTTACTTTTTTATATCTATTTTATTACTCTAACATTTGCATTAAATAGTTTGAGATCACAGTCAGTCCACATTGAAGATTAAGTAACCTGATCAGAATAGATCAAGAGTCCGCCATGTTGAACCGCCATGTTTCTACAGTAGCCCAGAATGAACAATCCAAACACTGGCTCATGTTTTTCCCAAGTTTTGAAGCCACAGTAGTTTCTCCTCCACATTTGGAAGGCGTGCAGTATTTAGCTGGTTGCAATCTGCAATTTAACAGCTAGATGCCACTAAATCCTACACAGTGGTCTTTTAAATGTGAATATTTGCAGATTTTTTTTACTTTTCTGTGTTGGTAAACTGAATACCGTGGTTTTATAAAATGTAAAGCTGCAAAAAATATTGATATATATCAGATTGGGCTCTGGTAAATTGTGAAGCCCATTTTTCATTTTTTTAGAATATTTTGTAGACCTAACAATTCACCGACCAATTGAGAAAAGAATCAGATTAATAATGAAAATAATCAACCAAATTGATAGCAATTAATCTTTAAATGTGAAATTATTGAGTCTCAGTCAAAGCCAAAATCAAGAACTGTGACTCAAACTGAAGGTGTCATCAGGGTTTTAAGAATAAACCAAACACTATTATCACAGTCTCAATTTTCAGGTCAGAAAACATATGTGCAAGACTGTTTCATACTCTAATCTCACTCTAATCTAACAAACACAGTGTGGGTGAAGTCAGTTTTCTGTGGCATCAAGCTTTGGAGGAGGACATGTGCCATAATGTAATGTATATTTAATCTGTGTTAATCTGTCATGTTTTCTTTTGCATTGGCAGTGTGATCTATATTTAGGGGCGAGTGAAATTAATGAATGAATGAGTTGAAATTTACATATGACAGAGGTAAGCAGGTCGGACAAAAGATGACAGGAAAACTGATCAAGTGAAAGA